GCGAATCCCTCGTCCCCCGTCCTTCATCCCGCGCCGAGCGGCGAAAACGACGCAGGCGCGCACCCCCCGCACTGGGCCCGCGAAGCCGCGCCAAGGGCCCGCGCGGCTCCCGGCTCGAACGTAAAGGAGCGGGGCGCGCCGCCGTTCCCAGCCTAACGCGCGCGCGGGCGTATGTATGCATGCTGTGTGCTGGCGCGACGCCGTCCCCGTGTGCTGCCCGTGTGAGTGGCGGGCTCGAGGGCGCGGCCGGCCATCCGCGGGCCGCGGTGCTGGGCAGCAGAAAGAACGCCGGATCCAGGCCGCGGGCGGGGGCGATCGGAGCCTGTGCTGAGGGTTGCGCAGAAGGGCGTGTTGCTCGGACCCTGGGCGGCGTGCGAGGCGTCCCACGGGCCATCGGGATATCTGGATCCCGCGCCTCGCGCCGTGGGAGGGGGCATGTTGGGAGCGGCTGAGAAGCCGTGCAGAGAAGCGGTGCGATGGGAAGGCGCGGCGGGGCGCCGTCGTCCTGGGAGGCCACCGAAGGGAGACGGCCTTCCACGGGCGCGTGCGTTGGGAAACGGGAAGGCGAGTCGTTGGGAAGGCGGTGAAGGGCTGGCGGGCTCGCTGCCGGGCACAACCTCCGCGCCTCCCACGAGCTTATTCTTGAGTCGACCGTGTTGTGATCCTCGCCTATGTACGGCCGGGAGGCTAGGATGTTCCAGAGCACGCGCACAAAGAGCGAGATGGGCCTGACAAGCACAGGGTCATCTAAACACGAGGAGGGGGGAACATCAGATCCCACTGCGCGCCACGTCTTGTGGCTGCGAACGCTCGACTCACCCTCCGGTCTGGTCTCGGGCGAAGCACGACGGCGGCAGTGGCTTCTGCCATAACGCCAGGGATGGGAAGGCGGGGTCCGGGCGAACGTCCCCCCGCGCGGCCTGTAGGCGTCTCTCCTCCTTCGCGCACTTGTCCCAATCCGTGTCCGGAGCTTGCTTCTGCCGCTCGGCACCTGATCCTCGGTCGCCAACTCAAAACAGCCTTGCAATCACCGCGCTCGGTTCGCCAGGGTCCTGGGAAGCGCGTGGCCTCGGAGCTGTCTGCCAGTTGCCTCCCGCGGTGGACTAATGCGGCCGCGAGCGGACGCCTGCGTCCAGCACGAGGCGGGGAAGTCCGATGAACACTCCGTGCCTATCGATGTTGGACGCCAGGTCAGGAACGGCGCGGGTATGCTGCAGCCCACATCTACACAGAGTGCATCCGGTTTCGCATGGGAAGATCTTTTATTACTTATGCTGTGCGATACGCCTTGGGAGATCTGTTCGCTCGAGAACGGCTAGGCTGGGACGCCTTGGGGCCGAACTAATCAAACGATCAATTGCGCACGCCTTCGGGAAGCGCCGGACGGCGGACGCCTGGCTGGGATTAATGGGCCCCCTGCGGGCGAAGGATGGTCGTGAGGCAGGGCGGGTACATGGCAGGGCAGCGAAGTCTGATAAGGCATCCGCTTCTGCCGCCTTGCGGCCCATTGACGTGTTGCTGGCGGCTGCTGATCAGCACGCGCCCTCGCATCTCGTCGGGCCATCTTCAGGATCTAGATGAGCAGACGCAGCAGCGGTGGTGATGTAAGCTGCGCCGCGGGACTTCTAGCTCTGCAGCATAGATCCGAGCACGCCGCTCGCAGATCAGCGGAATAATCAAAAAGGGGAAGGGGACTTATCCGGACACAAACATCGAATGACGTTCCAACATCACAACGCGCGCATTCGGGCGACTGTGCACCTAATGGACCGGCAATGTGCCCCCGGGGCATCTATTAAACACCGTGATTAGCCCACGAGGATGGTTTTGACGCATACAGATGAATCGCAGGCGTTTGGACTCACAGACCTGAGCCCACCGAGCCCAGACCGCATTGTTTGCACGCTGAACTTTGGCCGCAGACCTGATCGGCTCAGCATATATGCGCAGGAACGACTTCAATGATACCAGCTTCATTTGGCGTGGCGATCTTAAACATATGTGTGTGGGAAGTGACCACTGACAAGTCAAGGTGAATGAGAAACCGGTGGCCGCGATCGTGCGATACGATATATATATATATATTCGGGCTCGGGTCACGCGAGTGTGACATATCACAAATCACGTCCCTCGCAGAACGCGCTAGAAACGCCATCCAGTCCGTCTGGCGCGGAGGCTGTCTGGGCGGTGAACGGCTTGCACACGTTCTCACTCACACCTTTACCCAACCACCACCGACCCCCCCATTCCCGACGCCGACGCCGAGATGACTCGTAAGCGGTGCTTCGCCTTCCCGTCTTGACTGCTCTCGATTCACTTCAGCGCCGCGGGCCCCCCGCGACTCCCTGTAGGCGGCAACCAGCGGGAGACGGACCGCCTGAAGGCGCAGAAGAAGGCCGCGGCGGCCAAGGCCAAACCCAAGGAGAGCGCGTCGAGCCTGCAGCAGCGCAAAGAGAAGTGGGTGCCTTCCGCCCCATCCGCCCGCCGCCCGCGACGCTCACGCCCGTTCACAGGGACGCTGCGGCTCTGCGCGAGAAGCAGAAGGTGCGTCCCGCGCGCACGCCCCTCTCCGTCCTCTCATCGGAGGGCCGTTGCCACAGAAAAAGGAAGAAGAGGCCGCGAAGGCCGCAGCGGGCGGAGGGGGGACGAAGAAATGACCCCGGTGGCGGGAGGGTTTTCATCTTCTCCTCTCCGCCTCTCCCCTTTGCCGCGGTGCAGCACGGACGGACGAGGGTTGCGTCGCGAGGCGCGTGGTGGTGGCGGCGGCGGCGGTGGTGGTGGTGTGATGTCGTTCGCGGTCGAATGTCTGGTGCGATCTTTTAGATATTCCGTCTCAATACCCCAGCTGCTGTGTCCCCTCCCGCTCGATCGATGGCCTTGCTGTGATCTCCCATCCGCCCCGGACCCTCCCCATTCCATCTCACGCACCCACGCACCCACTCTGAAGACGTGCGGCGTCGGCCCCGCGCAGTCCGCTGAGACCCGCCCCGCAAACGAACGAACGCCACCATCGCTCGCAGGCGTGCGTGCCTCGAGCCTCGATACGCGGCCTCTTGCAGGGTCGTGAAGCGGTTAGGGTCGAGTGAGCCCTGCTTCGCCTGCCTCGGACCCTTTTGCCTTGTTCGGAGTTTTCTCTGTGGTGACTCTGAGGTCGGCATCATCGCACTATATGTAAGCGGGAAACTCACTGTTCGTGTCAGAGAACTTCAGGTTCTGGCGACACGTGACGAAAAGCGAAAATTCCGAGGGTCTTCAATAGGTGTGTGCGGTCGTAAATCTGCTGATACGTGAACATGTCGTACGAATCTCGTTCTCCGAAGCCGTCTCGCGCAGTATGGTCCTCAGGTATAGCACCAAGTCCCAGGGTACCTTCACCCATTGAACCCCGTCGCCGCTCGAGACTTTGACTCTGACCGTGCCGACGTCGCCAGAAGCAGCAGAGAGAGGAGACGCTGTAAACCCCCAGTTCTGTTCCAGAAGAGCAAACCCCGATGGTCACACACGGAGATCGAAGTCCTGTGCTGTGATCGACGAATAACATTCTGACTGAGACATGCACTTGCGGACGCAGTCCGCTGGGTTGTTGTACCAAGCGCCCTGTGATCCAGCCCAGATCGCTCTGTGATCGCAACGACTCGCAACAAACACGAAGAGCGCAAGCTGCGGTTTCGTGCCATTGGCAGGCGGGAAGAAACAGAGGCACTGGATGACGGAGGTCAGGTCTTGCACGTAGGAACGCATGGCATTTGCGCACCTCTGGAGCTTGATGACACTAGCTGGACACCTTTCTGAACAGATGCTGCGACACGGACGGGCTTCAGATGAACCATAGGGCGAGACCACAAATGCGGTGATCCCGTCGAGGCCCATGCCTTGATCCTCGCGCCCGTCTCCCGACCTCGATGACCAGGAGGAAGGCGATGGTGGCATTCAGTGCTTGCCTGAGATGTTTGTCGCCGCCGCTTCGTGTGTCCCGGGGCGATAGTTACGTAGAGAGAAGCGTAGAAAGGATGGCAACCTCCCGCGCAAGAGAACGGGTGAAGGGAGCAGCTTGAAGCTTGATCCTCTTTGAGAACCGGAGATGCCGGACACCACGGACCGTCCCTCCTTCCCGCTCACCACCGTCTCTCCTCAGAGTCCTCTTCCTTGATCGTGACCTATGGCAAGGCTCTGACCGGCTACGTTTGCATCGCGCTCTTGTGCGAACAAGTCAGGGGTGTTACTTCGTGTCACCAGCTTCAGCCTGAGGTACGTCGACAACTTCTTGGCGCACATCGTCCTGACGCGTTGTTGTGCATGTGTGCGCTCAGAACAACTCATTTCCATGGACTATGCGCACCTTCTTGGGAATGGGCAGGAAAAGGTTGTCATTGGGTGCGTCCCGAATGTTCTTGCTCCATATTCTCGGCTTCGCCCCCTCCTTGTCCTCCTAGCTCTCTTTAATCGGCGATGCGGTCTCTACCCAAGGGTTCACTATATTCATGCACCTGTGCATCGACAACGTTGGGCTCGGAGCCTTGAAATGCTATCTGAACGGCCGCAGATGATACTCCAAGACCGCGCTCTTAGGCAACTCTTCGGGACAATCTAGTGAGTGCCGTAGTTTTGGGAAGCGAGAAGGACAAAAGTGATGGGAGTTCCCCCTTTTCCTCCTTGCTCCTCTCCAATGTACCGTGGATACGACTCACTTCTGTACCCATTTATTCATGCCCTTTCTGCGACCTCCGTCCCACGCGATCCACCAAATTATCTGTGCTATTCCACGTATCCCCCTCTCAAAATTGAAGATCATGTGCTCAGACATTGCTAACAGACATCCCCACGGACTGCACGCGTGAGTGTCTCCATTTTGAGCTGCCATCTGTCTCACCACTCAGGCACCGACATGACTATCGAGGCTCCACTGCCCTAGATCCCATACAGAGCTCCAAGTCAAACAACACATCCCTCCTCGCGGCGCGCACACCCAGCGATCCCCAAACCTCCGCCTCCTCCCGGCCTCAGCAAGTCTCGCCCTTCCCAAAGCTCTCCAAGCTCCCCACGCCCTGCGCCGGCGGCGTCCCGCAGTCCAAGGAGACCGTCCGTGACCGCCCCCGGTCCTGGTGCACCGTCTGCTCGACGTTGACGCTCACCTGCAGCGGCTGCGCAGGAGACCCGCCGCGCCGACGGAAGGCAGATCAGACGACGCTTCGCGAACGAAGCACGGATCGAGGACGCACCTTCCCAGCGCGCCCCGCGGGGCGGTTCGCGGCCTGCTCGCGTGCGGCCGTGCGCGACGGGTCCGGCCATCATGTCGGGTTTGGCGAGCATCGTGGGGGGAGCGTGTGCGCCGTCGCGGCCACAGCGCACCACACCACATGGCGGACGCGGCGGAGATGCGCGGAGGATGCAGCGCGGGGCATGGGACACACGGGCGACGGGGACGACGGAGCAGGTCAGCAATCGCGCGCGCGGAAGTCGAGAGGGCGGGCGAGGGAGGGACCCACCACCGCGAGCCCGTGCGCCGAGCTGCCGTTCCGCACCCCGTAGCCCTGGGGGAAGACCACCGGGAGCGGGTAGCCGTCGCTCGCGGAGTGGCTCGCGGGGCCCGAGAGGTGCTTGCGCGCGTTGAGGCTTCGGGCCGGAAAGAGGGTGCGGTGGGTGCCCGTACGTCTTGTGCATGCCACGGAAACGCACGCACCTCGCTAAGAACGAGTTGGCGTACACTGCGTTCAGGGACGGAGAAGTCAGCGCACACGCCAAGACGGCCGCGCGGGGCCAGATGAAAGGGTCCGTGGGCCGTGGCGGAGGAACGCGGGACAAAGACGGGACTCACGTTTGCTGATCGCGAGGTGCAGCCCGAGGAAGATCAGGTTGTCCTGCATGCGCACCCACTGCGCGGTCGGGTATAGCGTCAGCACTCCCCAGGCGTCGAACATGTGCTACCGGGGGGTACGTACGCAGATCAGCGACACCGCCGTCGTGAGGCTGGGCAGACCGTCGCGTTTTCAGCACCCCCTCGCGGAGTCGGGCACCCCTTGCAGGACGAAGCGGCCACGCACCAGGTCAGCAAGCCGTTCTCGACCGTGTAGAGCGTGAGGGTGCCGATGATGCGGTCCATCCTGCCGGTCGGCTCACGCCCGTCAGTCTCGGAGTCGGTCAGCCCCGGGGCCCGGAGCTAGAGGCACGTTCGCGGCGCGGACACGCACCGCACGAGGCCGCTCTTCCGTCGGCGGAGGTAGAAACATAGGATGCCGGTGATGAGCACGTCGAGCGCGGTCGAGGTCGCGAGCCCAAGCGTGAAGACGAACTGCGGCTCGGCAGGTCAGCGGCGTCCTCGAGGCCTCCCGATCGAGCTCGACGGCACCCACCCCGAAGCCGGTCACGAATCCGCGGAAGCTCTCGAGGCGGATCATCTCCGAAGTCGAGACTGGCGAGTGCGGACGATCAGCGCTCCTGCGTGCCGTCCGGCGAGATCAGCGTGGAGGGGCGCGACGTACCGGTCGCGGCGACTTGACGGCGGAACGCGGACCGTTTCGGGCGCGGGGTCGTGTCAGAGGCTGGGTGCCGGAAACGGGCTGCGCCGACTTACCGAGGCGGAGGAGCGCGAGCGAGATCTGAATGCAGCGTGCGCGGTCCGTCGGGTCAGCACGCGCCGATCAGGACACCGGAAGCGGAGGCACGCACGAGGGGGACGGTGATGTACCAGTTACCTCGGCTCACTGGCATCCGCGCAGGCGTTAACAAGACGGATGGCAGAGATGCGCGGCGACTTCTCACGGGTGTGGATCCGGTGGGAGAAGAAGCTGGGAGCGACGACGGTCAGCGAAGGGAACATCGCAAGGACGTGGAGAGCAGTAGCGCGTACCAGTGGACGATGAATGTCGTCGCCGCCTTCCGGGAAGAAGGGTCGTCAACCATCCTGGACACAAGGTGACAAGACATTGGGGCTTACCGTGAGGGCGACGGTAACCTAGGATGCGGTAAGATGATTGTCTCTGTTCACAGAGATGTCACTCGTACTCACTGCAATTGACCAGGTGATGTAGTCAAGCTTATCGAAGTCCCCGAAGCCGACGATGAGGTTCTGCCAGTTGGCTGCACAGACCATAGCGGAATGGAGTAGGTCAAGCGACCATACGAGGCCGACCTATCCGGGTTTCGACGTAAGTCTCCTATGCACGGTCAAACGGGACGGTCGACACGGCACGCACCAATACTTTGACCTTTTGTGGATCTGATGCGCTGTACATGCGTACATACAGGACAGTCTGCATGAACACGATCCCTGACAGGCTGTCCGTCGGGAATGAATGCCACGACCGAGATGCGGGCACGACGACGCGTCACTCACTACAATGCTATGAGCCCTCCGATGAGGACCGCGCCCGAGCCATGCTCGACTGCCGCCGTCTGGTCTTCAGTCGCCCTTGCGGACACGGAACGGACGATGGCGAACGCCCATGCGTCCGGTCGAGGAAGCCGTCCCAAGTCCATGCCGAAAGGTCAAACAGCGGGGATGTCTTCGCGGAGTGGTGAGGGCCCAGCGACACTGGAAGGAGCTGCAAGTCGAAACCGCTCTCTCTTCCGCTCGCGGAGGCAGACTTATACTGGCTCGTCGGTTAGACCGCGGAGAGCGTACCACGGCGCCGGGGACCAGAAGAAGCACTCTACCTTCCGACGGCGCGGGTAACTGATGAACGCCTATACAGAGAAGCCGACCACCCGGGGCGGCGCATGAGAACGGGAAGCACAAGAGAGAGCCGCCGCCTTCACCGGCGTGTGTTGGCGCAGTTCGGAGCACAGTCAGGAGCGGGTGTGTGGAGGAGATCCCGGCTGAGGCCGCGTCGGTCAGCCAGCATAAATCGTGGCCTGCAGCCAGGTGGAAAGCCAGCAGCGACGGTTGAGTCCATCCAGCACTTGAAGCGCTCCGGAATTCTATTCTGCTCCGCTGAATCAATATCGCATGGTGTCCCGCCGGGCTGTCATCGGGCCTCCACTGCCGGCGGCCTTCTCCACCGGTAATAGCCAGTGAGAACAGTTTAGAACGCAGTCATGCCTAGGAAGATTTCAGTCAGCGGCGTAAAGGATGCTGGAACAAAGTGACAGGCCGAATCAAGCACTTTGTAGTTCTTGAGCTTCGAATGGGGACCTCGGGGTGCCTCGGGGCCTTAAGAATTCGTTGAATAACGAGAAGTGATCGTGGCGTAACGTGAGACCCCACGTACTTGCGGCGGCACCAAAGTATGGTGCGTGAGTATCGTGCAGCTCGCAGACGCGATGTCGACGAAGGAGTCAAGCAAAGCCTGTGATTACTAGGACAGGGTCAAGCTCACTCGTCAGATCATCGAGCTGGACCGTCAAAGAGCGTTGAGTATGTACGATGCGCCTGAGTGCTCGCGCGCCAATTGAGAAGCCCCGGGATTAGAGTAAGATGCACAACCGACCGGGATCCACTCAAACGCCACGCCCGCTCGCACATCTTCGCATGGCCGACACGCCCCGATTCGTCGTGACAGGGCAGCCGGGATTGCCCCCAAGCGTCGAGCAGCTTACATTGCGACGACTCCGACTCCGAGTCACGTCGGATCGTGCGATCGACGTCGACCGACACTTGCATGGACTGGTGGTCGTCGTGATGGTGAGAGCCGCGTCGTATGCCCGAGCTTACGTTCTGGCTGGCGCTGAGCATGACTCTCGGCTGCGGTCAGAAGAAGACGAGTCTATCAGTGCTTCATCAGGCGCCCGTTCAAAGGCTACGATGCTGTCAAAGAAAGTACGTCGCCTTCTGCGATATATGTTTATGATACGGGAAACGGCCGTATGCACTGAGCATGCGGTTCTTGATGGTGTAGAGTGTGAAGGATGCACATCCTGACCTGCAAGACATGCGTCTCGTAAGCTTCCCTGACGTCACATGGCTATCGGAGTGTTCTTACCACCTGCATGAATACTGCGCCGGAGAGGCTGCGACGTTCCACTGTAGAAATCCACTCGCATTAGGTCCACCAGGCCATCGATGAGGATTGGTAGTGGGGAGATGTGGTATATAGACAACTCGGCTGCATCAGTGTCCATCGCGCTGATATCGCAAGAACGAGGGCCCAAAGAGGGACTAATTGCCCAGTATTGTTGCGCAGGGCGGGACCGGGAGGTCATTTGGTACGTGAATGTACATGGCGTCAAGATGTCTCTGAAGGTTTAACTCCTATGTATATCGTTATTGGTGGCGTCTTCGGATATGAGGGGGAAACTTACTAGGCTCGGGAGCACCAAACCAAAGCTTTCACTGTGCGTCTGATGCCGTGTCTAGGCGATTGAGGATTTCATCCTAGTATGCCGCCTCCTAACCAGCAGGAGTAAGGGCTCAGAACGGGTTTTGCCAAGGACTGAACCGTCAAGTGAACTTCATGTACTTGACGGGCAGTAGATTCCCTGTCGTGTTGATGGGTATTCCCCTGTACCACCTGGATAAACTCCATAGCGTGTAGTCCCGCTCTTCATGCGCCCGTGACCCATGTATACTGAGCCCGGAACCTTGTCTTGCTGCGCGGGGGGATCGAGCTCCGGGGAAGTCGCGTTACGTGGGAGTGCCCACGGTGAACGGAGTGGGATCTCACCGATAGGGCAAGGACGACCCACGTAACGACGTCTCGTTGGCTCGCCCGCCTATTAGGAGAGCGCCGACACCTAGAATAAGATATGAGCACGTTTACGCTCGAGAAGGGAAGGGCAGCCCACCCCCAGCGCCGACACGGTGTTTCCCCAACCGGGATAGCGTCGAAGCTGCGAGCGAGGCGCCACGGCCGGCGGTTCTGCGCGGACAGTTTGTCGTGCCTGTCGGGGAATGTGGCACTTCCAGGAGACCGCTCTTCACGGTTAGAAGCTGCTAGTGTATGGGCGGTCTGAGGCACGGTCGTGAAGGAAGCCCGTCGGATGCACTATGATCAGCCGTGGACGAATGGAGGACAGTCGGGAGAGTCGCCCACCCTGAAGCACCACGTCACACGTCATTCGTCGTCGTCCATGTGCGCCCGAGGAAAGACATAGGGATGGAAGGATCGGAGCGGTTACTCACTTCATGTCCGACGTCGTCACAGCGGACGGCGGACGTAGGGAGTGGGCTGCCGAAGGTATGTATGAAAACCTGGTATTCTTGGACGGGTGGTCTGATCGATTGATGTTCGCGAGACACGGAAGGCTTCACTCAGGGGGGAGTGCGGTATGTGGGAGTATCGCCGGGGTGACTTCGAAGTATAGCATCCAGCTCGCGGACTTTGGAGGTACGTTCTGTCAGAGGCAGGAGTACTCGTGGTCGGCATCACGAAGAACCGTGGTGTGATGGCTTGGTGGGAACTGCTCTCAAATTAGCGGGGGTACGTTTAGTCACTATGGCGTACCAAGGTGGAGGTCCCGGAGCACGAGGTGAAGTTGTGCCATCATCTCAGGGCGAGAAGATGGGGCATACTCCAGTCGACGATCTGAGTGGAGCCATAGACAAACCTGTGATGACTCAACACCAATTCGGACCCATTCAAATTTTCCAATCGCATACTGGCAGACGTCGTCATCCTGAGGGTCGTCGAGGGAGTCCTATGCAAACTAGGTGTTCGTGCTTGAACGTTTGAACTCCGAGGCGGTTCGGCCCAACGAGGACATACATCGCGTAAGTACAGTGGCGGCGGTCAAGTGCAACACTTCGGCGCTCCAAATGAGCCTACCACGTGGAGGGAGGTGCACGTGGCTCCCACGCTTCATGACCAGCGAGCGCTGCTGCATGAGGGTGATCTATCGCGCTCGTCAACAGGTCCGTCGCAGGATTGTGTGTTTACGCTCGTGCCGTGGTGGGTCTCTCATGTGCTATTGCTCTCATCCGCTCACCCCACTCTAGCTCCCGAGTGGCAGCGATACGCCGGTCCCGAAATTTGTTGTTCTTCTCAAGTTCTTCTCCGAAAGCCAACCTCGCAATCGGCTCTTCTCAATGTCCGCCATGGAAGAGGAAGCAGTACTTGCGAGAATGTGTAATCTAATGCATCGCTCGTTTTTGGTCCCTTGCAAATGATCTTCTGTCGTCCAACCTCGTATAAGGAGAGTGTATCTCTAGAAAATCGTCCACATCCTCCAGCAGAACAACCTCACTCGGGTCCGCCCCGACATCGAACGTTGGCTGACCGCAATCACACCGGCGAGAACGATAACGAGATGCCGAGACTGCCGGTCAGCCCTACTCGCTTTCGTGGAGCCGAGTCTGAAACTGCCAGCCTCCGTCCCATATAACGCCCCCGTCCGCCGAACCTGCCCTCTCTCCAGAACCACCACCATCGGTGAGCCTTCCCCCTTCTTCTCGCCGGCGCCACGCCCACTCATTCTCGTCTTCTCTACAGTGTGGTGGGAGGTCTGGCTGTCCCTGGAACGTGTACATCCCCGCCCTTCTTCTCTCCTCGATCTCTCGCTCATGCGTTACTCGCCCTCGCCACAGATGGGAAACAGCAGACTTCTCGGCAGGCGGCATGCGAACCTTCCCCACACACTCTTGCTCAAGCGGGAGGGGGAGGGGGATACATATCCCAGACCCATGTGCCTCGGAGCCAGTCTCTGGGGTGTGCTGAGATGAGAGTACCTGAACCGGCACTGGGCGTCGCCTCGTGCGGCGTCTGGGGCTTGAGGGGGCCATCGGAGACGGCTACCCAAGGGACGGGGAAGCGCAATGTGGTCAAAGACAAACGCCTCCCGGACCCGTCGACTCGACTGTCCGCGGGGTGGGCGGCGGCGTACGCACCTTGCGGCCGGGCTCCTCCCTCTCTCGCGCCGGGAACTGTCATGGGCAAAGGATGCAGGGTTGGAGGGGCTCGTCACTGCTCGGTGTCGCGTCGCCATTGCGGGGGAGGAGGTCGTGACAGTAGGTCTCTCGCCTTCGTTTCACGTGTTCGCGAGACTGACTCTTTGGCGTGCAGCCTCCCCCGGCGCGTGGTGTGAAGTTGTTCACGAATGTGACACATCGCGTGCCGACTGAAGAGGGCAAACACCCTCTCTGGTTCCCCACCCCCGCGGCGCCCCGTGCTTCACCCTCGTCCTCGCACGTACGGACGCGCTCGTCTCGAGTCGTCCTGGGGCGCCGCCGTCACGGACAGTAAGTTATCCCTCGTTGCGCACGCGGCGGTTTCTGACCACGTTGAGCTTGCAGACCACCACCCCAACCACCTCCGGGGATGCATGAACACGCCTCACAGCGCATGCATCCCCACAGCCCACCCACGCCGCCACGGCACACATCTTTCTTTTACACGTCGAATCAAGAAGCCCCCCGCAGAAGGGTCGGCCTCTGCTGCGCTCGTGCCGGCGGGGGTCGTTCCTGGCGCAGGCCTCTTCGTGGCCCTCGGGGCTAGTACCGCTTCGGCAGGGAAGCCAACTGCACCGAAACGCACCTGGGGATGCCATCCCCGGTGGCAATTGTATGTGTCTCTTCGAGCACATCGTTCATTTAGCAGGAGCCCACACAGTGTCCCCGTCATCTGATCTTCAATGGCTGCACTCCCACATGGTCGCAGTACTGACCTCGCGTCATCCCGACGAGCTTCGCGCCCGCCTACCCTTTCCGTTTACAGCCAGTAAGTGTTCTACCCTATTACACCTGCCGCGAGCTTATTACACTTGCCGCGAGCTAACCTGCATCCTTCCAGACGAGTCGTTAATACTACTCCCGCCGCGCTTGAACATGCGGCCCAAGAACCGCGGGGTTGTCTGTACGCCCTAAGTAGAGCGAAGTTGTCTCTGGGCTGTCTTCCGTTTCGGCGCACCGTGGCTTGTAATCTCATAGGTCGCATCATGGTGTGAATCACTGTTCGAGCGACACCTTTCGTGCTTTTCTCTGTGTGCCCATGTGTCGGGATTCTCGCGCTATACCATCGATGGGAGGCACTGTGGCTCGGGTCGAGTTTGGCGAGGTTGTATGCCCGGATTCTAGTGCGCCCCCAGTCAGACATAAACGCGTACGGGCATACTCCCAGACACTCACCGTTCACGTATACATGCTGTCCTCATCGCTATCCCTCCACTCTCCTCCCACATCCATATCCCCCGCCGCGCCGTTCCCGGCCCCGGTTCCAGCCCCCGCGCCCCTCGCCTCGACGCGCACGACGAGCCTCCACGGGACCATGACCTGCCCGACGTACCGCGGGCCCGCGCCCGCAGCGCCCGCGTCCGGGCCGACGCGGTACTCGTCCGTGTTGACGAGGAGGACGTTGAGTTGCTTGTCCGTGCCCGCGAACGTGCCGAGGAAGATGCGGCCGTCGGCGACGGACACGCGCAGCGGCGTGCGGAGCAGCGCGGCCATGTGCGCGACGCTCGACGTCGGCGGGGACGTGCGCGGGCGGGGCGGGGCGGTCGCGACGGGGGGCGAGGACATCGGGAGTCGAGATGGGAGTAGCAGGAGAGGCTGGACAGTGGAGATGGGCGCGAAGCCCTCGGAGCGCGCGTGCGCCTATCCGCCGGGGTATTCATGGACATTCGCTTGCAGTGCGTCGCTAGTTGCAACTGGTTTGCCTCCATTGTGCCTCCAATCCACTTTGTTGCCTTTCATCCCGCCCATCACCTGCGCACCGACATCCGCGCACATCTCGTCACGTCTAAGACCCACCGTCTGGGCGTGCCTCAACACAAGCACCCATTGAACGGTCAACGCGCCGTCTACGAACACAACACCCACTGCGATGAGCAACGTCTTCATGCTTTCCCCCAATCCCTCCAACACCGTCCCGGACAGCTTTGGGCCCTCCACCTTTGACCTACACATCTAGCTACACGCGTAAACCTCGAGCAGGCTCGCTAGCAAGTTCTCCCTGCGTGAGCGTCCGTATGCTGGGAAACACAGGCGACATCCGCTCGCGCCTCATCGGCCTCATTCCACAGGCTGACACGGGCTCGCCGCTAGACAAGAACAGCACCGTGCTCATGTAGCACCTCAGACCAGCACCCACGAGCTGTATCAAGCGCGAGTGGCGGGACATCCGGACCAGGTTCTGGGAGAGACCCCGAACGACCGCAAGGAGATTATCAGAGGTGCGTTCTGGTGCTCTTCCTGCGCAGCGCGCGACAGAGCTCAATGTGCCGCGCACAACAGCGGCGTTCATTGTGCACATCCAAGGCTGCCCCCGGCTCGTCGCTCTACTAGCTCGACCAGAAACTGGTACTGGAAGGCACGCCTCCGCAGCTCTGCATCGTCCCCGGCAACGCCCTCCACCTGATCGACGATGACCCCGTCGCGCCGCTCTTCTTCCTCGTCCGATACAGAGGGCGCCCACAACGCGGACGGGCATCGTCCCGCCCCGTGCGTGCGTGCGCCTCCGGAGTCGCGTGCGCATTGCCTCTGGGGTGCGCCGACACCGGTCGCGACGGGGTGGACGACTCGACGCCCGGCTCGAGCACGTCCGAGTCGCCCTCGCCCTCGATCTCGGCGCCACTCTACACAAGGATACGGCGTGGGGCCACATCGGCCGCCAGCTGCGCGGCCTGGATGTACGGGCACCTGAACGGGCGCGGCGGGGACGATGACGCCCGGCGGGATGCGCAGGGGACGATGTACGGCGACGAGGACGAGGACGAGCCGGCGAGGATGCGTTCTCTAGCTTGTCCCCCTGTGTTTCTCACTGCTCACGCCGTCGTACATTACCCTGCAAGTGACTGGCATGCTCGAATCCATACGTACACAGTTGCTCTTCAGTTACCATGCTACTCTTCAGCCAACTCCGCCTCTATGACCGCCCTCGCGGCCTCCGCCCAATCTTCGTCCTCTAGTTCAGACGTTGCGCTGAAAGGCGAGCTCTGCGCCGAGCCGGTGTCCTGAAGAGTCCTGTTGATAGCTTGCGCCAGAACCGCCTTCAGGTCATCCCTGATACTCTGGAGGACCGCCAAGGGCAGGCCGTCCGGGGGGACCCAAGGAAAGACTGTCGCATGAGTCCCTGGGAGGATGAACTTGGTGGGGTGGTTTTCAGCAAGTTCCGACGAGGCGAGCTTCCGGGCGAGGAGGTGACAACAGTAGCAGGCCTTCTTGCTGACTCCTATCGGGATTGCATCACCCTGTGAACGACTGGGGTATTAGCGATCATTGACAAAACCGACCTGGTCAGAACGCACCTCGGACATGTTCTCCAAATCAATGTAGGCGTCTGGGAACAGCTTCTTGACAGCGTCAGGATGTGCACGTACAGACCAGACGAGGGCCATGAGCTCTGCCTCAGCGTGCAGTGCGCCGTTGAGCTTGGCCTTCTCGGGATGTTCCACCACCTTGCCGAAGCGCGAATTTGCGGGTATGGTCACGCCTTTCTCCTTGGCTACCCTCAAGGCATCCTTGAACGCGGCCCGCGAATTGGTAGCCTTGAGTTTGCAGGCAGCGCCCTGGAAATGGTAGACTGTCACTGCGCTCGAACCGCCCGAATGTGCTCTGCGAAGTCGACGCAGGACGGTAATGTTGTGGAGGGGTATCAGCAACGTCTCGAGGTTTCTGATCACGTGGGATTTCGGTGTTTCTCCCTGTTCAGCGTACGCATCCGACAAGGCTACACAGAAGGCTAAGTCTGTCGTAGAGAGGCTATGGAGAAAAAAATCTGACTCACATTCGTCAATGTCATCATTGTCGTTCTCCTTGGTGTCTGATGTCGCGGGTTCCTCGGTGCTAGTTTCTGCCAGAGTCATGAGTAACACCTCGCGCGCCGACGACAAATACGAAGCGCAGGTGCAACGTACCATTGGCGGGTGGGTTGGACAATTTGGACAATATGTCGTCGATATTGAGCATGATCGGCTTCTCCGGCTTCTCCTCCTCCTTCGACTTGTTGCCCTGGCCTGTTGGGACTGTTGATTCGATCGGCTTGAGAATATCTGTACACAGGTCAGATATTGCACTCCAGTCCATCGAGCGAGCGACGACTCACCGGCGAGGTCGAAACGTTTCAATTTCGTATTGCGTGCATCGGAGAGCTCTTTCTCCAGGTCTTCGGTGATGAGATGTGCCACGACGCCGGCCGATAACAACGCCCGTAGGACCATCATGGAGTTCAGCAGACCCAAATAGTCGTCCCCCGCGCAGGGCTTATCATCCGTCGACTTAACCAAGACATCTAGGAACACCCTGATATCCTGCACCGAACCGTGCACTGCTCGCGACCACTGTAGCGCATCGTCGTTTGAGACCTTGAACCGTCGGCTCCGAGCGGTGCTGCCAGGTAGGGGGGAGTTGCTCGATGCGGAGGAGGAGGAGGATGGCTCAAGGCCCCACCGCCCAGTGAGGATATTCTTGATAACGTCCAGGGGTAGAGCTAGGTCAAAGTACGCCTCCGGGACCGACGGTGGGTTTGTCCCCTCGTATGCTCGACGGATGTAGCTCGTCGGGTGATCGTACTCGGTGCCTTTCTTCCCACCCCAGACTCTGTCGCTGTTTTCCACGCGGGCAAGCAACTTGCGATAGCAACGGCTCACGATGAATGCGAAGGTGGCAAAGGAGTCCGCGGCGACATCTCCTCGAGCATGGCTGCCGGCACAGAAGCACTGAATGACTGAGGTTGCGTCGACCATATAAGCGTGATATTTGAAGAAGTCCCTGGATATTGGGATCAGTAACTCCGGAACGATACGAGCCACCCGACAAAATGCACCTCTGTGGTCGGGCCCAGCCGCGTTTCAGCAGTTTTTGACCCCTCTGAGTGGAGGCCGGGATGGCTTTGATATCATATTTGCTTGGGTCTTTAAAATTTGCGTTGCGCGACATGACGACTGCATGCAAGCCCTCCCCGTCCAACCGCCCGATGACTCCGACACTCGCTCCTGCCTCTTCCTTGCCGCCTGGGGACATCATGAAGGAGAGGTTACCAAAGGCTTTGGCCTCCTCAGTGGTCCGCATACTGACGGAATCGATGGGTCGGACATCCCGAACGAGGATGGAGAGAACGAGGATATCCCGTGCCGGCGACGTCGGTGAGGGCTTCGCAGCACACTCGGGGGAGGACGCCATCAGGTTTTCCGTTTTGGATTCCGCGGAGAGTTATGCGACGGACTGGTCGCTGGAGGTGAGGCCATGGATGAGTCAACGGGTTAAGGGGCCTGGCAAACCACAAGAGAGACTCAGCTCAAGTGTGCAGGGGCCCCTAAGCGCCAGCGCCGGTGCCTCGGAGCGCGCGGGCGGCAGCACACTCCGACTGCCTTGGGACAAAGTGGCTTGTGCATGAACGCGTCGATGGCGCACGCACAATATCCACCTTCGCGACGATCTCGCCGACGAGACTGCACAGGACTCCACGTAGTTCATCAGTGCTCGCCTGTGATCCACCATGGTCCCCGCTGCTGTCTTTCATCACCCAAGTTCGACGCGCTGGCCATACTCACCACCCACGACGTGCTGAGCATTGCGTTGCACGCAGTACGGGCTGCAGTATTCAAGCATGGACGGAGCTTCCAGCAAATAGTACAATGTCCTTTACAACGACAACCCAAACACCACCAACTGGCGGGCGAGCGAGAGCACAGAATACGAAAGCGAACGAGAGGGTGCGGATGCGGAGGTGGATGCGTGAGTGACGCGGAAGAGGGGATGAGGAGTGTGGGTGTGTATGTGTGTGTGCAGGCCGGGCGGCAAAGTAGAGTACGAGCACTAGTACAGCGGACGAGCACGAGCAGACTGAGACGGTGTAGATCGGAGCACCCCATTCTCCTTCCTCTTCCCCCCCCTCCCTCGACGCCCCAACGACTATCATCGCTGGCCGTTATACAGCGTCTCATCCACCCAGCCGGACCTGCCCGGCCGAGCTGGGTCTGGCGGCCGCTGCGGCGCGTCGCCTGTCCTCGCGCCCCCGCTGCCCCGACTTCCGTGTCCACTGCCTCGACTCCCGTGCCCGCTACCCCCCTTCGTCCGGTGCCCGCTCGCGCCAGGGACGACCGTCCGGCTCGAGATCGGGGGCCCGCTTCTACTGGGGGCCGACCCCCCGCCTCCGCCTCCGCCCCCGCCCCCGCTGCCACTGCGGCTGACACCAACGACGCCGACGCCGGGACGGACGCCGCTGCCGCTCGCGCTGTCGTTGCGCGTGGACCGGGAGTGCGAAGAATGCGAAGACTGGCGGGGAACGGCGGCGGCGACGACGGTCGCGGGTGCGCTGCGAAGCGGATGGGGAGGAACGGTCAGCGTATGTCGGATGACGGGAGGGGGCGGAGTGACGCACTTGGGACCGCGCATGCCCGTTTGCGGCCGCCATGTGGCGTCCTGGCGAACCATGGTGGAGGGGTCGAAGTTCATCGGCGCGGGCCCGGGATAGCTCGGCAGGCGTTGCGCCTTCACGGGGCGGTCGCCGCCGCAGCACCCGTTGCGGAGGCCTGGGGAGGCATTAGGACTTCGATGCCGTAGGAGATGAGGGAAGCACGTACAGCGGAAGATGCCGTAGAGGATGAGGAGCGCGATCACGCCGACGACGACGGTGACCGGGATAGAGATCTGCAGGTTCTGGACGTACCATGCCTGTGCGGCGTGTCAGCACGAGTAGCAATCAAGCGAACGAGAGAACCGACCTTGAAGGTATCCCAGAAGCTGCCGGCCTGACAGTTGCCGTTCTGGCACTGCCCGCCGTAGCCGCAGGGCGAGCCGTTGATGAGATTCGACTGGAGGACGACACACTGGTTCGAGTTGTTCGGGTCCTCGCACGACACCTGGCACGACTTGTCGTTGTTGCTCGGGCACGCCGACTTGAGCCCCATAGACGCGCCGACCTGAGCGCATTGTTCTACACGACGTCCGTCAGCTCCGATAGAAAGCAACGAGGGCGGAAAAGACGCACGGTCGAGCGAAGTGCACTGTCCACTGGCGCACGCGAGCCCATCCGATCCGCAGCTCTGGCCGTTGGGCGAGAACACGTCCGCGGGGCACGCGCTGCTGGTCCCCGTGCACGTCTCCGCGGTGTCGCACCGACTGTCGACGGCGGGGCGGCAGGTTTGTGTGCTCGGCGCGAAGCCGCACGTGTTCGTGCAGCAGGGGGAGCTGTCCGGGTCGCAGACCGCGCCGGAAGTGAACTTGCACGTCGAGACGTCGCAACAGGTGCTGTTGGAGCCAAGGCCAGGGTCGCAATCCTCACCGTCCTCGACGATCCCGTTGCCGCACATCTTGAGCGTGATCAGCGGCCGTGAGGTGAGCGAGTTGAGCGAGGAGGGGTCAATGAGGCAGGTCGTGTTGGAGCGGCTGCCGGAGGTGCCACCCATGAGGGAGCCTGAGAGCACGATGAGGGGAGGGCGGAGGGATTGTGGACAGAGACGTACAGATGTTACCAATGGAGCAGGGCGAAAAGTTCATTTCGCCCGCCTCTGCGACGGGACTCATGATGAACTTCGAGTTGGCGTCGCAGGTTGATGTCGTGAGTGGACAACAGTTGGTCGAATCGGTCTCGCATCCATTTGTGCATGAACAACCGTCCGCGCACTAAAGTCCCTTGAGCACGTCTCATCCACGGAACGAACCATTGAACTTACGTCATGCTGAAGAAACAGACCGCATCAGTACCGAGCCTCCATCTGCAGAGCTCAGAGAAATTACTCACGATAGCACCGAAGTTGTGTCCAATCTCATGCGCCACGACCTGCCATTCTGTGCGGCCCGCGGTGGAGACCGCGGTGCCAGAGACAACCGACGGGCTCTGGCCAGAAGCGCTCTGGGTGCAGAGGGTAGCCAGCCAGGCGATACCGACCTCGGAACCGGTGGGACACCCCGACATAAGATGCCATAGCCCAGCACCATCATCGCCCTTGGCACCACGCCACTGGGAGAAGATTGAAAGCCGGTCGTTGAGCGTGACGGACTCAGAGCAGGCGACGTTCCAAGGCGCATCCGCGGGAGCGCTCGAAGGGCAAGTCGGCTCGTGCACTTGGAGCTCGACGATGCCCAGACTGACTTGGAAGGTGGACTGTCGAGAGCGGTGAGATAAGACGTATATATGCGGTCAGGAAAGGAAGCACCTTGTACAGAGCGCTGGCGGTGTTCCAGTTCGTGATGATCGCCTGCGTCGCGTTGTCCGTGTCGCCGTACTTGGACGTGTACTCGCAATCTGCAGCGACCCCCATGTACACGATCCGCTGGGTCGTCGGACACCCCGCGGTGCTCCCAATGAAACCGGAAAAGCTACGTGCACCAGGTTCAGCTACACACAGTCATCGGATAGGAAACGATGAACGACGCACTCGCTGCCCGTGCCCCCGCCGGCCACGTCGTCTCGCTTTGTCACGTTGTTCGTGGGAAGCAGACCTAGCGTGTTGTACCACGGTGAGCCCGGCGGCGCCCGCCGGCGGATCGCGTCGTTCTGGAGCGGGTCCGTGTTGAAAGCCATATGATCGTGGCCACAAGTTTCGCCGTCGGCGACCGCCTTGGAGTCGACCGCGGTGTTGATGACCCTCGCGTGCTCGTGCCGGTTCATGACGTCCGAGTCGCGCCAGATCACGAGCCCGATTTCAGGGTGGTCTTCAACGAGGTCGATGTGCGGGTCGAGTGCGTGCTTGTTCCTGAGGTAGTTCGCCTTGGTCTGAACGTGGTGCGTGACGCCGTCGACGGTGAACGCGCCCTCGAACACGGGTGGACGCCCTGCGGACGCGTCGCCCTGGTCGTACACTGTGATGCGTGCCCAGCCGAGCTCACGCCCCGAGGGCCGAGGGGTCACCCCTGCGGTATCCTCCCGGAGACGGTCCGCAGACATGTGTGCGGGAACCACTTCGCCCCAGTATGCCTTGACGGACTCGCGGAGGAGGGGTCGCGTGCTGGAGAGGATCTGCTGACCATCCTGGTCGGTCTTGTAGTAGTTTATCCGCGCGGCGGGGTGGATGAGGTGATCGTTCGGGCGGAGATGGAGGTGGAACGTCTCGTGAAACGCAGTGAGCGTGAGGCGGAAGGAGTCGGAGTAGCGGAGGACGGGTGAATCTAGCGGAAAGGAACGCTTCCCATAGCTGCCTGTTGGCGACCGTCGGGGTAGAATGTCTATTGAAAGTGTCGACGGATGTCCTACGCGTTTTAGAGGCCGTGCCGGTGCACTGAGCGCTGTGAACAAGGGTATGTCAGCTCTGCGTCAACCGAAACCGCGATTGGGAGACTGATGAAGTCCCCCCCAGCTGGGGCGGTAGATATATGCGGGACAGACGAGGGCAGCGGCGAGCAGCGAGGTGGGACGAAACGCCAGGCTTCTCGCTTTCCTTTGCGCAGCACTAAGCCTAGGGGACGGGTCCACCCTCCCCCGCACAAGGTGGCCCGCAGAGACGGGTCCACAAAGGTGGAACTGGCGCAGTGCGCGTAGGGTTCAGGAGACGGGGCACTCGAGAACGGTGTCGCGGCCCGTGGTGGCAACATGCGAGCCTACCCCGCACATCGCCTTCAGCGATCGGACCACCGCCGACATACCACCCATGCACATTCTGCCCATCCTCATTCGTCTCCCAAAACTCCCCCGCCACCTCTCTCAGGCCTTCCAGCCCATTCCTGGGACCCAGGGGTAGCAATTCGAGGCAGGGATCGAGGACTTGATCCCACAGGCGAACAGGGAGGGTATATGTGCAGGAAAGGGGGAAAGAAACACACCTGAGACCGCATGAAAGCTAGCGAGAAAGACGAGCAAGAGCCAGCATAGACGGTGGTGGGAGGACATAAGAAAGGGAAGCAAGGGGCAAGCCAGGGGGAAGGAGAGATATGAGAAAGCCAAGGAGAGCTGTGAGACCCAGCGCTGCCAAGCGCCAAATCCGACCTGCGGAGGACTGTTCCTCGAGCGTGAAGACGAAGGCAGCGAGCGAGAGAAGGGGAATGGACGGCGGACGGAGGAGACAGCAAAGGAGAACGCAGACGGCCGCTGCCATCCCATCAGCCGAGCTCGAGCCCAGGGCGCACCGGCTCGCGCCCGGCTTCGTCGCGACGCCCGCAGCAGTCCGACTGACGGCTGACCGCGGCGACCTGGCGGCGACCATCATCATCCCGCCCGCCGCGCCCGCCCGCGGGCTCGTCGGGCTCTCCTCCATTCTCTCACCATCCTTGCTAGCTGCTGCCCGCGCTCTGCTCGTCGTTCACGGTGCCTGCTCGGTGTGCTGCCACTCGCTCGTTCAGCTTGTTTCTGCGCGCACTTGCCCCCGCGATGGCACTCGCAACGCTCCAATAATATCTCCTCCTGCGCCTTCCATCAGCGCAAGCCCAGCCTGACATCACATCTATGCGTCGGTCGACTGGGTCGCTCGACCGACGGACTTCATCGAGTACTTACTCAGCACTCAGTGTATCCTCATCGCTCTTGGCGGCTCCCTCACAAGCCTTTTGGTTCATTCTTGGCCGGCCGGAACCCCCGCGGGTCCGCAGCAGCCCATGGCCGTGACAAATCCAGAATTCCAAAGTTCGAAGTAACGCCTATGCGGTCGGTGGTCCCCGCCTTGCTGCGCACCACGGAGGGAGACCAATCATATGTATATACACATCGATCTCGCCGCACAGTCCCGGCGCACTGGCACGCCCAGGCCCCCATAGTCCCATCAGGCCTGCGACGTTCACGCGCAGCACACACGGGACCACAACACACGGGAACCAGTGCATAGCCTGCGAGCCAAACGCTCTCGAGTCTCGACGCACGATATCCACACATCCCAACCGACGGTTGGCAATAGCACGCAGCCTGAGAGCGCGCTCACCTGCAGGTACCAGGCGGACGGCGTGGGTTTGTGGATGTCCCCATCGATAGACGCGGTGTACCACACAGATGAAGTGCATACCGTCCGCCGCCACCCTGGTCATTTTTCCGAGGATGTTTGTCTCCGAGCTGTGGCAGGCCCCGGCAGTCCCTTCATTCGAATGAATTGACACTTCCTGTCCATCAAACTCGGGATTCGCATTCACGTGCTTGCCAGCCACCGTCGTTCCCATGGACGGTGAACTAGCGCTGCCTTCAGGTCCTGTCCCTAGCTACTAGAGTAACAGAAACCCTTTTCCTCGAACTCTCGCGCGAGGTCCATGTGCCAGCAACGCGAGCTAGCGAATAAGCACGTGTCTAGATCTAGGACGCCATAACGTAGGCCCGAGAGCCGAGGAGGCAATGAAAGAGTTCAAACGTGCATCGTCGCGTCCCAAAGGTAACCGTTGAACGGCTTAGAAAAGCCATGCTTGAGCCTCCCCACCGCACTCCCTATGCACCGCCATCCATTCCTCGGCTCAAAACGTGCCCACTGAAGGCAGTACCGTGGTGGCCGAGATGACCGACGCCGCCTCCGCGCAGTCCGTCCCACCCCACTACTAGTATGTAGTAGCCACCTGTCGCCTCCACGAAGGCAGTCGGGCGATACGAGCCGGAGCTCACTGTCTCCGGCACGCGGACTACCGGGGTCCTCACCTGGAAAACAAGCCGTATCGGGGCAGGGGCCAGCTCGCTTGCTGCGCCCACATGGACCGGAAAGCCGCACAACAAAAAGGCGCCGTTCAAGCGCAAGAGAAGTCCGTGTCCCGCCCCAGGATAATACGTGAAGAAGTAAGGTACGAAGTCCGCGTTCCAGGAAGAAGGAAGAAGACAAAAGAGAGGACGCATCGCGCAAAGCAAGGGAGTGTGGCTCGGACCCGAGCAGCAAACAAGACGGCGACGCGCATGGCCCACACAGGCAAGCAGACCTCGGACCCCGGTACGTTCACGATAAGACGGATGTGAGACATTGGAGGGGTGCAGAGGGGAGTATTGGATACATGTGCATGCTTTCGTGATCGTCATTGTCGCGGCGTATGTACGTGAGGGAAAGCAGCTCTGGTGTGCTCGAGCCCAGAGTGTAAGTAGAAGACCGAAGCATAGATAGGGAAATCAAGTTATGTGCGCGCTCCAGACAACTGGCATTCGCGCGACGGCCGGCAGCTCGACTCTCAGACGTTGTTCACGCCCGACGCCGAGAACTGCAGACGGTTGGGCGTGATGGGCTCCGTGATGCTGGTCATCGTCGTGTCCCGGCGGTAGCCACCCTTCTCCCGCGGAAACGTCTGGCGTGCCGGACTGGTAGCCGCGGCACTGCTGGAGCCGACCTCGCTCGCCTCTTCGTAGCTCGGCGGCAGATGATCCCCGTCGAGAAGCGGCGCGTGTGGGTTCGGTGTCGTCGGGGGAGACACGACGTACTGCGACTGGGCGCCGTAGGGGGACGAGGTGCCGTACGTGTAGGGCTCGACGGTCGTCGCGTTCTTGTGCTCCTCGATGATCTCCGCCTGGCGCGCGACGAGCGAGTTGTCGCGGTTGCGCCGGATGAGGTAGAACCTAGCAACCCGAGCGCGATCACGCCCGCGACGCCACCCACGACGCCGCCGACGATGGCACCGACGTCGCGCGAGTGGGCGGATGAGACGGTGCGAGGGGCAAAAGCGATCGAGGGGTTGCCGTTCTGAGGTATATGAAGATGCTGATGCGACATCGATGGCGTTGAGCATGTGGCAAGGGGAAGATAAGCAGATGGACGTACACGTAGAGCTGCGAATCCAGGTCTGGCCAAGAATGTACTGCGTGACGGACGTATCGGTAAAGCCTTCGACAATACTCATACACTGGTTGTTTCCCATGTTCACGACGAGCGCGGACTGGTCGATCGTGAATGACTGCCCATTGATGGTCACCGTAAACGACACTTCCGTGTCGCACGGCACCCGCCACGAGCTCGTTGAACCCAGGATGGTGGATAGCGGCACCGACTGCGAGCCCGAGATGGCGTCATCTGTGACGCGTTCAATGTCAAGTTAGCGCTATTCATGACGAAATACGGAGATTTGCCTTACGGAAAAGTCGCGCTTGCGAGCCAGGCATGTAGATGCCCGAGTAGTAGGGGTCGATATTCGCCAACATACCACTCCCACCTCCGACGTTGTTGCTGCCGGCTTTCTCTGACCAACCGCCGAGCTGAACCGTGAGGTCAGGCTGGGTGCTGTTGGGCAGGTAGCCTCCAGAGATGCCGCTCTGCACGGAGACCGTCTGGAGCTTGTCTGCTTGGTACGCAGACGTGTCGGGCTGGAGCCAATGCATTGTTCCGACGTTGGCCGCCTCCTGTGCAAGCGATTCCTGGCCGGGCTGGATGGAAAGTGACGAGCCGGAGCCCGGAACAACCGGAGAAGGCTTCAGGTCCATGCCGAACGTGAAGTTGGTCGCACCCGGATTACGGATGTAGTACTGCCCGTAGATGCTGTCATCGAACGAGGCTGGAAAGCCTGCTGCCGTAGTAGCCTGCTTGAGGGTGCCGAGACCGAAAAGTCCAGACACCGTCTGGTCAAACGGAGTCAAGCCGGACTGGTTGTTCATGAGAATGACTGATGCGCTGCCGTTAGACTGACTTTGACCAATGTGTGCAACGACTTACTCGTCTGGTTCGGATACTGCCAAGCTTGCGACGAAGTGGAGAGCGAGCAGTTCTCCTTTATGATCGGACCTCCGAACGAGCCACCGCCAAAGGCAACCGACGACGACCCACTTACGGAGCGCGCGTCGGGCGAGAGCGACTGGGAGTATCTGGAAGTGATTTGCACTCAGCCAGTGATCTTTCCATGGAGGGCGCGAACGAATGTGGATACAGGAGGGATGTGCGCGGAATATACACAACAACAGTACTCACGTTGCCTGGCCGGTGCAGTCCGAGCATCCCTGACTCGCCACAGCTGAGTAGCCCAGACTCGTCGTAAGAGTGAAGTTGAAGTTTTGCAGCTGGCCTACGCCTTGGGTACCCTATGTGGCGCCGTGAGCCACTACAAACACGCATACAATCAGGGACTTACCATGTTGACGCCAAGCATGGGTCGACCGCCAGAGCTCAGGACGATAGGGACGTCCAGCCGCGCGGGCGGGGTGAACGCAAATGCGCTCGCGGCATAGAGGGAGAGGAAGAGAGAGCTGAATGCAGTTTGGCCAGACATATTACACGGCTCTAAGGGGAGGGCTGAGAGAGGGGGGAAGACGGTGAGCACGCGCGGGCCGCACCGGAAGCAGGATGGGCACGCACGAAACGGGGCGGGGCAGGCGGGGCGGGAAGGAAGCCTCGGAGGGCTTGAGGGCGGCGAAAGGGAAGAGGAGGGCCGGGACGTGCGGGAGCGGGGGAGCGGGCATATAAGACATATTCTGGCTCCTGCCTGTGTCGGAGGGAACTAGCATATAGTCCGCGGCCAAACGCGCTCCAGGGAAGGAACATCAGCGCGCGCCTCCTCGAGTGCCAGGACCCCGAAACCCTCCCCGCGCCGCCACACCCCTGGCCCGCCCTTCGTTAATCGGCCCGTCCGCCTTCTCCGCCTTTTGTGCCACTCTCGATGGCCATTGCACTCCGCGCGACACAACAACCCAAACGACGCTGGCTCATGCGGGACCTCGCAGCGTCTGTGAATTGGAACATCGGCGGGACCTGGCCTGGAACGCCGGCTTTGCGGGCGGCCCATGCGACAACACCAGCGCTGATGCAGATGGCGCACTCGATCTTGTGCCATCGCACCCCGTTCAGACCGCCGATACGTACATTTTAATTTCCGACTTCATAAAATGCGTTGACCAATTTGCCAGCCGCGAGCTAGGTGGCACCAACCCCATCATGTCTGGTCTGTGCAGTGCGGATTCTCTCGACCCGACGTCATGTTCGAGCGAACTAGTAGGATTGCCGCATCCACTAGGCCTGTACCGTTCGTCGATCCTGACGCTTCCCGAGGGGGCGATGAGATACAATCGCCGGGCGGCTTGCTCGGGCACGGGCGGTACAGGAATCTATCGGTCAAAGTGTAGGAGCGGTTTCGGACTGGCCGCAACCCCTCGTCTCCCCACCGATCGAGAGCGTGGCGATGTACATACATATGCAGCGCCTCGTGGTCGCGCCGCCACCACACCCCCTCTAGCAAGTATAGGTAACCTCGCTGGTGGCCCTCTTCCACTGGCCGGTCCGCTCGAATCGCGGCTTGGCCTTCCGAACGCGTTGCGAAATCCCCCATGCGTGTTGTCGTCCAAGCTTCACATAATTTCTCGCGTTGGCCGGTCGGTTCCGAGCTGTATTTACAACAGAGAATGATGGATGGTCGATCTACCGATGTCAAAGTGATCTAGCGGGCGCGGACCCCGTGGGCCTCTCACCTTTACTGACTGTCGTCTGATTTTATGACTGCGGGGTACATCCACAGCTACCTACGTGCTTGTCTCTGTCAAACCCAAGGCAGAGGAGTGCGCCAAACGTTGACGTCGCGCGCCATGCGCTACACATGCATGGCACTAGCTCCGTAGCGCAAGACACCGACTGCGCCGCGACACGTTACACCGGACAGACCGGCGGACCCAGTATCTAGATAGTTAGACACGCGTGACCCATAGAAATCAGGTCTGGGTCGGTCTCTTCTCATGATCAGCAAGAAAGCTGACTGATCCGGACGATGATTCGGAGAGACGTCCGCTGTGGTTCCCCGCGCGGGACCGCCCGGTGCTTCCCGCGGACACCCACTGAGATCTTCTGCCTTGAAGGGACTACCGGCCCTTCGAACAAGAACTGATAATGTCATCCGGAGGGAGGCGGTGCGCTTTACCTCCGTCGACCATGCGGCTGGGTCCACATTTGAGGCAGTGGCACTCACGTTGGCATACACTCAGAAAACGATCCACCGGCGCGTGTTATCATGTCTTACAGAGGGCGAACAGTATGTGAATACTCACCGAGGTTCTTGCGTGCTAAGCAGGGTTGGAAAGCGCTGCTCCGCACTTGCTCGCGATAGCGTCATCCATCGAGAATCCAGCAGCCTTGAGTTCCCTTTTCCGCTACCCCAGATACGGCGGCTTTTTACCTGTGCGCCTCAAGGCCTCATAACTGCTCGGAATGTGGTCAGCAAAAAAGTACTGATTGGCGATCCTTACATCGTGGTTGTGGGTGCTACTGTGATTGTGACGGGTGCCGAGTGGAAAGGCAGGACCCGAGCCCCCATGTGGACGGTGCGTACGGCACTGTCATATTCGGTGTGACTGCGCTAGAACGACCCGAAGTCATCGGGCACCCAGGAAGAAGTTCGAACATGGCTGTCAGCCACCTCCGCGTTCCTCGCTTTCGCTTCTGCAGGTGGCACAATCTGCCAGTTGCGGCCAGCCAGTGCCTCCACCACCCACTCGCAATAGGAACGGTGAGCACATGGCCGCGCGCGCAGGCAAGTGTGAAATACACGAAAAGGAGCACGGCGTGTTCCTCCTGGTGTCCCCTTCTGTCTTGATCGGGGACTGGCGATCGGGTCGCTCCTGTGCTGTCCGAGCGTCCGCCCGCGCGCGCGCCCGCGATGCGACGCCGCATGTTATCTGGGCGGAGCGAGCGGGACCCAGGACACCGCTGGAACAGCCACCGAACGCCGAACGAGGTGGCGAGGACACACATGGTGTGAGTGGGCGCATGGGAACGTCGGCGTTTCCTGGAAGGGAGCGAGCGCATCGGCGGCCGCTTGCGCGCAGCGCTCGGAGAAGGTACTCATGCGGGAGAGGGTTCTGGGCGGCCCGAATTCTATGTATCGGTGGCGAGCGGCCAAGACGCAAGACAGTGACGCCAGTTTATATGTGTCGATGAGACCAGAGCACCAATCATGTATTCGACACCATCGGACCTATTGAGTGTGAGCCCCCACTGGACGCTGTGAAGCGAAGGGTCTGTCTTTCACCCCACAGCGTCCATCATGTGGCAAGGAAGCACGTCACAACTGGAAGAATGCGCTTACGCGAGATCCCGATCCATTGATCTTGAAGGAGTGGTTCCCCGAAATGAGCGCGGGAGGTATGGTGACACGATAATATGCGAGATGCATACAAAACATGACTCATAAGAGTTCTGAGGAACGGCCAATGAGTGTGCATCCCACTCGAAGAGCGAGGGCAGCATATACTCACCTAAAACATAGATGATGACGTCGGTGGGAATATACAGTAGATGTAACTTATAATGCATGGAATGTATTTGAGGATGCAAAATTGTCCGTATGCCAAAGGGGATTACTATACTCTTCACTTGACCTTCGCCGCCTGACCGCCTTCCAGCCGACGCCTGCGAGCGTACACGCTTGCGTCGTCTTCAGGGTGCTTCCAGGGCTTCTCGTGCCAATCTTGGGGTGCAGGGAGGTAGCCGTGACTGGCGGCGTATGCCGGAGGGAGTGGATACGGGGGAATGTGTGGCGGAGCAACGAACGGCGCAGGGTTGTGATGACTACGGAAGTAGCTCGCCGCTCCGTTGACGATGAGGGTCACAAGGGTGAGGGAAGAGATGGTGAAGATCTTCACGAGGAGGGTAGCATATGAGAAATGGCTCGGAAGCGAGAAGGTTAAAAGCTCACCATCGTCTTCCAACTGATCTCTTCCACGAAGGAGTTCACGAGCTCGCCCATGACCTCCAGGCTAACCTTGGCGCGTCCAACTTTGGATGGATCGCGGTTCATGCAGACCTCCCATGCAGAGCATTGGTGAGCCATTGCGGGTATCCGAGACTCGGCGCAGAGGTTCTCCTTGTAGCTTGAGGCACAGTGGGCGATGTCTTGAACAATGTTCATTGAATATTCAGCGACGCGATGTTCCACGTCTCGCTGGATCGTGAGGATAAACTGGACGGTGAGGTACACCACGATGGCCGCCAGTGACCCGTTGAAGAAGACTTGCACATAACTGCAGGGTTTGTGCTGGTCGATACCAAGTAACGCAGGAGAAGCAAATAGTAAGACGTACCCTAGGAGGCGGACATGAGAGTCGGATTGAGGAGCGGAAGGGCCAGTCATGTTGAGCGTGTAGTGGTTCGTGGTTTTCCGGGTCACCAGCCCAACGTCATCACCATCGCTCTCTCCTTCGCTGCTCTCTTCATCTTCCACTCGTGAACGGTGTCGCCGGAGGCGACTACGTTCCCTGCTGTTCCGCTTCTTGTACACCCTCTGCAGCGCACCTGCAGCCAGCACCCTCTCTCCATCTCCATCATGTTCTTTTCCTTTCTCTGGAGATTGTCCGCCTAAGCTTGTGTCGGCCATATCAACGTCGTTCAGCTCAGGCTCGGGGAACTTGACGGGGCTCTGTGGGGGTGCCCATGCTGGCGAATGTGAGCTGTGGGGTGCGGGCTCCTGGAACAGGAAGGGAACGTTATTCCCCCGGCCAAATCGAGGCCATGATGGGCTATGCGGTTGAGGTTGCGGGAAGCCGGGGGAAGGAGTGTTCAGTTCCGCCAGCGATCCTGCAATGTGCGCGTGTGAGCACCAATGGAAGAACGTGTACGGCTCCTACACAGACAGAGTGGTTGGACGTGAAAAAGCCACGTCAGACTCACGTTTTTTCGGTGTGCGTGGGTCTTCCTGAGATGAGGAAGCCCACACAGGTTTTGTGTTGGAGCTGGGCCGAGAGGTGAACTCGAAGTCCATCGGTGTCTCGGTCGATCGTTCGGCACGGAGGCGATTCATAGCGGGTCGTAAGTCGTGTAAAGTACGTTTGAGGAGGTGAAGGTGGCTCCGGGGACGAGGCTGAGGGATGCTCCTCTATAGCGGTGGTCAGCGAAAGAGGCAGAGCTCGTGCGTGGCTCAAGCCGTCCCGGATTGGCGCCATGGCCCATAGCGCGCAAACGCGCGTATCACGTGAACGCGATATGACCTCGGGCGTCTCCTGTCCGCCAGCCCCGCTGCCAGCTGGTGCTCGCTGTCCTTCGCACCATCCTCCCGCGGATACCCTCACCCAACTTCTCCCTCGTGTTCACCATGTTCGCGGCCCTGAAAGCATCCGCTACGCGACACGCCACGAAACCCGCTGCTTCAGCCGTCCCGTCGATCTCGAGGCATTCACGATGCGTACATCCACTGGCAGTGGACTGGAGCGGATTCGTTGGACATGTGCCCCCGGTGACGGCAAACCTTGTTCCCATTGTAATTGAGCAGACTGTGAGTGTTGCCTCATTTAAAAAGCTTCGATGATGTTGAAAGGGCTCTGTAGGGCCGGGGCGAGAGGAGTTATGACATATTTTCTAGGCTGTTGCGCGAGCGGGTCATAATGCTTTACGGACCGGTAAGTACTCATGATACTCCTGTGCCCGGGACGGCCGTTCATGCTCGCTAGATCAGAGATACAGACTCTGCTCTGACGGTCGCACAACTACTCTTCTTGGAAGCTGAAGAGACGTCTAAACCAATCCATATTTACATCAACTCCCCCGGAGGCAGCGTAACGGCCGGTCTGGCCATTTACGATACGGTGCGTGCAACTGTGCCCGCATATACGCGTCTACAAAGCCCACCCCTTGACTGTGTCGCAGATGCAATACGTCTCTTCCCCCATTCACACATATTGCATCGGTCAAGCGTGCTCAATGGGTTCATTACTTCTCGCTGCTGGGGAGAAGGGGAAACGGCACGCACTCCCGAACTCGAGCATCATGATTCACCGTACGTTCTTTCTCTGGCTATGTCGAGCATTCCCTGATGTTCATATTCGTTGGACAGAACCCTCGGGTGGTGCCTCGGGACAAGCCAGCGACATTGCCATACATGCGAAGGAGATTCTGCGCGTCCGGGAAGTGCTGACGGGGATCTACCAAAAGCACTGCGGTCATGAGGGAGAGTCTGTGCAAGACGGGATGGACCGCTTTGGTACGTCATAACACAACTCGACCATCGATGTTTCACCGATCCTTCCTCCCATAGAGAAAGCCCTTGAGCGAGACTACTTCATGACAGGTGAGCCGAACGCTGGCCAGTCTTGGACGCGCGCTTTACTGACGACCTTCCCTAGCTCAAGAAGCTCTCCAGTTCGGGATCGTTGACAGGGTACTCGAGAAACGCCCGCATATAGAGAGCGTTTGACTCCCTTGAACTTCTTTCGATTCTCCAACCCCATAATCATTGGATTTTTAATGTACGTCGCGGCGTTCTGTGCTGGCTCCGGGTGTCGCACGTCAAAGCGAGTCCCTTGTTGCATCGAGACTACTTGCAGCGTCAGTACGCGCTGCAAATCGACCTCCGTGGCGACCATCGCCATGCGAGCAGCGACGAAGCGTTGAAGAGATCTAATTGGCACAGGCCATCGTTTGGCGTTGCGTACTTACGAACAATGTAGTGCGGTAGGAGCCCAAACTAGAAATGAGGATATACATTGGGACGTGCTAGACTCGGGTCTTACAGCTACGTGACGCTTTTCGGCTATCGATCATTCTTCTGCTGCCATCTCCGCCCGTAATTCCGCCAGTTCTTCGTCGGTGATGGGGGGAGCTCGGGGGAGGGTTCTCTGTACGGCGACGTCTGCGCCAAGACGACTTTCGACAGTGTCTCCTTCAGCCCGTCCCTGATGTTCCGGAGGACATGCACCGGCAGGCCATCGGGTGGGTGCCAAGGAAGGACTGTCGCATGCGTCTTGGGAAGAACAAAGTCGACAGGAGGAGCGTTACTATTGCGAGCAGCGCCGAGCTGCTCGGCGAGTAGGTGGCAGCAGTAGCAGCATCTCCGCCCAGTGCCTATCGGTGCGACTCTGCCCTGCCCAGGGTGGTTGTATCAGCGACCGTTCAGGAATGTCGAGGGGGTCAGAACGCACACGGAACACATCCTCCAAGTCACTGTAGGCGTGACAGATCCTCTCCTTTGCCATACTGGGGTCTGCGCGCATAGACCACACGAGGGCCGTGAGCGCGGCCTCAGCGTGTAGTGTCGCGCTGGAGTTAGCCGTTTGCACTGGTGCAAGCATGGTCTTGCCAAGGAGCGATTGTCGTAGTATGCTCATCTTTGTACGCTGTGCTGTCTGCAGAGCGTCCTTGAAAAGAGCCGGGGACCCGTCAGATGCGAGTTTGCAAGGGATACCCGGCAGCTGGAGACTGTAGGCTATCGCTGTGGGGGGCGCGCCTTTCGAAGTCCGCGTAAGGTGATAATGGTTCTGAGGGGAGCAACCAACGACTCAAGATATTTGATTGTGTGGGATTTTGCCGTCTCCCCCAGCGGGACGTACGCATCCGCCAGCACATCTACTAACGGTGAGATCAACAGGATGCAGAGGCAATCAGACATGACTGCGACGCACCTTCATAGTCGCAGTCCGAGTCATTCCCGGCATTGGCATCCATTGCTTCAGATTCTGCGGTGGTAGACTCGTTGCCTTCTCTTGTCGTCACCATCGCGCAATGCCACCAGAAGCAAGGATAGCGCACCATTGACGACTAACTCGGTCAGCAAGCCGTCGATGTCGAGCGGCGGAGTCGACTCGGCACCGGAGAGAGGCCAGACAATACCTGCACGAATCTCATTGGACGTTCAAATCGATCTATTGAACAGAGTACTCACCATCGAGGGTGGGACGTCTCATGTAGTAACTATCCCGCACAGAGGATAGGCTACCCTCCATATCGTAGGTGATCAGATGACCCACAACGCCGTGCGATAAGAGAGCGTTCAAAATGTCCATTGAGTCCCGTACGTCCTGGTATTCCCCCGGGCAGTAAGGGTTTTGTCTTGGAATAGCCATCTCGCGCAGGAATCTTCTCAAGTCTTGCACCACCTCTTGAAGTACCTGCGCTCACTGTGATGCAATCATCATGCATTATCGTTCGAGACTGTGAATCTGAATATTTGAACTGCCTCGGAGTCGTCGGGTGCAGCGGCGCCATTAGGAGCGGATGGGGATGAAGATGGCTCAAGTCCTCACCGCTCAGTGGTGAGAATTTCGGGCACAATGTGCTGGGGCAGCCTCATGTCATGATAATATTCATAGACGTACGGTCGCCGCCGCTCCTCCGACTGGTGCGCTCGACAGATCAGACTTGCAGGATGATCGTGCTCGGTACCCAGACGTCCTCCCCAGACCTTGTCGCCAGTCTTGACGCGGGAAAGCAGCTTGTGATGGCAGCGGCTCATGACATATGAGAAGAGTTCGTCAGTGGCTCTTGCTGGATTGTCGTCGGGCGTGATGCCAGTGGCAGTTACCACTGGTACAGAAGTACCGGATGACAACGGCTGTGTGTCTGATTCAACCCTGGTTTATGATGTGTATAACCAATGATCCAACCATCGGGTCGATACGCCAAAGAGCCCATTGTCGACCAAGTACTGTACGGAATACGACTTGCGCCTTCCACCCCTCAACTAACTCTCAGCTCCTGTGTCCCACTTCTTCCTGGAAACAAAATGCATGACAAATACAGGCGGCCAGAACTCAGGACCAGGCACATCCGGGATGTTCAGAGTTTTCAGCCCTTTAAGCAGCGCGCAGAACAACACGACCCAAAACTGCTCCTGCGACACCTTCAAGGACTCCAAGGGAAACGTGGGGAGTACAAGTTCTCTTATGTTGTGCTCGCAACCGCGCCACTGCGGATCCTGTTCCACGATGAATCGGAGGCAGTCGAGCCTCTCCAAGCGCGACTCCAGGAGCTTCATGATCTGTTGAAAACTGGTATCTGGTATTGTACAAATACAATCAGCCAAAACGTCATAATCTGAGCAGAAACTGGAAGGTGAAAGCACATGGCAGAAAGCTGGAAACCTGCACAAATACTGTGCGATAATGTGAGCCTCGCGTTCTCGTGATATATATTTGGCACAGAAACTCAAGTCTGCAGGATAGATGCTCACAGGGATACGCGCACCAAGATAGCTCCCATCCGCGAGTCGCGGAAACGAGTTATCTACGGATGGGTGGTCACGAATGAGGGGAGTTCACTCACCATATCTGTCGATTTCCGAATGAACTCCGGAAACAACGAAAAACTCCATTGTGTCGACAGAAGAAGGGAGAGACTCCACCAGTCTCTTTGTGCTTCGCGCGTCCATCTGGCCAATCTGGGTCGTGACCGTGTGTATATTAGCTCGTGGAAAAGAGCAATGCACCGTGTGTTCAAACCTTACCGACACGTCTTTGAGGCGGGAACAACAACCCTCCGGAAATTGAGCCAATACTGGATCGGAGTACCACTCCACGCGTGTGCATTGCAACCTGCGAAGGTCTGGGAACCCGCGGAGGACGTGGACAAAGGCAGCGAACGAGTCGAAGCGGACGTTATTGAGGCGCAAATCCTCGATCCGGGAACAAGACGAGTGGAGGCGGATGTGAAAGGTGTTGTATATGGGACTCCTGGGTGAAGGCGACAGCGTAGAGTGGCAGGGTCGTGGTAGGGGGGAACCTGGAGCGGGCGCCGTCGTCGGGGCGGGGGGCATTTGGATATGGAGTGACCGTAATTGGGGTAAAGTGGGACCGAGGAGGGTTGGGAAGAGTGGGAAGATGCGCTGGGAGGGCGAGGCTTGTTCCATGATGTTCACAGTATGCACATACCGTTGGATGGTGGTGTTGTCTCGTAGAACCTCCGCGAGTTTACACATGGCGCTGACGTCACGGATGTGCACTGTACGGAAGAGCCACTTGTGAGAGCGAAATCGCCAAGCTCTGCCAACAAGAGCGTAGGAATTGAAGTGACGAATATTTTCTTCTTTGAAAGAATCGTCATGATGGAGTGGAAAGCTGGCATCGATGATGAGGTGGAACAGCTCAAGTGGGAAAGGAGGCGACCGAGGGTATTCGCGGTGTCGGTGTACAGGACGCACATCCCTCGCGGCCACTGGGGCAAACGTCGCTGGTGCAGCTACGGCGCATTTATATGCCAGTGGCATCTGGAAATACACTCCCAGTCAGATCCACGGTGTGCGGGTCATAACCGAGAATACTAACCAAGTGGGTTCTGTGGATTGGATATCTGGGACGGCACGGATCCGGGATGATTGCAGCACCCAGGTATCCGGAATTGCCAACGAGTCCCCTCTCGCAAATGACACGTGACTGTGGGTATCGCTGAGGCATCGGGCGTCTCTCTCCTCTTTTCGCTACTTCCCTCCTACACCTTCCTACACCCACTGCACTCCTTTCTCGATCATAAAACGGTCGTGGCAATTGAATGGATTGCGACCGCTTTTTCGGCGTTAATCAAAAGAGGCCTTTGCAGTTCACTTCGAATGTTCGAGTACCCTTGGATATGGGGCGTTGGCTCTTCAAGCGATACCGCACATGTCGACACCGAAGTCAGAAGGCTCGCGTTGATTCGAACTCCCGGTTGGCAGTGAAGAAGTACGTAGGCATCAATTGCTTGAGGCATCCATCGAAGGGCATTGGCACGTACGGAGTTCATTAATAGCCCACGCACGTTCTTCAGTCAAATGTTTCATCCGTGCGTGATTGCCTAGGTTTGTCCTCTTATAAATACTTCCCCGAACAGCTGCTGGGTAGGTTGTCCGTATAGACGAAGGATAAGTACTCGTCACAGTCAAGACGCGGTCACCGATCAGTAACAGTCACAAATAGTCACTCAATATTGGCGCTTACCGGCCAAGAACGCTGGCTCATGTCGACGAGTCGGCGTAGGTAAGTTATACCCCAAGACCTGCATTCGCATCGAGAACGACGACAAGCCGAGACTATTGCAACTGGGAAAAAACAACACCTCATTTCGACGCAGAAACATGCGACGGAGCGGCTCTCTGGGGTCCCTGTGGTAGACGTTCTGCTCATGATCATGGGGTTCTTGGCGTGCACTTCCTTCAGTAGCTAGTGCTCTGGCGGCAACGGCGTCCACATTTACGTGGCCCCAATAGAAAACGCACCGCAGTGGACTGCGATGCACGAGATGGTCTTCGACGGACAAGACTCGTACGACCCTGTACGAGCCCAGTGTCACTACCAGCAGCTATGGCGACACATGTTCCTCTTGAAGGCTCTCCTGTCAAGCGGCATCGTTGCCCACCTCATCACCGACGACCTGGACAATGGCCTTTCCGGGATGCGCAACAGGAGCTCCAAGCGCTTCGACATCAACAGTGAATCCTAGTTCACATGTCGCAGTACTAGAACGATATTAGTGTCCGGGTGCACCAGGGAGCGCGGGGCGACTAAATTGGGTGTGGGGCAGCCATGGTGCGTTGTACAGGCGCTGTTGGATCGGTGTGGTGCTCATAAGCCTTGGTATATAGCGGATGTTTCTGGCGTCGGGCAACCCAAGTCACAGGAGGACCTGCACTCGACAAACGCCCAGGTAGACGCGTCCATCTTCTCCAAGATCATTGGGTCACATGCCAGCTCCGTCGGTCGCCGTCGGGAAGAAGTGCGCGGAGTCGATGAAGGAGGCCAGCTGGAGGGGCTTTCCGCTGTGAGAGTCGCCTGGTTACCCATCCCGGCGCGCCAACCGTGCATCTTCTCCCACGGAGCCACCGACAAGCACAGAAGCTCGCGTGGCGCGTCTCTTTCCTCCTCATCCACCGTCACACCGCACGACGCAAACAGCTCCATGGCTCCCTCAGTATCAGAACATACCCCTCGTGAGGTGGGCACTCCGCTGCCCGTGGATCCACAAGTCCGCCCAGAAACCTACACATACGACTACATCATCGTGGGAGGTGCGTCCTCCTTCAGTTGTCCGTACTAAAGACGCGCGCCCCTGACGCAAGGGCTTGCCAACCAGGAGGGACTGCGGGATGCGTCGTCGCCTCGCGTCTGTCGGAAGACCAGAAAGTGTCCGTGCTCGTCATCGAGCAGGGCCCGGTCGACGACTCGTGGCTCTCCCGTGTCCCGCTCGCGTCGGGAAACATATACGAGGGCGAGCATCCGATGGCGCTACGGTGGTGGTCCGAGCCTCTTCGACATGCCAACAATCGCTTCCTCGAGATATTCCAGGGAAAGGCGCTGGGTGGCGCGTCCCGTGTGAGCGGCATGCTCTACACTCGCGGTGAGCCGTCGCTTCCCACGGATGATTGTGAGGACGTTTCGTGGCTGACGAGGCCGGAAGGTACTCCGGGTGACTACAACAGGTGGAAGGAGCTCGGGAACGAAGGGTGGGGCTACGACGACCTGCTCCCGTACTTTGTCAAGTCCGAAAAAACACACTCCCACCCGGCCTCTGCGTATAGGGGTAGAGAAGGTGGGCTGTCGCCGGGAGCATTGTCTTGGATCAAAAATGACGAACCTATGGCCACGCAGGTGTTTGGCAGAATAGGAACTTCGCCCACTCTCCGTACAAGGTGACCGACTAGTGAGCATTCCCACCCCTCCAAACATAGCTCGTTTCACTCACGTCGCCTCCCAGCGCCGACCGCGCGTGCCAGAAGCTCGGATTCCCACAGGTGCCAGATCCGAACGCGCCTAACGTCCCCGCGGCACACATCGCGGTCCTCGACTCGATGCAGGACGAAAAGTACAGGCGGAACTCGACCTTCCTCGCGTTCCTGCCCCCGCACGTCGCCCAGGAGCGCAAGGAGAGGCTAAAGATCTGCCCGAACTCGGTCGTGTGCCGCGTCGAACTCGCCAAGAGTGGGGGCGATGTGCGCGCGACGGGCGTCCACTTCGAGACGGCGAACCCGCGCAAGGCCGACGCGCAGTACGTCGCCAAGGCGAGGCGCGAGGTCATAGTCTGTGCTGGCGCGATGGGTTCCCCCCAGATCTTGATGTTGAGGTGGGCTATCCGTCCGGCTCGTTTATGGAAACTAGACTGACCTGTGGGCTCTCTGTTAGTGGACTTGGTCCGAAGGCCCATCTGGAGGACAAGGGCGTTGATGTTGTTCTCGACCTTCCCGCTGTTGGAAGCCATCTGGTGAGTTTCTGAAGACGTTCAACTCCCGTTGGCTGACCGTCCCCTCAGTCAGACCACATGGGCGTGCCCGTTGCGGTCGAGGTTCCGATCAAAGACTCGCTCCACCAGCTGGAAGTGAGCCCGCTCACCGCCGTCAAGGAGGTGCTCAAGTACGCCACAACGGGCCGCAGCGTGCTCGCGCGCCCGTTTCAGAACCTCTCCGCCTTCTTCCCCTCACGCCTCGTCGACCCCGCCTCCCACGCGGTCTCCCCGGGCCCCGACGGCGCCGCGGACCTCGACGCGCGCGTGCCCGCGAACCGCCCGGACATCGAGATGATGCTCCTCACGAACAACTGCGCCGACGTCGACACGCCCAAGGGCGTCGGCGTCTTCACGCTCGCCGTCGCGCTCGTGCGGCCGCGGTCCGAGGGCGCCGTGCGCCTCGCCACTGCGAACCCTCGCGTGCGCCCGGCCGTCGACCTCGGCTACCTCTCCGACCCCGCGGACTATGCGCCACTGCGGTCCGGGATCCGCCTCGCGCTGCGCGTGCTCGACGACATGCGCGCGCAGGGATACCCGATCAAACGCGGGCTGCAGCTCCCGCCCGAGCGGAAGAGGAGGCGGCGAAGGGGGGCGCGAGCGCGAGCAACGACGAGGCGCTCGATGCGTGGATCCGCGCGCACCTCCGCACGTTCTGCCACTTCACGTCGACGTGTCGGATGGGCGCGGAGGAGCGGGAGAGCGTCGTGGACGCGCAGCTCCGCGTGCACGGGGTGAAGGGGCTCCGTATCGCGGACACGTCTGTCTTCCCCGAGATCATTGGCGCGCACACGATGGCCCCCGCGGTCGCGGTCGCGGAGAAATGCGCGGACATGGTGAAGGCGGCGTGGGCTTGAGCCAGGAACCGTGACGACGAGCCTACGAGTTTGGGGTCGGGTGGGTGCTATTCGAGTGTTTGCAAGTGATAACGCGATCTCGACAGTGCGACAGCACATGCAAGGTTCGTATGTTGCAGATACAGGGAACGCTCATGGTCTGCACTTACCATGTTGGACGAGGTGGAGAAGGGTATTATGCGACACACGCTCAGATCACTCTGGGCACGGTGCCATCGCGGTTCGAAGTATATTTATTTCTGCTTTCCTTGGCGCACATCATCCACGACATTCTCAAGGTGGGGTTCAGAAGAAGCAATCCCGTAAGACCGAGAGCTGGTCTCGGAGGCAACATCCGCAGTGTCGCTCCATCACAAAAAAGGCGACTTCCCTCTCTCCCAAGGCGCAGCCGGTGAGAGCGACCTCATATTTCCGTCGCGACGTGCTCCGCTTACGTCAAAGGGTAGATGTTGTGGACGACTATGCAGTGCAGCGGGCGCTCGCATCACCGTTTGGAATAGCACAACTGTCTGAGAACGGTCGCAGTGCTCCCATACCATCCCACAGGGCTGATGCGCTCGTCCTTGCTGCCTTCTTCAAGAGGATGCTGCACAGTCTGCACCTTGCCGGCGGGATGACGGCATCTGTCGAGGCACCGACGAGAACCTATGCACCCTTCTCGTCGAACTCTTTGTCGCGAGACCCTCAGGCACAAAATCGACGAAGCTCCCACATACTGCCATGAGATGACAAGCGACCACGACTCCGGCGGCAAGATGGACGGGCATCACTGACGGGGAGACGTAAGCACTTGGGAACCATACTGCCAGAGGACCAATAACTGATGGTTATGCGTCATGCTCCAGGCTCGGAAGCAAGACCATCTATCCTTGCTCCCACCCCCTCGACCGAACTGGAGCACAGTCCATGCGCGCTCAGAAGGAGAGGAGCAGCGAATACCTGGGCGGCGAATTGGCAGCCGCAGACGGCCTGGGAAAGCGACGGATATATCAACATGGCCCCGTGCGAGCGAGTGGCTCAAGTGTGTCCTCGCGCCGCGATTTGGGAAGGCTTTTGGGCATGTCATCCAGATGATCGGCAGTTCTAGTCATCCTCTTGTCCATGGTTCATTGCTGTGACCGCGCACTTCCTGGGACACGCATCGTGCCTGCAACGTGCCTAGCACTCGTCAAAGAGAAGCTCAACATACCGCCGGCGCGTCGGATGGAAGCTTGGGGCACAAGAGCGCGCGCCAAGGTTTTTGCTCTTGACAGCTTCGCTCCTCAGCGGCTCGTAGGCCAATGGTCTGCAAGGAGGAGCGCCGAAGTATATATACCTCCGCTATTACCGGCTCCTCCAGCTTGCGACATCCAGACCCTCCGCCGACCCGTTCACCCCGCCTTCGCAGTCGTGCCCGCTACTCGGATGGCGTCCATAACGCACACGTTCGTCCCGCCGCCGCCTGGGCTGAACTACATCGTGGCGTTGGGACCGTCGGTGACGCTGCTCATGGTCGGGACCGTCTGTGCGTCAATGCTTATACCTATCACCGTCGGTCTCTTCCTCGTCTCGTCTCCATCCTTTCGACGGTCGCCGCTTTTCATCCTCAACGTGCTTTCGCTCTGCTTCGGTCTCATACTCGGGGTCCTGAACATTATCGAGCAAGTAAGCGCCCCGTTCGAACCATTCGGCCAGGAACGGCTCTTCTGACCAGAGACCATGGCAGGTCCGGGCAATTCTCGCCATGCCCGTAAACAATGCGTTCAACGTCGGCGCGGCCATCGCGCTCTTCCTCTGTCCGTTCTTCGCCGAGGGTGTGCTCATCCTCCGCGTCGTCGCCGTCTACCCGCCCGCGCAGCTCTCGTGGCCGAAGCGGGTCGCGATCTACGGCACGATCGCCGCGTTCAAGATCGCGAGGATAGGAAACTTCGTGCAGGCTACCGTGCAGCTTTGGGACTTCATGCAGAACAACCCCGACCCGGCCGCGGCGGCGCTTGTCGCCCAGGTGCAGCCGTGGCCGAAGGTGGAGTGGTTTCTGCAGACGTTTGACACCTCGTGCGTGCGTTCCTTCCTTCTGAGGGGAACCTCCGATCTCGAGCAAGCCGCATAGATTCGCTTCGATGCTCTTCCTCGCGCGGTTGCGCGTGGTGAGCTTCAGGCGGCCAGGCCAGGGAGGGCTGAACGTCAGCACCGGCACGTCGGCAAGCAGCTCCCGAGGTGCGTCTCGCCTTCCCTTTCCCACCCCGCACCCCGCACTCACCCGCCCCACATGTGGGTCCCCCGCGCGAAGGCTCCTACCTCTCGCGCCTCCGCCTCCTCTTCTGGATCGCGGCCTCCAACTTCGTCATCCCCGTGCTGCTCAACGTCGGGCAGCTCGTGGACCTCTACCTCGACCCGAACTTCCTCAACTACTCGTACATCTACTTCGTCAACGTGTACGTCGCCATCGTCGGCACGCTCCTCGCCACCATCTGGTGCTCCTCCACCGGCGAGGGCGAGGGCACCGGCGGGGCCCGGACGGCGCGTACGACGGCGTCGGGCGCCCGCGCGCATGGCGACGCTCACGCTGAGCATGCCGCACTTCGCGACCGCGAGCGAGATGTCGCGGACCGAGTCGGCGAGCAGCGCGGACGACGGGACGGGGCGCGGCAGCTGGGGCCCGGGTCCGAGAAGGACAAGGGCTTGGGGGATATGGTGTTCGAGATCGTGGCGGTGGATCGACTCGCGGACGTCGAGAAGGGGATCAAGGCCTGAAGCGGGCTCGGCGTCGGTCGCAGTACCTGTTGTATGTATATGAGTTATTGTTGTCCATCCGGTCCTCTAGACGAAGTTTAAGACATAAGGCGCGGGCAAGACGTGGCCGTAACGTATACGGTATCTCCGCCCGTTGATTGACAGGCGTCTGCAATGCGAGCACCCCGCACTCCGTCATACTCGAGAGGCGGTTAATGCGAATGCTATGTGGCGAGTCGCGACTCCTATTCCCATTGACTTGAAAAACACAACGGCGCGCCACAAGAAGGCGTTGGGATCGACACATGATTCAAGTACAAGGCTACAGGTCATATGTGGTGCGCAGGAGTCAAGGTCGGGGTCGGAGAGTACACTGAAACAGGTTGATGTTGGACCATCCGAAGAACTGGTGCGGCGATCGCGATGTTCGTCAGAATGACGGGGGCTCTGCACTGTACGGTCATATGAGAGCGAATGGTCAGCTGTAGAACACTAGAAGAAGGGGAAACTCACTCGCGTCGGCCAGATCGATCAGATCCTTCCGCGATGGTGAGCGCTGCGAACCCGGGTGGCAACAGCAGGCGAGGAGCAAGCTCCCACCGAATCGATGATGCGCTCAAAGAGACGCATATAATTGCCACCCGGGACGCCATCCCCAGGTGCGTTGCGGCGCAGTTGGCTTCCCTGCCGAAGCGGTACTAGTCCCGAGGGCCACGAAGAGGCCTGCGCCAGGAACGACCCCGCCGCGGCGAGCGCAGCAGAGGCCGACCCTTCCTCGGGGGGCTTCTTGATTCTGGGAGGCGACGTTCGTGGCGCTCCCCGATAACCGCTGCGAAAGAAAAGACGTGTTAAAGAAAGATATGTGCCGTGGCGGCGTGGGTGGGTTGTGGGGATGCATGCGCCGGGAGGCGTGTTCATGCACCCCCAAGGGTGGTTGGGGTGGTGGTCTGCAAGCTCAACGTGGTCAGAAACCGCCGCGCGCGCGACGAGGAATCACTTACTGTCTGTGACGGCGGCGCCCCAGGACGACTCGAGACGAGCGCGTCCGTACGTGCGAAGATAAGGGTGAAGCACGGGGCGCCGCGAGGGTGAGGAACCGAAGAGAGCGTTTGCCCACTCCGGTCGACACGCGATGCGTCACATTTGTGAACAACTTCACACGCGCGCCGGGGAGGCTGCACGCCAAAGAGTCAGCCTCGGAGCACGTGAAAACAAGGAGAGACTCACTGTCACGACCTCCTCCCCCGCAATGGCGACGCGACACCGAACGGTGACGAGCCCCTCCAACCCGCATCCTTCGCCCATGACAGTTCCCGGCGCGAGAGAGGGAGGAGCCCGGCCGCAAGGTGCGTACGTCGCCGCCCACCCCGCGGACCGTCGAGTCGACGGGTCCGGGAGGCGTTAGTCTTTGACCACATTGCGCTTCCCCGTCCCTTGGGTAGCCGTCTCCGACGGCCCCTCAAGCCCCGGACGCCGCACGAGGCAACACCCAGTGCCGGTTCAGGTACTCTCGTCTCGGCGCACCCCAAGGCAACCTCAGTCCCCTGTACCGACTCAAACGGAGGTCGACGTGCCGCCGCGCACTAGGGCGCGGACGACCAGGACACAGTCCGCGCGGCAAGCAGGCTTCCTTGATCACAGTCCGGAGCACATGGGTCTGGGATATGTACCCCCCTCCCCCTCCCGCCTGAGCGAGAGTGTATGGGGAAGGTTCGCATGCCGCCTGCCGAGAAGTCTGCTGTTTCCCATCTGTGGCGAGGGCGAGTGGCGCATGGCGAGAGACGAGAAGAGGAGAAGGGCGGGGACGTACACATTCCAGGGACAGCCAGACCTCCCACCACACTGTAGAAGAGACGGGGATGAGCGGGCGTGACGCGGGCGAGAAGAAGGGGAAGGCTCACCGATGGTGATGGTTCTGGGGCGAGAGCGAGTTCGGCGGGCAGGCGCGTTATATGGGACGGAGGCTGGCGGATTCAGACTCCGCTCCGTGAACCCGAGTAGCTGACCGGCAGTCTCGGCCTCTCCTGGTTGCTCTCGCCGGCGTGATTGTGGTCGGCCAAGGATCGATACCGGGCGGACCCGATCGCGAGCGTTGTGCTTCTAGTAGATGTGGGCGTCCACTGAAGATGAAGCACGTGGTAACCAAACGAGTGAGTCATACGGTGGCGGTTGTCTCTGGTACATAACTCGTGTTTTTTCTATGCAGGGCTTTTGGATCATCGTGTACGAGGCCAACTTGAGAACCACCAGAGGCACCGAGTGCTTTCGATCACAGATGCTTCGACAGCTGGGACTACCCGCAGAATGCTCATTCCAAGTTACTCACTTGTTATTTGCAATTTTAAAGCTACTGCATGTCTACAACACAGATTATGTGGACTCTTTCTCTTTCTTCTGATACTGGTCGCCGTTGTTCTGCGGAAGCAACCCAATACAAGGCTTGTTCAGCTCTCTGCATGTATTTGTAGAGACACCAACACGTACCGCATTAGTGCAGCCCCTCTATCAGAGGCGCAGAACCTGATGCGGTTCACTGCGGGACACGGTGACCGAATCTGGATGAAGACGGCTACAAGAGTAAGAAAGAGTTGGCAGTGAGGCTTGAGCGCGCCGCGGCCACCGAAGGGCCGATCGAGATCTTCGGCACGTGGCTGAACGCGCAATGAGTGAAGCGCCCGTGTGGCGGGACGCGTTTTCGGATCCGGGGAGGCAGGAAGCCCGTTCCGCGCGACCTCCCTCCGCCTCCCCACCCGCCCCGCCGCCAGTCCCCGCCTCTCCCTCTCCCCCCTCCCCCTCGCACCGACCATGCTCTCCGAAGAAGACATCGCCGAGGAGATCCGCAGCGCGCTCCCCGGCACGGAGGAGATCATCGTCCAGTACCTCTCCGGCTACCTCCTCGACCTCGACGACGCCGCAGAAGATGAAGACGTTCTCCAAGTCACCCGCGACATCCTCGAGTCCGCGATCGGCTCGTCGTCCAGCCACGCGAAGCGCGAGGAACTGGAGAAGCTCGTCTCCCGACTGGCGGACGTCCTCAAGGAGCCCTTGACGCGCCGCGAGGAGAAGAACCGTGCCGGGAAGGGATCGGGGCTCGTCAGACTGGACAAGGTCATGGATCTGAGCAAGGCGAACAACATGAGCTCCACGATTGCGTTTTCGGAGGGAGTGGACCTCGAGAGCATCAACAAGGGAAAGTGGGTAGTTCTGTCGCTTTGCGCGTCATGCTCGCGCGAGCCCCGGTATCTTCTAGGGCCTCCCGTGTCGATGTCAAAAAGCTCGAAAAGCAAGAAGCCAAGCTCAGGGTGAGTACCTTGCACGCTCTGCTGTGGACTGTGATGGTCATATGCGGGGTTGTAGGCCAAGATCGAGAAGCGAGCAAAGCGTACAGGGAACACCCTCTACGAGGGTTCCAAGCTGCTCGACCAGCACAGGAAACAGGTGCGCCATACGTTTTCGAGCCAGCGTTGCGAAGCATTCTGAGTGAGCCGCTGCAGGAAGCGTACGAAGAGATGTTCCTCAAGATCAACCCGCTGGACGCGGCTGCCGCGTCCAAGAACAAGTCAAAAGACATCCACCTCACCAACATCGACGTCAACTTTGGCTCCAACCGTATTCTGTGCGTCTCCCTCGCTCGCCACCCCTTGCACTGCGGAACATATGCCTGATACCCACTCGTGCGCACAGGTCCGGCGCCTCTCTCACGCTTCCCTCTGGGCGGCGTTACGGCCTCATCGGTCGGAACGGTGTCGGTAAATCACGCTCCTCCGACACATCGCGATGCGCGACGTCCCCATCCCTTCGCACATCACTATCCTCTTTGTCGAACAAGAGGTGAGTCCGCCCGCGCACCCATCCTCTTTGATTCACTCACAGATCATCCCGCCACGGGCGCTCAGATTGTCGGCGACGACACGCTCGCGATCGACTCCGTGCTCAAGGCCGATGTCTGGCGCGACACGCTCCTGCGCGAGGAGGCTTCGCTCAATGCGAGGCTCGCCGAGCTCGAAGGCGAGGGTGACGACAAGCGCTTCGAGGACGCGCGCGACGAGGCGCAATCGCGTCTGGTGGAAGTTCACGCACGCCTCGCGGACATGGAGGCGGAAAGCGGCCCGGCGCGGGCCGCGGCGCTCTCGCTGGTTTGGGATTCAGTGAGGAAGACCAGCAGCGGCAGACGCGCTCGTTCAGTGGTGGTTGGAGGATGCGTCTTGCGCTTGCTCGCGCGCTCTTTGTGAAGGTCAAGAGAACTCCTATGCTGTTTTTACGGGCGCTGACTCGTTTTACCCAGCCTGCCTATTGCTACTTGATGAGCCGTCCAACCATAGTGCGTCCCGCCTCCGCGAATGCCTGGTATATTTGAGGCTGACAATCACTATAGTCGATCTCAACGCTCTTGCATGGCTGGAAGACTACCTCCAAACATGGCCTGGCACTTTGCTCGTCGTGTAAGCTTTATGCCGCATGGATAAGTGTATCTCACTGACGCCCACCTTCCAGCTCTCACGACCGAGCATTCCTGTACGCTAGTCGTCCTACCTCCGGCCATTGACGCTAACCGTTCTCTTCAGCGACGCCGTCGCCACTGACATCGTTCACATGCATTCCGGTCGTCTGGACTACTATAAGGGGTGAGCCCTTTTTTTGCTGTCTTCTAACCCTTTCCTGATGTTGCTGCCAGTAACTTCACACAGTTCTATTCCACCAAGTCAGAGCGCGACCGCAACCTCCGGAAGGAGTACGAGACACAAATGGAGTACCGCAAGCACCTACAGGCTTTCATCGACCGTTGGCGGTACAACGCCAACCGCGCCGCACAAGCGCAGTCAAAGATCAAGATTCTCGAGAAGGTCCGTCCATCTGCACATCGCTTTATGTCGCTTGAAAAATTGACTGTGGGCTCGTTGTATAGTTGCCAGAGTTGGAACCACCAGAGGAGGAAGACACAGAGACGTTCAAGCTGCCGGAGACGGAGAAGATCTCACCGCCGGTGCTGCAGCTGAGCGAGTTACGTTCGGGTACACGCCCGACAAGATCTTGCTCAAGGGGCTCAACTTCGACGTCGGGCTCGATTCGCGGATCGCTGTCATCGGACCCAACGGTGCCGGAAAGTCTACGCTGTATGCCCATCAGTCTTTTCGTGGCGGGACCGGGCTGACAAATCTTGCGTGTCAATGTGTAGCATCAAGCTTCTCACCGGGGAGCTCAAGCCCATGGCGGCCACGTCACCAGAATGGCCGTCTCAGGATGTGAGTTCTGAAATGCAGTTGAGACCTGTCCGCATTGACGCCTTTTCGCAGTGGCTACTTCGCCCAGCACCACGTCGACAACCTCATCCCATCGATGTCGCCCGTGCAGTTCCTGGCCCACAAGTTCCCCGGCAAGACGGAACAGGAGTACCGCCAGCACCTGGGAAACTTCCAGATTAGCGGCATGACTGGGTAAGTTCTCCTCTGATTCATCTGTAATTTCATGCCCTCATCATCATTATGCTTTAGCCTGCAGTCGATTGGCACACTATCAGGAGGTCAGAAGTCGCGTGTGGCGTTCGCCGTGTTGTCGCTCCAGCGCCCGCACGTCTTGCTGCTGGATGAGGTCTGCACTGTCTTTCATTCGACGATCCGTGGTTTGGCACGCTCACGACGACGGTTTGGTAGCCTACTAACCACTTGGATATGGAGGGTCTCGACGCGCTCATGAACGCCATCGGTGCATGGAACGGTGGCGTAATTCTCATCTCCCACGACGAGCGGTTCATCACCTCCGTCGCTAACGAGGTCCGTCCCGTATCTATGCTGGATTATATGCGAACTTATCTTGTCGCTAGCTCTGGGTATGCGCGGACGGGACGGTGATGAAGTTCAAAGGCGACGTGCAGGCGTACAAGGTCGGTTGGCTCCCCTTCGCATGGACCGCGCTCACACCCGCACAGAGCCTTATTGTCAGCAACATCAAGGCAAAGCCGTAATCGGCCACGATTCCCATGGATTATTGGCTTAGCCGACTTCCGGTGTACTGTCATGTAAGAGTGGTGTACTATGTTGTATGACAAACGGCGCTTGGTGTGGATGTGGAGAGACGCCCGACGCCTGTCATCCGCCGCCGACAAGAGTCGTCAACATCGGTAGAGAGGTGAGTGGCCAGATTATTTGCATGATGCGGGCTGATGTTTCTGGGACTTTGCACAGGTAAATGAATAGGCAGTGGATCTGGACAATGACCTTCGGGCGCCGACGAGTTGCCCTTTGCGGAGGCATTGGGTGCCATGCCTCGGATATGAGCCCATCCCACGCCTGACAGGTATGTTTGATTCGGGGGCCGGTGCACGAACAAAGGAGCACAAGAGCCTCGCGGATGCCTGCAGGCAAGCGGCCTATTGTGACTTGTTTGCCCAGCTCACGTGACCTGTTTTCTCCACCGCCACTCGCCACGTCCACTCCGCAGCGCTTCCCAAGTCCCTCCCGCCTTCGCTCCCATATAAGCCCGTCCTCCCCGCACGCTGCACCCCTCCTCATCCCTCTCGCCTTTCCCTTGCATTTAGTCATACCTCTCACAGACCTTCCGGGGATTGTTCACGACTCTTCGGACCCTTACCGGAATTTTCGCGCTTGATTGGTCATCGCCCAGTTGCAGCAGTGGCGACCGCAACCCACCCTCCGATCTCCTCCGATAACGCACCTAAGGACCCACCACGACGCACGATGGGCCTCCCGTCCACGTCCTCGCACCACTCCCGCCTCACGATGAGCGCCAGAGCACGAACTACGTCCTCCCGCCGGTGGCCGTCGTCGTGCACAAAAGCAAAAGAAGACGCGCGCACGATACGATCTGAGCCGGTGGCGCGCAGGCTCTCGTCCTCGTCCGCGGCGAGCGCCCCGGGCTCGCCACTCGACATCCTCAGCTCCGTCGCCGCCGCGCTCGAGCCCACGCCGGCGATCCGTCAGATGACCGCCGGAGCCCGGCGGAGGACCCGCCCGGCTCACCTCCGAGTCCGCCTCGTCCGATACTGGGACGACGAGAGGTCGAAGGCGAGGACGAGGGTGAAGATGCCTCACCGAACCCGACGAAGACGCAGAGATGCTCGATTGCGACGACGACGACGACGACGACGACGCCGCCGCGGACACAGACGACGACTTCGACCTCGATGATGAGCCCGCAAACGGCGAACCGCGGTACAAGGTTCGTATCCGGTGTCCGGACCTTCCTTTCTTCCAGGTTTCTCGATAGCTCAACGGACTCCTTTGTTCCCTTGCTCCGCAGACAGGGGACCTGGTGCGGCTGTACGCCTCCGTCCGGACGCACGAGCTCTCGCAGCTCTACACGATCGCCGACCTCGCCGTCTTCCCGCCAAAGCTGGTGCGTGGCCCACCCCATCCGTCGCTCACGTCCACCCGCTGATCGTTCGTTTGCCCCCCTCCCTCCAGTGCCACGGCGGGACCACCTCTACCCCGTGCTCACCCAGGTGAAGCCCCGGGTGGTCGAGTACTACCCGACCTGCCTCATCGGCCCCTTGGACGACCGGCCTGTGCTGCGGCCCCGAAAGGGGCGACGCTGCTGATTCTCGCGTCCGTTCTTTGTGTGTGTGCCGCGTGTTCTGGACGCTGCACTGCCGCCGCCGAACATTCTGGAACTTTCCGCGGTGCCGCTCCGCTTTTTGTCGCTATCGTAAAAGCCCCTATTCTTCGTGTACTCATAGTGTAACACTCCTTCGCTGTACCAACGGATCCAATAGATCTTGCCCGCATTGAGTCTCAATGTGCATATCGAGCCTTTCGCGAATATTGTTGCTGTTGGGATCATAGTGGCGTGAAAAATTTCCATGTACGGCTGTCCTTGGAAACCGACTCCAACGGTTACTATATCGGGAGCGGTGTGTGCTGCGGTGGATCCTCGACGTCACACATACAACAGACAACATGGCACAAGACGTGCGTATTACAAAACGCTAGATCTAATAACTACAAGAATAATACTACAGAATCATGCGAGCACCAAAGCCAATCATAGCGACGAGGAGGAGAGGAGAAGTCCACGAAAGACGAACAGTGAGCGCGGTAGAAGGGGACGGGCACCATGGACACGAGGCTGCGCAACGGGGGACAATGGCCAGCCGGGAAAGGAGCGAAGGCACCACGGACCGCCCGGCAGCTACTCCTCGTCACTATTCGACATGTACTCGTCGTCGCTGATGATCGCCTTCCGGCTCCTGCTCCGCGGCGCCGCCGGCCGCTCGTCCTCCTCCATCGGGTGAGCGCCGAATCGTATCCGCCCGTCGAGCCTCCAGCGCCAGGCGCCGGCGGCGCGCCAGGGAGGCCGCTGCCGACGATGAGGCGGGCGAAGGCGGCATCCAACGTCTTCTCCATCTCGTCCGCGTCGACGTAGACCCAGGAACCCTCCTGGTTGTACGTGCGGGCGTTGTTGAACATGAGGCGCATGTCTTCGCGGAAGTCGAGCACGGACTTGTAGTAGCCGGACGAGACGCGCTTGCGAATCGTCGAGAGCGCGATTGGGTGCTGGATGAGGTGGTAGTAGTCGGGGTACTCCTAAGATATGTGATTTGTCGAAGCGTAGTGTAGGACAGGGTATAAGGGGAGGGGAGGGGGAACCAACGTCAGCGACGGCGCGACGGGTTTTTCGGTGCACGTTTACTGACCCTTCTGTCAGGGGGCTCCCTGAAAAGATCACTCCGTCTCCGACCGGTCTCATCTGCGCAGTTGACGACAGCCTTGTGGACTTCCGTCAAAGCCTTCTTCATCTTTTCTTTGAGCGGCGGCGGAATGTCCTGCTTGGTCTTGCGCCGTTTCTTCGCACGGTAAGACACACGGTCAGCGCCAAACGATGACCCGTTCCACGATATTCTACTCACCGAGTCGCGGTCGTCGTCGTCCTCCTCGAGTAACGGAGTCGTCGACTTGCCACCGCCACGCTTGCGCTTCGTGCTCGCTGGGGTCAGGACGTCGAGCTCGGACGCCTTGCCCTTGCCCTTCTTCTTCCGCCCGCGTGGCGTCTCGAAGTCCGGCGCAGGCGAGTTCGACTCCGTCTCGCGGACGGCCTTGGTCGCGGCCCGACGGTCCTTCTTCTCGCGCGCGCGCTCCGAGAGCTCCTGGATGTCCTCGCCGTCCTCGACCGCCATCGCCCACTGGTCGTCGCTGAGGCCGTCCGAGTAGTTGACGACCGTGCGCCGGCGGTGCCCGCGGCCCTCGACCTCATCCAACTCGTTCTCCTGCGTGAACGGCTCGTCCGTCCGGTAGCACTCCGGGAGCTCCTCGAGCTGCATGAGCGGTGGGGGCGGTTTGCCGCGGAAGCCCGCGCGCTTCCACGCCTCGAGCTGCTCGCGGGACCGCTGGACGTCGTACTCGTGGTACAGTATGGCCTCCTCGGGCGAGCGCGCGATGATCTCGTTGATCTCGTCGTCGTTCATGTCGCCCGCCTCCTCGTTCTCCTCCTCCTGGTCGGCCTCAAGGATAGAACGGAGGAACTCTTCTTGCTCTTCCTGAGTCGACTTATTGTCGAAGCGGCCGGCCTGGATGACCTTGTCGTCGATGTCGAGCTTGTAACGGGCGCGCTGGAACATGGCCTCTTCGACCGACTTCTCTGTGATGAACCGCAGGATACGGACGACCTTCGTTTGACCGATACGATGGGCACGATCTTGCGCCTGCAGATCAGCATGGGGGTTCCAGTCACTGTCGAAGCTAGAAAGAGACGAGTTAAGTACGTTGAATGACACGAGACACCAAACAGGACTTACATGACGACAGTATCGGCCGTTTGCAAGTTGAGACCGAGGCCACCGGCACGAGTGGAGAGGATAAACACCTTGTACTCGGAGTTGGGGGCGTTGAAGAGCTTCACGTGGCCCGCACGATCTTCGGTCTTCGTTCCACCGTCGAGACGGAGGTACTTCCAACCCATCATCTTGAGGAAGTCTTCCATGATATCCATGACCTTGGTCATCTGGAAGAAGATGAGGACCTATCACACACAACAAATCAGCATATGGTCCAGACAGCGAAGACAAGGACAATCACTCTGTGGTCCGTCATGAAAAACTTGGGCAGAACGCGTGCAAGCAGCTCGATCTTGCCCGACGACCGGATAATCTTGTCGTCGATCATCGAGCTCGGGTTCACCTTGTCCTCGACGCTCTCGAACAGGAACGGGTGCTGACAGATCTTCCGCAACTGCATGAGTTCATTGCTGAGACCCTTGACACCGGCGTTCTTGCCCTTCGCGTCCTTGCCGTCGGCGATCATCTTGTACTTCTTCATCTGCTTGTACAGCTGCGACTGCAGCGCGGACATGCGGACCTTGATGATCTTCTCGACCTTGTCCGGCAACTCGGACTCGACGTCGCGCTTGAGACGACGAAGAAGGAACGGACGGAGGACCTTGTGCAGACGCCGGATGATGAGTAGGGCCTCTTCTTCGTTCAGCTCAATCTTGTCGCCGGTGCCCGAGTTGGCGAAGGAGTGTTAAACCACTCGTCGAACGACTTGACCGAGTTGAAGACTTTGGGGAGCGCGAAGTTGAGAAGAGCCCAGAGCTCAGGAAGGTTGTTTTGCAATGGGGTACCAGTGAGGATAAGACGGTAGCGGAGTGGTAGTATTGAGTGAGGGTCTGCACCAGCTTGGACTGTGTGTTCTTCATTCGGTGGCCCTCGTCTGCCAGAGCGTAAGGCGGATGTAGGAACAATAATAAAGCAGTACTACTCACCGATAATCATATAGATCCACTTCATCCGGCTGAGGTGAATGCGGTCCTTGATGATATACTCGTACGTGGTGAGGACGACCTGGAAGTTGCCGGTCCTCAGGTCCGTCTGCATAAACTTGCGCTGCGTCGGGTTGCCCTTGTACGAGATAAGGCGCACGCTCGGGGCCCACTTCGCAAACTCGCCGGACCAGTTCGTCATGGTTGACAGAGGAACGATGACGAGATAGGGGCCGCGCTGCTTTTTGGACTCGATGAGGAAGGTGATCAGGGAGATTGTCTGAATCGTCTTGCCAAGACCCTGTCGAGGTATGTGTGAGCTTCACCGCAAGGTAGGAAGATACAACGGACGCACCATCTCGTCGGCCAAAATACCGTTGAGCTTGTTGTTGTACAAGCTAACCATCCACTGCAAACCTTTGACCTGGTACTCTTTGAGCGTACCACCTATCAAGATGCCGGGCTGCTGTGTGACCTTCTCTTTGATCCGGTGAGCGACGGAGTAGTAGTCGAGTTTGCCCTTCTCTTCCTCCATACCGAACGACTTCGCACCGAAGGTTTCCTCGCTGACGGGACCCTCCTCGCTTTCGAAAGTGACGTCCACGGTGTGACCTCCACCTTCCGCACGCTGTTGCTCGACGACTGCTTGCGCGAGACCGTCCAGGAAAGAGTCGGTCTGCTTGAGGAGGTGGGTGATACGTGTGTCCTTTGCTGTGTCGATGAGTCGCATGTAGGCCTCTTCATCGTCGTTCTTGAGAGCCTTGAGACGCTCCTTGGCGAGCCTCTCGATGCGACGCTGCTCCTCCTTCTCGGTGTGTGAATGGAACGACAGCACGGCGCGACCGAGGCGGGTGATGCGCTCCTGAGCGGAACGACCGACGGCGATGACTTCCTTGCCGTGATTGCAAATGACCTCCAGCTGCTCGATGTGCTTGCGTTTCGCGCGACGCTCGCGATCGGCCCTTTGTTTGCGCTCGGCGGCTTCGGTGAGACGGATGTCTCGAAGTTGTACCTTGCGGGTTCTTCGGAAGTCGGTACGGTTGAGAGGGAGAAGGGAGCCGTGCATGAGACGCTCTGCGACGGACGCACGAAGGGCGCGCTGCTTGTCGATGACGCGGAGAGACTTGAGCTCGATCAGAGCGCGAAGCTTGCCGTGGGTGTCGGCTGGGGGGTGCATGAATTGGTCGAGAGAGTGGATGTCGGCGTTCTCCTTCCCTTTCTCGTCGTCTAGGAGCATGCTGTCAAGACTGCCGTCGCCCATCATGGCGGGCATGGCCTCCAGTTCGCGCATGCGCTGTTCCATCCGCGAGTCGATGTATGCGTTGCGCTCCTCGAGCATCTGATGAGGATCAAGACCGACAGGCATGATGGAAGGGATGAGAAGGCGTTGCATGCGGGTGGCCCAGAGCGTGGGGTTGACGTTGGGGTCGCGCTTGAGGTGGGAGAAGGGGTTCAAGTAGGCGTTGTAGGGGTAAATACCTGACTTGATATCGTCCTCGAGGAAGGGACCCTTAGGAATCTTGTCTGGATCCACAGGCATCTCAATCTCCTCGTCCTTGACAGAATCCGTAGCGACTGGCTCAATCGCGGCATGCGAGTCGATGACACCGTTGACGGGGGCGCCGTTGACACTCTTGTGGACCTTGACGGCACTGTCGACGACGCGAGCATTGACGTCGGCGCCATGGAGCATCCCTTGAAGGTCGGATACGGTTTGGGCAGGCATCCGGATACCCTGCTGGATGTGGTCTGGGACGGGCATCCCGCGCGAGATAAGCTTGAAAGCTTGTATTTGCATGCGGAGGGTCTGAATCTGGTCGGTAGTGAAAGACACGGGAGTCTGGGATGGAGGAGGATAGGCTTGGGACGGGACAGGACCAGCGGAGAGAACGTTGCCGTTTGTTGCGGGAACGCCATTAGGGACGGGAGCGGGGGTGGATTGGCCGTTGACGGGGTTGGAGTGCATCAGGCCAGCTTGCCCTTGTCCTATTGGACAGGCGGCGGTCAGAGGGAGGAAGAGAGAAAGGGACACGGAGGAAATAGAGAACGCACGTTGTCGCTGTTGCTGCTGGACCCCCTCCAGAAACCTCATAATCTTGGCCAGCTCCTCATTGGTCTGCGGGGTGGCACCAGCGGAGCGGAGGGCATTCGCACGCTGGAAGAGGCGGATTCACGGATGCGCGGAGGAAAGGAAGTGGCTGAACGCACCATCATGAACGACTTCATGCGCTCCTGGATAGCCGCATTGTTGGAGGGGCCGGAAAACTGGGGGTTTGGGGCGAGTGACGGGGCGATGTTGGGCGCGGCCATGGCGGCGGCGCGGAATGGCGGGGGCAGGAGCGCGAGGACGGGGACGGGGAGGAAGGAACGCGAGGCGGGGAGTAGAGCGCGACGCGACCCGCGCAGATCTCGTGAGGAATCGTCCAGCAGAGCGGGCGACGCCCGCGACAAGTTGCGACTCGAGGCCCCCGTTGCTGACAAAGCATTTTCGCACCCCGCCTCACAACAGCATCACGTGGCCAGACGCGTCGCGCTCCCGGCGACTCATCCAGCCGCTCTCTCCGCCACCACCACCTCCTCCACTATGCCTGCTGAGCGCGCCGGGGTACGTTTCCTTAATTGAATGTACGAAAGCTGTTCTTGATGTGCACACAGTACACTGTCACCATGTTCCTCGTGGACGTATCGTCGTCCATGGACAAGATTCGCCGCGTGGAGGTCCCCGGTCCACAGGGACCTGTGATCATCGAGATGACCAACCTCATGTGGTCTCTGCAGTATGTCATGCTCAAGATACAGGAAATGGTAGGTCGGACTGTCCACCTCCCAACAAAGCCTGCCGCCACCGTCCACCATCCCACCTGTAGCAGGGGTGGCGGAGTCGCTTCGAGCCGGTTCTCGATTGCTCCATAGAGCTGACTTGTACCTCTGGTAGATTTTCAATGGAAGGAAGACTGACCAGTGTGGAGTGATTCTATTCGGCACTGAAGGTCTGTTGATTTGCCCGCATCTTGAACTTCACTCACAGTGCTCCCAGGGACGAACAATATCATCAACGCGGAGCACGGCGGCTATGAGCACGTCACTGAACTCATCCCCGTTCAGCAGCCGAACCACAGCACGCTTTCAAAGCTCGCCGCTCTCGAAGCCTCGAGCGTGGTCGGGGATCGTAAGTAACTCTTGCTCTAACACCAATCATAGCGTCGCTAACGTTTGTTTTCAGCCATTGATGCCCTCATCGTCGGAATAGAGGTGCAAGACAGGGTCCTCGAGAAGAAGCGAACATGGACACGTAAAATCGTGCTGTTGACAGACGGCGAAAGTCCGATGGAAGTCGAGGACTGGCAAGCAACTGTCGAGAAGATGAATGGGCTCAGCACCGGTCTCACCGTGGTGTACGTGTGCGCAGTGTGCACTAATTTGTCCCGCTAATATCATCCCCAGCGGTATCGATTTTGATGACGATGATCTGCCTTTCCATGAGGAGGACAAGAGCAACATCAAGGTGAACATCCTGCTAACGCCCCGCGGTCTGTTACTGACACCATCACGCAGAAAGAGAACGAGTCTTTCTACAAGGAGTTCACGGAGGCTCTCCAACAAGGTGTTGTCGGCAACTGCGACTACGCCCTCAGTGAGATCTCCCGGCCCGACGTCAAGCAGGTCAAGTCGGCCATGCTGAGTACCGTCCTGAGGATAGGGGACACAGAAGCGCGCGACGAAGAGGCGATCGAGATTCAAATCAAGACATCGAAGGCGACCGCGCTCGCCCGCCCCAAAAGTTGGAAGCGCTTCGCACGCCGGAAACCGATGAAGGAGGAAGACGAGGACGCAATGGACGAGGACGAGCCGATGTCGACGTTCGCGCAGCTGCGCATGCGTACCGACTACATTCTCGACAGGGACAAGGGGGAGAAGCCCGAAGCGGTGAAGTCCGAAGAGAACGAGGACGAAATGGTCGGCGCAGAAGACGAGGACGAACACGACGCACGAATGCAGGCGAGCGCCGCGGCGACGAAGGACCTGGCCGTGATCCCAAAGGAAGAACTCGTGCGCGGGTACAAGTACGGCGCGTCGTTTGCCCCAGCACCTGATGGCGGTTTCCCCCGCCTCGAGACGCGGAAAGGGATCGACATCTGTGGGTTCTTCCAGCAGAAGAACTTCCGGAGGGAGATGGCTATGGGCGAGGTGTCCTACATTTGGGGCGACCCAACGATGCCGATGCAGCAGGTCGCGCTCTCAGGTCTGGTTCAGGGAATGTATCAGAAGGGTGCGATGGCGATTGCGCGGTGGGTGAGCAGGGACAACATGGACCCCAAGATGGGTGTCTTGTATCCGTGCCCTTTTCAAGATGCAGATGCGCTGATGTGGGTGCAAGTGGGTACTCTTCTTCCTAAGCGAGAGGCTGTCAGCTAAGAATGTGCTCCAGATGCCGTTCGCGGACGACGTCCGCAACTACTCTTTCGCCTCGCTAGAGACCCTCGTCAACAAGAAAGGCGAGGTGGTCAAGGAGCACCCCTACCTTCCCACTGAGGAGCAGATGGACGCCATGGAAGCCTTTGTTGATGCTATGGACCTCAGCGACGCCGGGGAGAAGAACGAGGAAGGGTGAAAGCCCTATTTTGCTCATCTGTTCATTTAGCGTGTTGACGCACCCCTTGCAGTGAGCGTGAGCCCTGGTTTGACACCCGCCTGTCCTACAACCCCGCAATCCACCGCACGAAGCAGGCGCTATTCCATGGAGCGGTTGTGCCAGACCTCAATACACACCCACTCCCTCCGCCTCACCCCGAACTCCTCAAATACTTTGAGCCTCCGCGGCGGGTGCTCAAGCGTGCGCGCCGGGCGATCGAGGACGTCAAGAAGGCGTTCAACGTGCGTGAAGGTACGCGTATCTCTCCATTTCATCTAGACTCCCTTCTGAACATCGAGAAATACCTCGTAGTGCCCAAGAAAGCTCGCGTCCGCAAGGACGAGCACAAGCGCGTTGAAGACGAAGACGACGAGATGCTGCTCCTCGACGCCAAACCCGGTCCCTCCGCCACACAGCGCCGCCCGCAAACCGTCAGCCCCCAGTCGAAGGCGAAGGAGAAAACCAAGGCGAAGGCGAAACCGGTCTCAGCGGACAGCGGGAGTGAGACGGAAGAAGAGCCCGAGGACGAGGAACTCCTCCTAGGCGCCGCGCCCACGCGCCCGTCCAAGCCCGCGTCGAAGCCGCCACTGCCCACGCCGACCCGTTCGCTGTGCCCGGACGACAGCCGGGAGGGGGAGGAGGGCTCCGTGTACATCGACCCGAAGCGCGCGCCCGGGCGGATCGTTGGCGAGTCGTACCCGCTCCGGGACTTCAAGAAGAACGTCGCGCGCGGGGACGTCGTGTCGAAGGCGGTCGAGGACCTCGGCGTGGTGATCAAGACCGTCGTCACAAAGCCCTTTGTGTCGCGGCGGACAGCGGAGATGCTGGAGTGCATGGACGAGCTGCGCAAGGTGGCTCTTGAGGTGAGTACGCTATACTCGCTGACCACACCGTGGCCGCTGACGTGTCCTTGCAGGAGGACGAGATCGATGCGTGGAACGAGTGAGTGTCTTAGCGTATCCTTTTGACTGGCCATTGACATTACCCCGAAGGTTCATCCAGGACCTCCGGGATATATGTATGTCTGGGAAGCGAGGTGCTAAGGACTTCTGGGACGCTGTGCGTGGTGTTGGTCGTCCGCTCAGCTTCATTACGAGCTCCGAGGCGTCGAAAGCAGGCGGAAAGTCGCAGATTGCAGAGAGCGAGGCCGCGATGGTACGTCTCGGCTTCCTTTCACCGATTGTACACCCCTCTAACCTGCACTCGACACAGTTTATACAGCAATAGACGGTGAGGGTGTCCAAGTCGAACCTGCGGTGTGTCGACGACTCCAAAGGGACTCGGGTTACTGTTCTTGTTTTTCGCCATGTACAGCGAAAAAATCTATCTTCTGTCTCCCGTACATTCGATGTTGCGAAGAAAGATCGGATCAAACTAAGGCCGCGTATTTGGGGTTTCCCGGAGTTGCACTAAGAAAGTCACGGTACGTTAGTACTCAAAGCGTGTAACGGCACAGCAAATGATAACTATACAGTATATGAAACGACTAGTCATTCTGGGAGTTACAGTTGAAAAAAGATCTCCGGTTGTGGTATTCGGGCGTCGAGATAGGAGTAGATGGCTCGCTCAAGCACCCGCATAAGCCGAGTCTTGATGACCTGAAGAACATCCTCCGGCAGACCTGCGGGTGGGAGCCAGGGGAAGATCGTTCCATGGGTGCCTTGGAGAGCGAACTTGCTTGGAGAGATAACCCCTTTTTGCGCAGCGAGCTCATTGCAAGAAGCTCACAACAATAGCAGTGCTTTCTGTAGACTCCGATCGGTATCGCCTCACTCTAGGGGAAGTCACCGCATTAGTGCCCTTGAGTTCGTGCCAGCTTGACTAGAACGCACCTTGAGCATGTGCTCGCAGTCTTCCTCAACCTCGCCGAATTCGGCGGCACCCGTGCGCATAGACCAGGCGAGACCCATGAGCGCCGCCTCGGGATGTACGTCAACATCGATGTTCATCCCATCGGCACCGTTGGTCAATTGGCGGAGATACGTGTCCGGCAATGGGGTAATGTCGCACCCCCGCACCATCTTTTGGACCTCTTCTAAAAGATCAGATGATGGCGTCTTCGCAAGCTCAGCGGAGACGGCCTGGACTCGGTACACCTTCAGCCAGACCGAGGAACCGGGGTCTGTCTGTAAGCTCTTGCGAAGATGTCGCAAAATGGCCACGATGTCGAGAGCGGACACAAGTGTCTTCAGGTATTGAACCACATGGAGCCTTGCCTGCGATTCCCTGTGCTCGGTACACGTGTCTGAGGCAAGATCTGATTCAAGTAGGATAAGTATGGCGTTAGTAAGATAAAGCAGATGTTACACACCTTCATCGCCATCGTCGCCTGCCATCCCTGAGACTTTGGGTTGTCCGAAGCCAGTAACATCCGCTGCACAAGGCTCGTGAGCACCACGCCGTTCCAGCAGTGCTTATGCCACGCACCATGGCTGCCCGACTGATCCCCGTGCCCACGTTTAGCCGCGTCAGCCGCCGCGCGCTCCTCGTGTGTGGATACATTCCCTTTGCGGGGGTTAAAATCGTTCCAGTACTGCGACATATGAACCAAGACTCACTGCTGATGTAGAAACGCTTGGCGCTCCTTCTGCGCATCCCCGAAAACTTATTGTTCAAAGCGTTGGTGATGAGGTGGGCAACAATGCCGCTTGACAGGAGAACCTTCAAGAGGAACATATACCCCCATAGCTGCTGGTACACGACGACTTCGTACGAGTCCTGTCCGTCAAAAACCATTCCGCGGAGCGTGGTCCTCAAGGAGTGCACGAGGTCTCGAAGTACCATCGCCCACTGCGCTGCGTTGCCGCTCGAGACCATGTACTTGCCGACGTTGTTGCTAGAAGCTGTAGAGGGACTAGACACCGAGAGACCCCAGTTCTCGAGCAGAGTCTCAGCCTCAGGTGGCCTCAGATCAAGCTTGAAGTGCTGTTCGGTGATCGGTTCGCATGCCTGTGGCGCCGAACTGAGATGTTCGTAGATGAGATTGCAGGATGCGTATCCCAGGAGCCCGAGTCTCGACCTCCCCAGATCGTGTCGCCGTTCTCGATCCGGGTGTACATTTTGTTGTAGCAGCGACTGACGATGAACCTGAAGAGGAGGTGCTGTCTCAAGCTCTCCTCTGGCGGTAGGGAACAGAAGTGCTGGATGACAGAGGTGACATCTGCCACATAGGAGTCGAAGTCGGAAAACCGTCTGAAAATTTCGTCAATTGCCATAATTTGACCGATGCGTCAAAGGCCGTTTTCAACGCACCGTTGGAGCAAGGTAGCAGAGCTCTCGGACAATAGCTCAGCGCCTCTCTGAGCCGATGCCGCAACTCGCACAGGGGGTCCTGTAGGCGATCCGTGGCATGACATTACGAATGCGGTGATTCCGTGGATGTCCAGATGACCCGTGACTGCAACGAAGTTTGCCTTTTTGTGATCTATGGTGGCTAGGATGAAGGCGATGACATTCAGGACTTGTAGGAGGTGCTTATCGCCGCGTCGTTGTTTTACTGTGATGTGATCGGGCCCAGGACGGGCGTTCTGGAGAATCGTGGAAAGGATGAGGATGTCCCGTGCCAGGAGCGTGTGCTTCGGAGGATGGGTCATGCTGTGTGAGGCCATGGTGAAGGTTTTGAAGTTGGAAGTGCGTTGGTCATAATTTTGCCGCTCTAGTATGTATGTATAATCTGCCAGACGGCGTTGCGACCCGTACAGTGGTTTCGAGGGACCGTCGAAAAGGGGCCAGGGGCAGGTCGGGGTGCCCGTGCCCGACCCCTGGAACCCCTCATCGATCCCGCCTTCGGATTAGAGAGGCCCAACTCGAAGCGATCGCGACGGTTGGGTAGGATTCAGCTGGCGTGCGTACGTGTCGTGTCGTGTGGCACAAGTCGCGCTGAGTCAGCTTGATCAGGCACCATCACTCTGGCTTCCACTGCTAGTTACATGGACTTGAAGTCCTTTCAAGATCTTCATCGTACTATGCGTAGAAGGTGATGTGCCTAGGGGAGACTACCGTATGCGCGAGTTGGTCGTGTCCCACCACAGGAGCCATGGAGTAATCGAGACGCATACTGCACCTCCCCAGCATCGGGGCACCAACTCCAGTTGTCGACACAAGCATTACATCCTCCGCGTGACAGTTATGCTGAATCATAAGTGATTGTAGCCACAAGTCCACAATCTACTTCTTCATCCGCCCGTCGACGATCAGATCCGGGACGGGCGCGGAGTAGTTCGCGAAGCAGTCGAACTCGAAGTCGATCTCCGCCAGGCGCTCCGCCAAGCCCTGCACGAAGTTGGTGAGCGCGCACAGCCCGTCAGAGTTCGGCGTCTCGCAGTGGGCGAGGCCGGTCAGAGGGACGACGCCGTCGTTGAGAAGGAAGCGGATGTACTGCGTCGTCGAGTCCGCGGCCGCCGGCGCGTACGACGAAGACGACGAAGCGGTGGTGGAGTTGGACGCGATCGTCGGGCAGCTCATGACCTGCGCGATCAGGTTCGACCCGAACGGCACCACCTGGTTGCCGAAGTACGTCTGGTTCGGCTGAACGCGGTCCACTGGGAGCGGGCCCGCGGCGGCCATCGTGGTCAGGTTGAGCGCGGTGGTGATTGTGGAGATGACGGTGTCGTGGGTCGCGTCGACGTAGAGAGGCTGCGTGAGCGGGAAGGTGATGTTGCTCCCGTCGAGCGTGCCGTTCATCGCCGTCGCCGTGAAGTTCGTGGGCGGGGTCTGGGTGAGGCGCGCGAGGAGCTCCGCCGACCACGCCGCACCGAGCGACGCGGTGACCGGGTTCCCCGGGCCGTTGCCGTACCACAGGCTGAGGTCTTCCGGGACGTGCACGCAGTGTAAGTTTGAGCATGAAGCATCAGATCAAGGGGACCGACCGTAGGCGTACTCGAAGCCCTTCCACTCCTCCTCGGTGAACAGGTCGCAGAACACAGAGAACCGAGCGCGACGGTCTCGTACGCGCACGTCATCTGCATCTGCATCACCGTCGCTGTGTCGAGCGTAACACCCTCGATGAACGGCTGCAGACGCGCCACGGTGTCGTTCAGGTACACCGCCGTCCAGTTTGCGGACGCGAGCGAGCCGAGTGAAGAGATCGCGTTGTTCGCGTTCGGGCACGAGTTCCATGGTGCGAGCGAGCTGAAGAACCCTGTGTCCTCAATCATGATCGACTGGTGGTAGGCCGTCTGGTAGGTCGGGACACCGAAGAAGCCCGCCGCGAAGTTGAGACTATGTTTGGCAAACATGAATGTCAGCGTGGGAGGGCCCGGGTGGAGACCGGACGGAAGGTGCGCCTTACGCGGAGTCGACCATGCGTTCTATCATAGACAGCAAGTTAGTATATGGAGCACGTGTCCTCGAGAACTGCGGCTCAGTACGTACGCTCGGAGGTAGTACGGAAGACAGGGAGATCCGTAAAGCCCTTGAGAAGGTTGCCGTACTTGACACGGAACGCGACGCCCAAGTCGTACTATGGCGAACGAGATCAGTCGTGTGCAACGAACGTGCAGACATTACGAGAGCACACTCACATCTGCTGGCGCCCGAACGGCGTCAGGACCTCCGCCCCCAGCTCATACGTCCAAGTGTTGAGGAACGCGAGTGGACCGGTCGCGTTGAACCCGGTTGAGTTCGCCGCAGCCTGGATCTTGGATGCAAAAACGGCAGGGGGACCTCCCGACGTCGGGTAACGTGCGCCATGGCGGTGGAGGAGGTGGGCCTGGGTGAGCTCGCAGCCGGCGGGGATGATCTCGGATGTGTTCGGAAGGCCCCAGGCTCCACCGAGGGACCAGTACGGGCTGAGGTTACCCCAGCTGCGCGCAACATCGAACGGTGTCGTTGCGTTGTCGCTGATAACTACTTGGGCTCCGCCCGGTGCGATCAGCGGGAGAATGTCCTCCTTGAGGGGAGCGCTCGGTGCGGTCTGCACGGCGAACGCCTCGTCTCCAGCTGCATTATGAGGAGACGGATTTGTCAGAGACGCGGCATGACGCGTCAAAGGGGACGTACTGGGGGTAGCACCAGGGTGGCCGATCTCAGACGCGTCGGGGAAGAAGATGTCGAGAGCAGTATCGGTCGCGTTTGCGGGTGGCCATACGGCGCTCACAGGAGAACCGGCGATTATGGACGCCCCAGACTGCGCCTCGGTAAGGAGAAGAGCAGACGCCGCACAAAGAGCGGCGAGAAGACGAGAGGCAGAGAACATATTTTCGTGCCGGCGAGGGGAGCCGGAAGGCGAGTCGTCAAAGCGGCAGAGCAAGGGAAGTGTATCCCTGGCACGAGGCAGTTTATATGGACGAGCGCTGCATGCTGCAGCCGAGGAAACTCTGCCGATGGGTCGGCTCCCGGAGGCTTGACGACCTCACGTAACGGGGAAACCCGGTGAGGAAGATTGCATTGTATAGAAGAAGGCGGCCATCCATTAGTACATTAGCGATCCGGGTATGCGCATAATTAGTACAGTGATACCACGCTGTGACAGAAGATCCAACTAACCAGGAAGCATAGTCCACTCCGCTGTATCCTTCGTCTATGCACAGCAGCTGTTCAGGAAGGATTTATAAGAGGACAAACCCAGGCAATCACGCACGGATGAAACATTTGACTGAAGAACGTGCGTGGGCTATTAATGATCTCCGTGCCAATGCCCTTCGACGGATGCCTCAGGCAATTGATGCCTACGTATTTCTTCACTGTCAACTGGGAGTTCGTATCAGCGCGAGCCTTCTGACTTCGGTGTCGATATGTGCGGTATCGCTTGAAGACTGCGGTCCATACCCACGGGTACTCGAACATTCGAAGTGAACTGTAAAGGCCTCTTGTGAGTATGCGGAATGAACGCCGAAAAAGCGGTCGCAATCCATTCAATTTCCATGGCCATTTTATGATCGAGAAAGCAGTGGGTGTAGTGGGCCCGTAGGAAGGAGGGAGCGGAAAGAGGAGAGATCTGAAGATCTGACGCCCGATGCCTTTGTACGTCAGTGATACCCGCAGTCACGTGTCATGCGAGAGGGGACTCGTCAATTTGCCGCATCCGGATAGCTGCAGTCATCCGTGCCGTCCCTGCAGATATCCAATCCACATGACACTAGATATCCGTTCACGCAACTCGAGCGGTGGGAAACATAGCCGCAAAATTGAAGGATGCCATCACTTCAATGTGTCTCTGGGAACCCACATGGTTAGTATTTACCCCGATTCTCGATTATGATACGTACACTGTGGAGTGTATTTCCAGACGTCACTAGCATATAAATGCGCCGTAGCTGCACTACCGATGTTTGCCCCAATGGCCGCAAGGGATGTGCGTCCTCTTCCATGTGCACCAACACCGCAAATACCCTTTGTCACCTACTTTCCCACTCGAGTTATTCGACCTCATCATCGATGCCAGCTTTCCACTCCATCATGACGATTCTTTCAAAGAAGAAAATATTCGTCACTTCAATTCCTACGCGCTTGTTGGCAGAGCTTGGCGATTTCGCTCTCACAAGTGGCTCTTCCGTACAGTGCACATCCGTGACGTCAGCACCATGCGCAAACTCGCGGAGGTTTACGAGACAACCCCACCATCCGACGGTATGTGCACACTGTGCACATCGCGGAACAGACCCGCCTTCCCAGCGCATCTTCCCACTCTTCCCAACCATCCTCGGTCCCAATTTACCCCAGTTGCGGTCACTCCATATCCAAATGCCCCCCGCCCGACGACGGTGCCCGCTGCAGATTCCCCCACCACAACCCTGCCACTCTACGCTGTCGCCTTCACCCAGGAGTCCCATATACAACACCTTTCACATCCGCCTCCACTCATCTTGTTCCCGATCGAGGATTTGCACCTCAATAACGTCCGCTTCGACTCGTTCGCTGCCTTTGTCCACGTCCTCCGCGGGTTCCCAGACCTTCGCAGGTTGCAATGCACACGCGTGGAGTGGTACTCCGATCGAGTATTGGCTCAACTTCCGGAGGGCTGTTGTTCCCGCCTCACAGAGGTGTCGGTGAGGTTTGACACACAATGCTTGCGTCTGCTCCACAAGCTAATATACACATGGTCACAACCCAGATTGGCCAGATGGACGCGCGTAGCGCAAAGAGACTGCTGGAGTCTCTCCCTTCTTCTGTCGACACAATGGAGTTTTTCGTTGATTCCGGAGTTCATTCGGAAATCGACAATATGGTGGTGAGCTCCCCTCATTCGTGACCACCGATCCGTAGATAACTCGTTTCCGCGACTAGCGGTGGGAGTTATCTCGGTGCGCGTATCTCTGTGAGTATCTATCTGCAGACTTGACTTTCTGTGCCACCATATATCAAAGAACGCGAGGCTCACATTATCGCACGGTATTTGTGCAGGTTTCCAACTTTTGCTATGCTTTCACCTCCCGTTTCTGCTCAGATTATGACGTTTTGCTGATTATATTTGTGCAAAACAGACACCAGCTTTCAACAGATCATGAAGTTCCTGGAGTCGCGCTTGGAGTCGCTCGACTGCCTCCAATTCATTTGGAACAGGACCGCAGTGCGCGGTTCCGAGCACAGCAAAAAGAACTTGTACTCCCCACATTTCCCTTAGAGTCCTTGAAGGTGCCGCAGGAGCAGTTTTGGGTCGTGTTGTTCTGTGCGCTGCTTGAAGGGCTGAAAACTCTAACATCTGGATGTGCCTAGTCCTAAGTTCTGGCCGCCTGTATTTGTCATGTATTTTGTTTCCAGGAAGAAGTGGGACACACGAGTCGAGAATTAGTTGAGGGGTGGAAGGCGCAAGTCATATTCCGTACAGTACTTGGTGAACTCCAACATATCAATCCGATGGTTAGATTAGAGTCGGTTTGCACATCATGAGGCAGAATCGAACCAGACACATGATACGCACAGCGGCATGGAGAATCCTTCGAGTGTCGTTATGATATTTCGGGTCACCACATTTGCTCCGCGGCTACGGAGAGTAATGGACCTCATTGGACTTGGGACGCCTTTTCGGACCTTATATTGTGGACGCTATCCCGCAGGCAAGCGGCGTTGACCCAAATGCTTCACTACTCGCTGTATATTCCCATCTGCGGTCGCTCTCCTGCGTCTGCCAGTCATGGCGCGCGCGTGTCCACTACCGCCTCTTTAACACCGTCTGCATCCGCGACACCCACGACTGTACAAGCTCTCCAACTTTCTCAATTGCGCGCAGCACCTCGGAAGCGTCGTGTGCGCCGTCCGTCTCCTTCGAACACCCTCTCACCCCCTCGTCGCGACCTTCCCCGCCATCCTCGCCCCGGTTCTCCCCAACTCACGACTCTCTGCGTCGAGTCCACCCGGGGGGCACGTCCACCGACCATCTCGTCGTACGTCCACTCCTCGAAGTAACCTGTCCGCCACTGCAAGACCTCCACCTCGTGCGCGTGCGCGTCGCCTCGGCCGGCCACCTCGCCTACATCCTGTCCCGCTTCCCCGGGCTCGAACCTTCCACTACACGGACGTGAGCCTGTGTGATGTCGCCCCCCGAGCAGCGACGCCCACAGCTCTCCCGGAGACGGATGCAGTACCACGTCCAAAACAGCTAAGGGTAAGACGTGCTCCATCTCGTTGTGTCCTGCCGCGACACGTTTCGGGAATCATTGAAATCGAGCATTCCTTCCCTTACAGTTCATCGACACGGATGAACAGAGCAAGGACACGATACTGTCTTTGTTCGGCCCATCCCCCGAGGTCTTTGTCCATTGCCAGAACATACGGTGAGTGAACTTACTAGTAGTAGCGTTCGAGCGTCCTGGTTCCGATATCATTGATCAATTCTGACCATTGTGCCGCTCGCGGCACGAGCAGCCATGAGGCCAGGGAATAAGCGTGAAGGGTCGACAGACGCAAAAAGCACATCGCATATGCGTGAGCAGGTGCTGCAAAGGACGAGTGTATTCAGCGAGATGGTCGGTGACAAGTGATGCGAATCGGCGCCAACCAGAATGCATTCATCTTTCCATTTGTACAACACGCTGTACTTCGAGTATTCTTTCGTTTAGCTGTATAAATTTCGCGGGCTAGGATGTGTTACCTACATGCAATCTTGCTACACGCATGATCTGAACGCGTACGCACACAACGGTGGAGGTGTTGCATGGCTCGATTTTACAAGGTGACTTCCCGCCCAGTCACCGTAGATGGAATGCAAGTACATACGAGAGAGCAGGACAGTAACGACCAGCAGCCCGACGGGAGGTCGCGCTTCGAGCGCCCCGACCGACATCATCGCGGTAGCAGTATGCGGCATAGTCATAACGCATAAGAACCCACGCCCGAGCCCAACCCCGAGCCCGGATCCCATGGTGCAGACGCTTACGAGCGGCCGGCACCCGGAACGTTGCGGCGGTCCCTCCTGGGTCCCCGGTCGGCCTGGGGGAGGGTGGGCGTAACGATGGTGTGGGGGATGGAGTCGAAGTTGAGGGAGTGGAGGAGTTCCTGTTGCAGACCGAGAGGATTGGCCCAGAGAACACGAAAAGCAATAATAGTAGCGAACTCACCTTGGTGTCGGGGTCGATCTCCAGAGGGTTGACGGTGATGTCGAGGGCCGAGACCTCGGGGACGTAGTTATCCTTGCGCTCGCGCTCCTCCTCCTGGAGCTTGAATGAGATACCGCGGACAGGGCCACGCTGAATACGCTTCATCAAGTGGGTGGTGAAGCCGGCAATCTTGTTGCGCAGACGCTTCGAGGGGACAACAGCCTAGGGGACATCTAAGTAAGGCGCTGGATATATGGATATCTGTGGAGGATACGCACGACTTCATCGATGATGCGCTTGTTGGTGTGGAAGTCGAGAGTGAGGCGGGGATAGCTGCCAGACGCACATCAATATCCATATCCACCGTCGCGCTCCTCAACCCAGCACCCGCATATCCACACTTCGCATCGGACAGACACTCACTACTTCTCGATGAGGACACGGGAGGCCCTTTTGGTGGTCTTGGTGCGTACGCGACCCTGTGCACAGCGCTTTCAGCATATTCCCAACCGGCGATAAAGTGCAGTTGGGCTCACCATGGTGGAGCTTGAGGATTGTCGGGGGGCTTGAGCTTGATGAAGGCGACGGTGAGCTGAGCGGATACTCTGCGCGGGCCTGGGGCGGGAAACGCCGGGTGGCTGGCCGAGAACTGTACAGCACTCAGCCACTGGCGCGTCGCAGGAAATGTGACGACCCCTAAGCGCTGGCCGCCGAAGCCTCCTCGCCCCGCCGCCCTCAAGACCCCCGTCCAAGGTGAATGCTGCTCTCTGGCCGCCGCCGCCGCCGCCGACGGGCACAGCGACCTCTAGAAGATGCACTCTTTCTACGGATCGCTCGGTTGTAGCTCGTCTTGACTCATGTCCTCCATGACATGACACTCAGACGAGCGTATTCAAGTCGCTTACTCTCTTGTATCATCCAGCCACTCCTTCGGCCTCCTTGCTTGCCCATCATGGTCCGCGTCTCCGTTCTTAACGACTGCCTCGTGAGTACAGTGATTTATCGTTCGTGGGGGCTCTCTAAGACGATTGTAGAACAACATTGTCAACGCCGAACGCCGCGGCAAGCGTCAGGTCCTCATCCGCCCTTCATCGAAGGTCATCGTGAAGTTCCTCAGTGTAATGCAGCGTCATGGTATGTGTTTCTTTAGTAGACGCCCACTCCGTTCTTCGTCTTTGCATTTATCCCCACTTGCCCGGAGTTATAACTACGATCGACGAGGTACTGCTCCCACCCGCCCCTCGTTTTAAGGCTCCGGAAAATCAACTCCCCCTCATAACCAATCTAGCACAAAGCCTTACTCTTACGGACATGTGTTCACAGCAGGGGGCACATCTATATTTATCTGGCTTTGCCCTTGCCATCCCTATGCAGGAGTTGCGGAATGTAATGCTGACGACTTGCGTTTCGTAGGTTACATCGGCGAGTTCGAGATCGTCGATGACCACCGCTCTGGCAAGATCGTTGTGCAGCTCAACGGTCGCCTCAACAAGACTGGTGTCATCTCGCCACGATACAACGTGCAGGTTAACCAGATCGAGAACTGGGTTGCCCTCCTTCTCCCTGCTCGTGGGTTCGGCATCATCATCCTTGTATGTCCCTTCTTTTCCTGTGCGCGTGCTAGCTGCTAACGTACCACCAGACCACTTCGTCCGGCATTCTCGACCACGAAGAGGCGCGTCGTAAGAACATCGGTGGCAAGCTCCTCGGCTACGTCTACTAGATGTGATGTACGCTTTCATGCGTTGTTTGTAGGTCGTACCTATATCCCAAAATGAGCAGGCCGCGTGGGTTTGTCGCGCTTATGCGTACATGCATGTATCATACTGTTGTCTTCATAACATGAGCATGAACATCCACTGGGCCAGATCCGAGCTGCGTGTGAGCCGTACGGTTTCTTTCCTTTCGTCACATTCGTGCCGTATGTGCAGTCCGTTCGTCTGGTCGCCAAAATATCCGAATTTGGATTGTCTCGGCGGGTCAGGGAAGACTTCACCCCGCGCGTTTTGAACTTGAACTGCCATCACACCCAGCTTATACACCTACTCTGCCAGACACTGCGGTTGGAGAAGCTCCGGATTCTGGATTGTTGTTCATGGGCTTCTGTCAGAAGCTGTCGTATCTGTCCAGCGCGCACAAGGTGTGTCTTGTTGGTCACTTTATGTTGATGTCTGGCAGGGTCACACTCTTCCGTCGCTCTCCACCTGCCGCTTCCGTGGCCAAGGTTCAGTTGTGGTCAAGATTGATCTTCTGGGGCTTCTACAGTCCGTCAAAATGCACGTGGCGAAGCTTCCAGGCATAGGACGGTGAGACCGCCTTCTTCATCGTTTTCATGACACAACGGCGCGCGAGCCAAGAGCTCGGTTCGAAAAGTCGCTTCGCAGTCGCACGCCTGGCCACCGCACTCCAGCCCGCAAGACATCGATGCCCACGGTGTCACAACTATTCTCTAACGTACCGGTCGTCGGTCGCGCCCACACATGCACCGGCGCGTTATTCAGGTCAGTCGATGCCCATCGGCATCGCATTTTCAATATTCACTTATGATCACAGGATCCCGGCTATGCATACACTTTGCTGTTGTGTCCGAACAGACTCTCTGCGCCTCTCACGGCGATAGATTTAATGAATCATCGCGCCCATCATCAAGCTGAACGGTGGACGCTCGCATCACGAAAACACAGACTTCTTTCAAGTTAACTCCCGCCGTGTCCTTTATCATCCATCTTCGATTCGGGTCTGAGGGCGAGGACTCCCGAGCGTTGTGTGGGCGTTTGGCGCCCATACAAGGGACATCGCTTCTCAACGCACTGTCTCCACGACGGCCATTATTCCTCATCCGCTTCGACGATGGTGTTTCCATCTCAAGGCGAGTACGCATCTGGTCCCCCCTACTACGATCTTGTGCGGTCGGCGCGTTCTGGCCGTGGCGCCTCCTTCCATTTCTGGATCTTTGATACCGTCACCCCCCACTACCGTTCTTGTGGCCCCAACACAAGAAGCTTCGTATCTACAACAACAACGCGCTCATCGAGGACAAGAAATCGAGCCACCAAACCCTCTTATGAGATTAGGTTGAAGTTCGCCGCTGCGCCCCCACACACACCCCGGCAACCTGACCGACCCCGCGCCAAGCTCCCCTGGGACCGACCGCGCCCCCGCGCGCCGCCACGCCCGATCGATTGCGCACACACGGAAGCGCGCCAGCCCACTCCCTCCGCGGCCCCGCTGCATTGTTAAACCTCGCGCGCGCGCGACACCGTCTCCCGCTCCGCCTTTCGACCATCGCCTCCCCGCGCGACCGACCCGCAAAGCGACGACCATGGGCGGCGGCACGGCCCGGCACGAGAGCGGCATGGAGCTCGGCGACCCGAGCTGGCTGCTGGCGGAGGTGGAGAACACGGACTGGAACCCGTGCGAGGACGTGCGGTTCATGGTCAAGCGGCAGCTCGAGGTGCGTCCGCGCGGTTCTGCCTTTCTTTCTTTTTTGCTTCCCCTCGTGCTGGCTCGCAGCTCACTGGCACGGGCCCTCGCAGACGGGCGACAGAGTGATCATCCGCGCCTGCGAAGACGTCATCGGAACGTGGAGGCCTGGGGTCGTCGCGCGGTTCGACAAGTACCCACCGCGACTGGAGGTGGGTGTCTCGCTCCGCGCGGTCCTACGCGCATGTCGTGGACAACGGCTGACACGGGACGGTGGGATTCGTTTGGCAGGACAAAGCGACAGACCGGTACTCGTACCCGGTGTGGTACAAGAGCGACTTCGACGGCATCGTCATGGGCTGGTACGACCCGATGCTGTGGGAAGTGCTCTGCGACATGCTGCTCAACAGGGTGAAGAAGAGCGGCGGCAGTTCGTCGTCGCGATGACCCGTTTTCTCGAGGCGCTCCGGACCGTGCTTGTCGACGTGAATTATGCTGTATCTGATTTGTACCACCACCTTGATTCGTGTACTATGATATTTGGATGACGCTCAAGATGCATGGCGCCCTGCGTGGTGTCGCCTGAATCACCGTCAAGGCTTCTATATGATGCCGCAGGCGGTATCGCGGCTCGTTCGTTCGCTGTGGGATCCCGTCGAGCGACCCCCGCCCGCCGGACGCGCTTTGGCTCCGCTGCAGGGACGCCGGGCGCAGCCGATGTGGCGGCGGCGTGGCAACCCTAAAGCCATGCGCTGGACCGGCACTGCTCCCGAGAAGCTCTCCGTGCCCGCGCGCACGGCGCCTGGGGAGCACGCCTTCCACCCGCCCACAGACTTATCGCCCGGCCGTCTCCGCCTACCGGGTGGCACCAACTACGTCCGCCATCTTGGGCCACACCGTCCGCGCACACCGGGCGCGGGTTCGCTCGCTCGCTTGCGCCCTCTCGCGCCCTCTCGCCGCCGCCGCCGCCGCGCACACGCCTGCCGCTTCCCACGCGCCCACACGGGCAAACAGGCGCAAATAGGGAGGGCGAGTCCGCGCCGGGCCTTTTTGTGCTCTTCGAGGTTGGGCCAAGGATCGATCATAGGCTACCGGGCCAGAGTGAGCCCTTTGCGGGGGAGCACCCAGTCTGGCACGGCAGCCCATCCACAGCCGTGACATGACTCATGACTGGATGATATCTGCGAGTCTCCGCGTCCGAGCTCACCCTGAATCCGGGGAACTCTGTCCTCTATCTTGGTACAGTGATCATTCCATCGCAGAGAACAGTTCGGCGACCGCCCAGACCTCCGACGCAACCGTCGAACGGGGATCACTTGCGGATGGGAGCCTCCTCGTCGGGAGCCGCCTTGGCGTCCACGTCGATTTCTCCTTCTCCCTCCTTCGCGTCCTTGTAGGCGTGCGTAGCGGCCTCGAGCGGCTCTCCGCCGAAGAGCGCGCCGATCCTGCGGGCGGAACGGTATGACTGGGATTAGCGGCGAGCAGGGGAGACAGGGCGGGAGAGGACGCACTCCTCAAGCGTGTAGCCACGGGTCTCGACGATGACGAAGTAGAGCAGGACGCCGGTGACGATGAGCATCGCGGTGCTGGGAGGCCGTGTGTCAGCGTCGCGAAGGACCGAGGAAGGGCAGGAAGACGACAGAAGCTCACTAGAAGAGGTACCACTTCCATCCGATCGCCGCCACTGCGCGCGCTCGTCAGCATCCGATTAAAAGCTGAGGAAGGAGGGGGTGGGAAAGCATGGACGCACTCGCGATCGAGTTCGTGTACGAGCTGAACACGGACAGCAGCTTCGCGGTCACCATCCAGACCATCATCCCCTTGCTGCGCATCGAGTAGTGGAGCACCTCGGGCGGGTACGTGAAGAAGATGGAGCCGCACGAGACGAAGAAGAAGCCGTTGTAGAGCCAGACCATCGCGACCGCCGCGACGCCCGCGTGCGTCGAGCCCGTCTTCTCGTACACCGCCGTCGACGCGATCAGCCCGACGTTCGCGGCGAGCGTCGCGGCCCACGTGCCGAGCAGCTGCGGCCGCCGGTCGATCACCTGCGTGAGGTAGAGGCCGAAGAGCGCGAACGCGGCCGTCGACGTCGTCAGCCCGGCGTTGATGCCTGTGACGGTGACGGTGTCGGTGATGCCGACGAGACTGAGGACTGCGTGATGGTCAGCGTTGGAGCGCTAGCCTGAAACCGTGCCCGGGCACGCACTCTCGGTGTAGTCTGCAGGACGGGGACGGTCAGGGTTGTCGTTTCCTCATCAAGCGGGAGTGGGAAGCTCACAGTACGAAATGATCGCCGTCCCGCTGAGGTTCTGGCAGACCGCGATGAGAATGACTGCGCAGCACACATGTGAGCATGGGCCCGCGCGCGAGGGGAGTATATCGCAGGCGCACCACATCCGAGACGATGCAGGCTGCTCCGGTTCGTGAGGATGCTGGTCCACGAGTCCTGCTTCAGGGTGCGCTCTGTCTCGATGGCCTCGTGAATCTCGTCGATCTCGAACTTGACGAGCTCGTCGTCCTCGCAGCCGTTCGCGTGGTACTTGACAAAGTACGCCCTTGCCTCGGCCTCGCGGCCCTTGCTGACTGGGAGACGGTCAGCGGCGTTCGGCACGGAGACGCTCGTCCGACGTACTAAGCCAACGAGGAGACTCGGGGACGAAGGTGATGAGCACGATCATGGTCAGCGCCAAGGGGATGTGAATGAGGTAGGGAATGCCTGGGCGAAGACGTATCAGACGAACGATCGTACAGGAAACCCTCGAGTCAGGACGTACGCCACGACCAGTTGCTGGTGATGTAACTGCAGCCGAATAGGATCCTGAAAGCGACTGGATCAGATGGGCCCTCACACCGATGGAAGGCGGTCACTAACCATGAGGCGATAAAGCCGCCAACGATCTGCACGACGCAAAATGAACTCCGACCCGATGGATGCACAACGATACACTCACGAACGCGATGTCGAAAAGGCCGCCTAGGATGGTGCGGTGCTTTGGATGGGGAAGTTCTTGGAGCCTGCAAACTCATGCGTGAGCACATATGACAGAACCACAGGTCAGACGCACGCACATGATGGGCGAGCACATTAGCGCGAATGTGAGGCCGGAACCAATCTGCGTTCGGAGGGAGAGTAAGCGACCCCACGCCGGACAGATGAGAGGTGAACGGACGATGATACGAGACACCATGAACACCGCGTAGCCGTTCACACCCGGGACACCAGCGATGCACCCGAGAATCGTGCCGACCAGGTTCGCGATAGATGAATATCTGGCGGTGCGGGGGATGAGCGTCTGTGGGAACGGGTGAGCGAGAGACGCACCGGATGCACCACTTGCGCCCCCAGCGGTCGGCGACGTAGGATGCGAAGGGTGCCGTCACCACTGCAGCGTCGTTAGCATGGTATTTGAACAAAAAAAGGAAAAGGACGCACATCCGGTGACATCAGCGGCCGCGTTCAACAGGCCGATGTTACTTGAACTCTCCGCGCTCCCCACCGGAAGGTGGAGGGCTGCCGAGATTCGTTAGGTGAGTACACAGACGAGCATCCGAGAAGACACAGCAACTTACTGTCGCGCCATGAGTTCATGGACTGGAAACTAGAAATCAACGAGAAGTCATAGCCGTTCAGGAACTGCGCGATGAATATAGTGGTGAGGAGCAAATTGAGCTTGAGGAGCCCTGTAGAGCGCATTCAGTCAAGTCTGGCGTCGATCGAAGGTCCGAGGCATGCCTGCGTTCCTGTACCATGGCTATATAGGGATCGAAATCAGCCACCTCATACGGGACCGACACAGTCGGAGAGATTCGTACCAGGTGTGAGTCTTTATTGGGGACGCTCCTGAAGGCCTCGTTTCCGGGGAACATGGCAGTCGGCGGGTGCGAGAGGGAACACGAACGTCAGGATCCGCGAGCGGTCTTCATATACAATCGGAGTAGCGGAACCCGCCTGCCTCCATCCGAAGCCGTGACACCACTGCGCATCTGCGGCGGCCTTAGATATCATGCGGGCACCAGAAGCATGGACAGAAGGGCTTATCTTTGCATCGTCGCACGCTGGAGAGCGAACTTGAACATGAGTCACCTGAGGTCCTCGAGATCGGAAGCGGCAGAAGGGTCGCGTGCGATAACGGCTGACGAACTTGCCTTACTGTATTGCAATCGTTGACGGCAGCGGTAGGTAGATCAGAATAACTCGGAGAAGTGCATAGGGAGGGTGTGTGGTTCTTCCCGACGCCCATATGCGTCGCCCATTCGAGCTTATGTACACCCGTCATGCGTGGAGTGACTCAAGAAATTTGCAGGTGGAGGCACGTTGCACGCGGACACATGTATTCTTCATGTAGAACTTGAGATGGAAAACTGGGGCTGGGGGCTAATATGAGCGGAAAAGTATTGCGCATATCGTACCTGGAACTACTTAGAGCATCTCTTGGACAAAAGACCGGCTCGTTCAACATGTTAGCGCCCTTCGCGGAAGGAGAGGTTGGATTACGTGATTTACTCCCACGAATAGTAAGCTTTTTGGTCGCCTATTCTCGTTCACCTCCAGTTTCTGGAATGCCGCAAGACAAACAAGATCATCTATAAGTGGTGGTACATCTTCGATACATATTTCAGTCCTCACAATATCATGAGAAATAACCGAGATCCAGCTTCTCCATGACCGCTTCCCTCTTGTTCCAGATCTCGTCGATGCTATTGAAGCCGCAAAGACCCAGCTGGAGCTCGGCTTCGCACAGCAGGCCACGAACAACTTCTTCAACACCCTTCTCGCCTGCAACTGCCAAACCGTACATAAATGGTCGTCCAACTGTGATGGTGGGTCAGCTCTGCTACATCTGAAGCCGCCCGCGCGAACTCACGAAGGACAGCGTTTGCACCCAGTGCGATAGCCTTGATGATGTCGCCTCCACGGCGAACGCCTGAGTCGAAAAAGACCGTAAACTTCCCCGACACCTGAGCATCGTGGATGGCGGGGTGCGCGGCGATCTTCTCAAGCGCCACGAGCGCGGGGATGGCCTGGTCAACCTGTCGTCCACCTACCGGCGCGCCCACCGAACTCGTTAGCCGCAACCACCGGAACGAAACCCCCTCCGCGCGCACCGTGGTTCGAAACGACGATCCCGTCGCACCCGATCTCCATTGCCTTCAGCGCGTCGCCCACGGACAGGATGCCCTTGAGGACGAGCGGCCCCTCCCAGTGCGCGCGCACGAACGCCATCTCCTCCCACGTCCTGAACAGCCCCGAGTGGATCTGGCGCGACCAGTTGCGCCCGAGGCGCGCCATCTCGATCTCGTGCGTGTCCCCGGCCGCGCGCCGCGCGTCGCACGCCGCGGGGTCGAACGGGAACGGGACGCGCTCGTCCGCGCGCGGGGCGAGCCCCTGCGAGGCCATGAAGACCGGGTCGGAGGTGCCGACCTGGATGCCGACGCCGTGCATGAACGGCAGGTACGCCTTGTCGAGGTCGTACGGCCGCCAGCCCATGCACATCGTGTCGAGGGTGACGACGCACGCGGTGAAGCCGCACGCCTTCGCGCGCGAGAGGAGCGAGAGCGTGAGCTCCTCCGAGCGTGGCCTGCGCGCGGCGGGCGACCGTGGTGAGTGCGTGCCCTTTCGGAGGGCGAGATCGGGGGGGGGGCTCACCAGTAGAGCTGGTACCAGCGCGGGCCGTTGCCGTTCGCGGTGGCGACCACCTCGAGCGAGCGCGTGCTCGCGGAGCTGCAGATCATGGGGACCTCCATCCGCGCCGCCGCCTTCGCCGTCTCGGTCTCGCCCTCTGGGTGGAGCAGCCCGTGCACGCCGATCGGCGCGAGCAGCAGCGGGGACTTGTACTTGACCCCGAAAAGCGTCGTCTGCGGCCGTCGCGCGTCAATTCCTGCGCCGATCGCATCGCACGCACGACGACGGAGAGAGCGCACACACCTCCATGTTGCGGTCCGACGCGTCGACGAGCATGTTCGGGATGAACGCCCAGCGCTCGAACGCGCGCCGGTTCGCGAGCTCGGTCGCGCACGAGCCTGCGCTCCCGAAAACATACAGAAACGCCGCTGTAAACATGTCCCCTTCAGCGCACCCGTCGGGCGGCGCGGAATCCGGGAAGGAAAGACGAGGCGGACTCACAAGGGTTCTCCTTCGTAACCTCGCGCGCGCGCTGCTCGAGCTTCGCGGCGTCGTACGAGCCGATCGCGGGCTCCTTGCGCCCGACGTACACCGTCGTCATGTACTTGGACCAGCTCTCCGGCGCGTCCTGGTCCGCCTCGAGCGCCGCCTTGAATGCCATGCCTGTCGTCTTCGTCGCCGTCGGGCGGGGGGTCGTGGTGCGTAGTAGGTGAAGTCAGGGAGAGAGAGATGCGGGCGTGCAGCCCATCACGAGCGCACCTCTACCGTCCGCCAGCCATCCCGCCGCCCGAGTCCACGCCGCCCAGGTGACTCTGAGGCCCCCGTCCGGTCCTCTAACGCGAATGGCACGGCTGAGCATCTGGAACTCGGCGCTGCCTATCGCGGAACATGTGTCCGTCCGCGATAATGATAGTGGAGAAACATTGCGCTAGCTCGCCCCGAGATAAGATGCCGCGAGGTACCTGATAGCAGGTGATAGCTCACGGCGCACTGTGCCAGACTACTCCAGAACGGGGACCCTGTCGGTCGCCTTCAGCTTGCAGACTCCGAACTTTTGGGAGCGTGCCTGGTTTCGCGCTAGAAGGGCAAAGTGCGAATCGGACATAACTAATCGCTTCTTATCCTCTATCATGAAGACAGAAGTCTCACTAGGCATCCTTTTAGCGCTTCCAGGGGTGGATTAAGTTGGGGCCATAAGTACTATAGTTGAAATCTTCTGCGTCCGCTACGCGGAGTCCAGCATGCCTGGAAAGTTAGTCATGTATATCCGTGAATTTCGTAGCGAGTCGTACCGTACAGTAAAGGGGACTATGTACATACATCCTACTAATACTAATTCTAGATGTCTAAGATACTGCAACACGCACGGCGACGAGGGGCAGCGACCCGGCGAGGGGGCCTCACTTGCCGATGGAGCTCTCTTCGTCAATTGCCTTGACGTCGGTGCTGACTCCGTCTTTCCTGTCCTTGTAGCTTAGTGCGGAAGCCTGGAAAGGCTTGCCACCGAACGCTTCCGAAATTCTGCAAGCACGTAGGTTAGGACCGTCCACATTCAACCAAGTACAGCGAGCGACGTACTCTTCGAGCGTATACCCGCGCGTCTCGACGAGAACGAAGTACATGAGGACGCCGGTGACGATGAGGATCGCGGTGCTGAGAGAACGTAACGTCAGTACTTCACCTCGTGTGCACAGGGACGGACGCAAGGACTCACTAGAACAGGTACCACTTCCAGCCGATCGCCTCCACTGCATCAAGTTATCAGTAGAGTCCGAGGTGTAGAGCACGGCCCACACTCACTCGCGACAGGGTTCGTGTACGCGCTGAACACAGACAGCGACTTCGCGGTGAGCGTCCAGACCATCATCCCCTTGCTGCGCATCGAGTAGTGGAGCACCTCGGCGGGGTAGCTGAAGAAGATGGACCCGCACGAGATGAAGAACGAGCCGTTGTAGAGCCAGACCATCGCGACCGCGGCGATGCCCGCGCGCGACGACCCTGTCTTCTCGTACATCGCCGTCGCAGAGATGAGCCCGATGTTCGCGAGCAGCACGGCGATCCAGGTGCCGAAGAGCTGCGGGCGGCGGTTGATGACCTGCGTGAGGTAGAGGCCGAGTAAGGCGGCGCCGCAGGTGAAGGTCGTGAGGCCGGCGTTGATCCCCGTGACGGTGACGGTGTCGGTGATGCCGACGAGACCGAGAACTGTGGCGGCTGAGTATGAGGAGGGGCACGAAGAAATGGGCGCTACGTACTCTCCGTGTAATCTGTGGACGAACGGTCAGGGACATGCAAATAGAAAATGTTGGACTACACTTACAGTAAGCGATGATGGCAGTCCCACTCAGGTTTTGACAAACTGCGATAAGGACGGCTGCGTAAAGGTAGGTCAGTATGATATTCCAACGCCAATCGAGAAGTGCGCGGACCGCAAGCAAGGCGATGGAGACTGTTCCGCGACGACAGGATCACACTCCACGTGTCCTGCTTCGTCTCGAGCTCGACACGGAGAGCATCGTGTACTTCGTCCAGCTCAAAGTGAACGAACTCATCCTCCACCCCGTTGGAGTGGTACTTGATGAAGAACAATTTCGCCTCATCCTCGCGGCCCTTCCGAACTGTGCGAAGATGTGAGCAAAGAACCCCAAGAGCACGGAAAAGTGAGCGGCATACTGAGCCAACGCGGGGACTCTGGCACGAAAGTGATGAGGACGATCATGATGAGGGCAAAGGGGATGTGAATCAGGTAGGGGACACGCCATGCCCAATTGTTCTTCAAGTGACCGCAACCCTGCAACCGCGGGTCAGCACCGAAATCCGAGGCAGAACGGCATGGTCGCGTACAAAGAGAACCCAAGACGCGACAAAGTTTCCACCGATCTGTAGACAGGACCGTCAGTCGAAGGCGGCCGAAAAAGCTTGTCCGCGATTTACAAAGGCGATATCGAAAGCGCCCGCGAGGATCGTGCGGTGCTTAGGGTGTGGAAGCTCTTGGAGCCTGGTACGGAAGTTAGCTTAATGGTTACCGCATTGACTGTGCAGCCACGCACATGATAGGCGAGCACATTACGGCGAATGTGAGACCAGAGCCGATCTATAGCGACAAGTGAGCGAGCAGCGGGGGCGTGGGCTCAAGTTATAACATACGATGATACGAGATACCATGAAGACTGCATAGCCGTTCACTCCCCCAGCACCAGCAATGCAGCCGAGAGCGGTGCCAATCAAGTTCGCCAGAGACGAGTACCTGGAGCCCGGGGTGAGTATGAACAGAAACCCGCCGAACAGCAAAACATACCGGATGCACCACTTGCGTCCCCACCTGTCCGCGATGTATGCCGCGAAGGGCGCAGTGAACACTATGCCATTAAATCGTTACCACAACCCTCGACAACTTGAAGAGGGCACGTACTTCCGGTCAGGTATCCGGCCGCATTGAGCAGACCGATGTTGCTCGAGCTCTGCTTGTGCCCGGCAGGTACCTTCAGAGCTGGAATTATAGTTGTGAGTCGCGTCGATATTCAAGTATTACGTGGAGAGTAAGACGCACTTGCACGCCATGAGGGCATGCTCTGGAACCCAGAAATCAGGGACGAGTCATAGCCGTTAAGGAACTGGGCCACGAAAATGGTCGTGAGAAGCAGGTTGAGCTGGAGAAGGCCTAGGAAGAAGTGTCAAAAGGAAGCTCCGGAAGTATTTTTGCGCAACATGGACTCGCCCGCATTCCTGTACCACGGCTGGAGAAGAGCGTAGTCAGAAGTCGTATTGGAAAGAAACCACTGGAAAGGACGAACGAGGTGGGAATCCTTGTTTGGGACACTCCTGAAGGCTTCGTTGCCGTGCAGCATGGCGGAAATCGGCAAAGGGGGCGAACGGGTGATGTTCTGCTTCCCTTCGCCCTCAAATACGGGCAGGGTTGGCACCGGCAGCCGCGCGAGCAAGGTCGCGTGCCTGTGTCTTATCGCCGGACGACGGATGGAAGCCGGCGCTGGCTGCAGCCCAAGCAGCCATCGCGCCGATCTGGTCTGGGCGATTGGATCGGTACCGAGCGTTGAGCGCGATTGGGAGTTTCTGGGGTGGGCAGGACGTGCGATAAGCAGCGGGCGATGGAACAACAGAACAGCCTCTCTGCTGGCGGAGGAGGCGGGGCGTAAACGCTGGCCTGGCAGTCGGGCGCCGCTTGAACTTGCTGTCGCCGACTCGCGCCGGTCCGAGAATCGGTCGTTGACCGTCATGTGCCTCTCGCTTGATCACGTCTCTCTCTCTCTGCTCTAGTCCAATGCCACGAAAGTTCCTAGAACACCCACAGCAAAGTCCGACACTACGATACTGCTCACTCAACTCCACCGCGGACTCGACATATGATTGTGCAAGCCTTACCGATCGGGGCTAAGAAACGATTAACCTCGTCCCCCGACGATAACACACGCCGATACCGCCGTGGCAGCAGTCGCGGCGGTCCGCGCGATCTCCAGACCAGCTGGCCCGGGCCTGTTTATGACTCAATCCCCAAGCCCGCCCTCCTTTGCATGCCCGCCCCGTTCCTAGTCTAAATACAAGCTCCAGGGCATCTGGCTGCTGCCCCCACCTCCCTAGACGCACGTCCTCACCAAACCCTTCCCACCCACCCAGCTCTTAAGACGACCTCGATGGCGACCGCGGACCCGATCCAAGTCACACTCAACTACGCGCTCGACCACGAAGCCCCAGGCTCCTTCGAGTTCCCGTTCGTCACCCTCGTCCACTCGGACGGGAGCCCGAACGGCAAGTCGCTCTACCTCCAGCCCGCGCAGACGCCGATCCACGACCTCCGCACCGCGCCCGAGCAGCCGACGCTCGACAAGGCCGGTTTCGCGTGGGAAGCCGTTCCGTACGCGAACCTCCAAAACGGCGGCCCCGGGAAGTGGGAGGACGAGTACGCGGAGGCAATGGCAGAGTGCGTCCTTTTTTGCTTGTATTTGCGGGTTCAAGGATTGAACGGCGCGGGCGCGCAGGTGGATGAAGGGGTACTCGCGTGCGAGGGCGTGCGTCCCGATCAACTATCAGATCAGGTTCGTCATGCATCCGGTTGCAGCATGTTGCGGTGAGTGACGCTCACAGTGCAGGCGACGGACCGACGGCGCGTCCGCGGGAAACAATTACAAGGGCATTGATGTGCAGGACGGCAAGCAGCCCGTGTCCGCCGTGCACGTCGACATCAACCGCGAGCGCGCGACGAAGCGTGTGCTCGACGCGTACAAGGACCGCAATGCAGTCCCCGCGGATTACAAAGACGGTAATAGGGTCGCGATCATGTGAGCCTTCTTGCACCTTGCACCATGTTCTCCCGGTTGAACGAGTGGCATTTCAGCAACGTCTGGCGGCCTCTGCGCGGTCCTGTCATTGATGCACCCCTGGCGATGTGTGACGCGCGCTCGTGGAGGAAGGAAGACATCATCAGGACCACGGACCAGGTGCGTGTGGCCTGTTGTCGTTTCACAACCCAATTCAACCCACCCACGAACGGATCTACTAGTACGGAGGTGGATACTTCCTCCGTCTGAATAGTAAGCGTCGCTCCTGTAAGCCCGAGGGCGTCCCGCTCACGTAGTCGCCTTGTAGAGAACATGAAGTGGTTCTTTGTGCGGGACCAGATGCCGGACGAGCTGCTCATCTTCAGGCAATATGACAGCTGTACGTAGCCTTCCGGAGCGGCTCCCATACCGTACTTCAACTTACACGACTGAACAGCTCTAGTTCCTGAAGAGGGGAATATGCACTGCGGAGCGCACACAGCATGTGAGCGACTTCTCACCATTCCAATGATGAACGCTCATATCCTCCGTCAGTTATTGACAAGGAGCGGGAACATTTGGGCTTGCCCCGCGAGAGCATTGAGGTCCGCCTCGCTCTTATTTACTAATCGAGGACGTGGTAGATTGTCATCTGTAATACATAGCACTGTCGAGGTGAGCTTGAATGATGCTCTCCTCGCCTTTTCCTCTCCCCCATTTATACTTCCCTGCTCACCCCGCAACCGCCATTCATCGTGAGGGAAACGTAATCGCGAACATGTGAACCAGACGAGTTAGCACATGAGTACGACCGTGCGACACCGCGAACCGCGGCACCTCCACATCGACATCCCCCAGTGGAGACTCGCTCTGTTGAGCGGTATCAGTGTCGTAGTCCACTTTTTGGTGAACAGGTCCTCCAGCAAGATGGATGCGTCGATGAACTGCCTCAGGGCTACGAGGCACAGTGTCCGCACCCGCCCTGGGGTGTGAGGCGCGTTTCCCCGTACCCATGGTACGTCGCGTGGTAATGGAGGGATACCTCTCTGAGAAAGTCGCACGATGTGGGAACAGTTCCGCGCGGATGATTGGCACGAAGAGTAGGTGCGTCCTAAACCCAAGATTCAACATGCCGGTGCCGGTGCCGCACGCGTGAGCAAGTGACCCGGGACCGCTGTCTACAAGCGCTGTATGGTAAAGGCGAGAGCGAGGCAAAACACACAACGTATCGCGACGTCGAGCAGGCATATGATGAGATTGCATAATGCATAAAAAGTGGCACATAGGACATAAAATTGTGTCATTGGAATGAGTGCGAGAGCATGATGGCGTGGATCGAGAGGCGAGAGAGCTGAGCTAGCTTCGCTCAAGGCACGCTGGAGAGAGCACCGAGAACGTAACGTGTCTGAGCAACGAAATGAAGCGATAGGGCTACGACAACTCGGTATTAGTATATCATCGAGGCTTGCATAGGGGAGAACTCACCTAGAGGGACTAGTTGGCCTTCATCTTAGTATCGGCCAAGCGCCAGTTCGCGACGCAGAGGTCGAAGAGAGTCTCGAGGATGAAATCGTCGGTGATCGAATACCAGAAACTTGCGTCATCACTCGTCTTGTATTGGAGGCCAAATCCACCTTCACGGTCGGAACGGCAGATGAGAGCTTGAACCCCGTCGCCCTCGGTTGCAGGTGCCAGTCGACAGCCGAGACCGACCACATCGGGATATTCCTTAGCAAGCCACAAGGCGTATTTCCGAAGCTGGAGAATTGGACTGGCGGTACGCTTGTCCTCCACAACGAGGATGATCTTGATAATCTTCCCGCTGTCATCCACGCACATGATGACGAACTCTGGGATGATGAAGTTGCCGGAAACTTCTCGCTCCAAAGAGTCACGGCCGTTGGAGACGGTGTTCGTATCAGCACATGCATACAACGGCTCGTTGAGCTTCCATTGTGCGCGGAGAGAGAACCCCCCTTCGGCGGTGAAATTGCACGCCAGAAGCGAGCCAACCACAGCGTCAAGGCTGGCTTCATAGCGAGTGGTCGCCCGGGAGAGGCGCTCAACCGCCTTCGGGACCCAAGGTGCGATGCGTGCCTTGAACTCGTCCAGATCACGCTGCGAGCAAGATCAATGAGAAATATAGATCATGCATGTAAGAAGACGTACAGGAGGCTGCTTCGGGTCGAAGCTTGGAGCCGGCGGACACTTCCAGAGGCTATTCATCACCGTGTCAAGCTTCGTGAAGTCCTTACTGCGCGAGCGTGAGTACTAAGAATGCGTGTGATACGGAGTTCACAACATACCCGTCATTGCTCTGTGGCCGAGTGTCAGCAAAAGAGTTAGTACGAAGTGATAGATTGGGAACTAGGAGGCGCACGAGAGTCTTCTTGTATTCGGCCAAAAGTAAAGTGATATCTGCAAGAATATCGCCATCGACAAGGCGATCAATATGCGTGAGACCTATCTCTTCGGGCTCCTCGGTCTTTGGTTCGCGACTCATGGCGCGAGTCATCCGCGGATCGGGGGAAGAAAGGCATGGCTCTTTCGGATCTTCCTCTTTCTAGTGAATCAACCAAGTGTGTTTAGTGGGTGCTAATCTCGGGAATGTAGGCGTAACACTCATACCTTGACACCACTCTTGACTTCTTTGATCTGTTGGATTGTTCTGAGCACCATGTCCCTGACCTTCTTACATTTGGGGCTGTTAAGTACATCAATATTCGAGTTTGGTGATGAGCAGAGTTGAATCGTACTCGTAAGTTTCCTGGACGACAGAGATAGTGAATTCAAGGTGTTTTCATAACACCGTGTGGGGGACGTACCATACTGCCTGCGTACGCGAAAAGCATCCCCTCGAGTTCATCAAACGTAAACTCCACGTTGGGCTCTAGTTTGGGGGCTGAAATCGGAGTATCCGTCTGTTCCTGCGACGGACTGAGAAGCGGAACACATGGTAAACATTCACATGTAGAATGGCAACGAAAACGCGAGCACTCACCCAGTTTCCGCATCGGCTGAACTTCTCCCTCCCTGTTGGCTTCTTCGAAGCTCCTAAAAAGCAGTTGATACTATTGTGGAGTAGAAAGTCAGACATGACTCACCGAAACATATCCTGACCACCTAGCAGCCACAGCTTTGCCGAAAGCTTTTACCGTCCGCGCCTGCGTCGATCACAAGAAAGGTGAGTGGAGGTTGTACTGAGAGTAGCAAGACATACGGTAACGTTGTCACTCGGACTGGCCAACGACATGCTGTGGACGACCCTTGCGCAATGATTGAGGAGATCGTTCCAGGTGGTCGGAGGCAAATTGATCCGCCGTATGGTGCGCTCTTCTTCCTCAAGAGAGGGCTGCCCATCCTGTCGTCTAGCACGTGTATAAATGAACCGAGGGCAGTGGAGTGCCGACGAGAGGAGTACTCACTGTTCTCGCCGAGCTTGACGGGCATCACGCGCAGCCTTGTCCTGCTCTTTCTTGGCTGCTCGCGCTGCGTTTTCTTGATCCTTCTTGGCAGCTCGTGCTGCATCTTTTAGCTCCTTCTTGGCCTCCCGCGCTGCTTCTGCTTGCTCATTCTGTACCGCTCGCACTGCCAGAGCCTTCTCTTTATCAGCCATGGCTTTCTGGTTCCTCGCACCGCTATGCATAGGTTAGAGTAATATCAAGTAGGCAGAAAATAGACAAACGTTTTCTTGGACCTTGGCATGATGGGGAAATAGCAAGAGGAGAGTGCGAGGGGGAAGCAGAGTGGTTGGAAGTGGTTGGCGGTTGTAGGGAGACGGTGGATCGTGGGGGTGGTGGAGAAACATGAGGAGAGCCCCGAGAGGAGTTAATATGCTTGAAGAACAATGGGATCTCGCATAACCGCATTGTTTTCCGCTTGTGGTCGAGGCCACGCCTCACGGGACTGTTCAGAAAGTGCGGAGTTCGAGGATGGTTGGGATTGAGCGCTAACCGCGGCCGACGGCCCGCGACACGCGACCACGTGACTGAACAACACGCGAATTCGAACAAAGGCCGAATGGAGCGCAACTTGTATTTGCTCTCTCTGACCCAACTCTGACCACCATCACCCCCGCATCTCCCTACCCCGCTCCCGACCGCCACTCATCGTCTTCCCCGTCACTATGTCGAACATTGATTCCGCATACGTCGGAGGCTATCTTTTCTCCCTCGAAGCTGTCAAGCATCTCCTCGTGATGGTCTATGGGGTAGATGAGGATGTCGCCACCATTGAGACAGCACTGAGAGTATCCACTCAACGTATGGACCTCGACTCCCCAAGCTTCATCCCATATGGCCCTATCGACAGAAATTATCACTGTGCTGAAGGTTGGGTCTTGGGGTGTAGGCTTGCGTTCATTCGCAACGGGTCATCTCCACTGGACGTCTCCTTGGACCGCAAGGCACAAGCCTATGCCGACTACTGGTTTCCACCTCATCTACGAGGCCTAGCGGAGTTCAAAGACGTCAAGTACGTGCAGTTTCGCTATAGAAGAACTTACCATCGTACGTAGACCGTACTCTGCTATCTTCACTCTTCACTGATCGCTGCGATGGCATGGTTCGCAGCTACTGGGTCCATCTGGTGTAAAGCGAAGGAGTGCGCAGGAGAGAAGATTCGCGTATGCCCCAGGACACGTGCGAAGTGGCTCAGGGAACAGGAGCAGCGAGGACAACTCTATCCGTGCATCGTGGGTCCCCCTTGTCGTGCACTGCGTTACATGCCTCTGAAAGCACTTCAGTCCCCACCCCTTCCTTCCACTCTCTACGAAGACGAGCCATCGGAAAGCGAAAGCGAGACGGAATCGATCATGGAGGGTGCTTCTACCGTCAAGCCACGGACCTCTCGGGTACGTGATCTGTTCCCGCATTGTGCCGCAGGCCATCTGACTTCCCTTCGTCACCAGCATCTTAAAGGTCGAAGGCGATCTGGGCAGCTCTTGGGCTCTACGTTGAACGTTCTATCTAATGTGTTCACCACCATAACAGAACTCCGGGCTACCACTGCGTACTAAGTCCGACATTTTTTGTAACTTATCTTTGTAACTTTATTCTTTTATTCAACTCTACGACTCCACCAACTCGTGAGTCATGTGCGTGGCCCCGAGATATATCGTTCCGCGAGACTGGTGGCGGACTCGCCCGTGCGATTTCTAGTGGTCGATGTCGGTGTGTCCAGCTGTGCCGTGGGCTCCTCCCACGCCCCCAGACAGCGCCCATAGCGTCCCTGCTGAGTTACCACTTGTCTTTTTCTCTCCACCCATGGCTTGCATCTCGGTCCTCCAACGACGCTCGAATCTTGGCTTCGAACCCGTCGGTTGTCTCCCTCCCGTCGGCCTCCGCAGTCTCTCGCTCTCACGTTAACACACTCGAGTCAATGGCGGACGAGGATCCTTTCCAGCTCGGAGAACGGTAGCCGCAGACGTACGGCATTGAGAGGGAGGAGATGATAACCGTCGGAGTCAGAGACGACTCGCGAAGGTAAGCTTCACAATACCTTCATCCATTACGCTCCTCCACGCCCTTCCGCTCTCCAAGGATGTTTTGCCGCCTCGTATTTCCTCTGATTTTCGCACTCATCGCCCATAGCTCTCGCATCGTGCATGAAACACGCTCATCCATCCCCTCCAAATGGATCTTAGCTCGTCGTGCAATCGCAGCAGACGTCCTCGTCCTCCACATCGGTCTCGCTCAGCGCAACCTGGACCACCTGGACAAGTTTCTGATGGACGTTGCTCAACCGAGTTCCCCGATGTATGACCAATATTGGACTACTACGCAAGTGGTAGAGGCGTTTCGACCACCCGAGGAAGCTACGGAAGCTGTTCGTGCGTGGCTCGTCGAAGACGGTTCGATTTCGGAGGACCGGATCTCTTCGAGCAGAGGTGGTGGATGGATACTGGTCAATGTTACCATCAGGGAGGCGGAACTGCTTCTTGGGACGGAGTACCACGAATACGCGCTGGAGGGGAGCGAGCGGACAACCATCGCATGCAACGGCACGTACAGTCTCCCTGCCCACATCTCCCCGCATGTCGACACCATCGCTCCAACCCTGCATTTCGACACTCTTGCGCGACGCACGATGACGAGTTCGGGGATAACAACAACCGCCGTGGTCGGAGGGTCAATTCATGTAAGTTCGTTTATCAGTTCACATGCGGACATGTTTTGACAGTGCCGCCATTGACAGATAATTTCCTCCAACCTTGACCACTGCGATGAAGTTATGACGCTCGCCTGTCTGCGCGCCCTCTACAACTTCGACTATGACCCTGTTTCGACGGTCACCAATAGCATCAGTACCGGTAAGTCGTTTCAGTGACCGTCCTAACCCTCGTGTTTACTCAGCTTCCCTCAGTGCAATACTCTCCGGAGTACCATCTCGAGTCTGACTTCGACGTCTTCTTCGGCAACTACTCTCAGGACCAGGTCGGTCAGCGGCCTGTGTTTGTGAGCATAGATGGCGCCGAGCTCGTCCAGAACAACATTTACCTCGAGTCCAGCCTCGACATGCAGTACGTCATGGGTCTCGTCGGTCCAAAGCAGCCCGTCACTCTCTACCAAGTCGGCGATAACATCAAGGGCGGCTCCTTCAACACATTCCTCGATGCCTTCGACGCGGACTATTGCACATTCGACGGCGGGGACGATCCTGTTGTCGATCCAGTGTATCCGGACACACTTCTCGGTGGGTTTACCGGTCCGCTGCAGTGCGGCGGCGTCCCACGAACCCTCGTGGTCTCCACGTCGTACGTCGACCAGGAGGCGATGCTCACTCCAGCGTACGCGCGACGCCAATGCGCCGAGTACGGCAAACTCTCGCTCACCGGGATCACCTTCGTTTTCGGAGCGGATGACACTGGCGTCGCGGGTTTCTTCGGTGACTCGGACTGTCTCGACGAGAACAACCAAGAGAATGCGTCTACCGGGACGCGGTTCAACCCCACCTTTCCCGCGACCTGCCCCTACGTCACAGCCGTCGGTGCGACCCAGGTTGTACCGGGGAACACGGTCGCCGACCCCGAAGTCGCGGTGTTCGAATTCGCCTCCGGGGGCGGCTTCTCGAACGTCTTCCCGCGGCCCGCGTTCCAGCAGGCCGCTGTCGCGGGCTATCTCGCCAACCACGCACCACCCTACTCAGCGGGGACGTTCAACGCCACCGGGAGGGCATACCCCGACGTCGCTGCCAACGGCCTCAACTACTCCGTCGCGATCAACGGCGCGCTGACGCTTGTGGCGGGCACTTCTGCGTCGACGCCAACGTTCGCCTCCTTGGTGTCTGCGATCAACGATGCGCGGCTCGCCGCGGGCAAGGCTCCCGTAGGATGGATCAACCCTGCTGTGCGTAGTTTTCCTTCAGTGTTCTGACTGGTGTCTGTTTTGACAGTCCTCTTCACGCAATAGCTCTACGCGTTCGCGGACGCATTCAACGATGTCACTGTCGGGAATAATCCGGGGTGCAACACCACTGGGTTCGCGGCGGTGGCGGGATGGGATCCGGTGTCTGGCCTGGGCACGCCTGATTTTCAGAAGTTGCTTTCCCGCTTCTTGGAGCTTCCCTGAATGAGCGGGAGAGTGAGGCCTGGGTTCGCAAGAGGTTTCACCACACCTATCCCTGCGGCTTTCGTCCATGTATTTGTATCATGCACTCCTGCAACCATATAGACGTTCTGCGGCATAGTTATAGGATTACTTTCAAATCAACCAAACCCAGGTCCCCTTTGACTCCGGATCACGATGTCCCATGTTCGGTCAGCTTACGTCGGTGGCTTTCTGTCGTCAGCATCTATTCATCATGGCCTATGGTATGGGTGCTGGCTTTGTCGCTTCCAGAAAGGAGGCAGTCGTAGTCCTGCGCAGACTTCGAGCTCGACTCATCGTGACTGTGTTTGAAAAAACACTGGGCCGAGTAGTACGCTGTAGCCTCCAGATCGATCTAGGACGCGAAGTCAGACATTGTGAGAAACCGTATCTTGCGCATGGGGCGCCTTCAAACCGTAGGGCCCACTCGATAACTTTGATTGAAAGTGAAGTAGGACAACCGCTAGCATGTACAAGGCAGCAGCAAAACGGACATCCTGGCGCCAGCCTGCAGTCGTGATGCTGCCGCCCTTCTATCCTCTTCTATCGCACCCATCTGATCAAGTGTGCATGGAACAGAACACTTGAACGGACATCCTTCGACTGCCCTGGGCGCGTTCAACAGGAGGCACAAGAGACGCCCTGCACAGCACGCGCTACCTAGTACCCACCGATGTCACACCCACCAGCGATATCACCATAAATCACATTGTCTCTGGTTGGCAAGTCCCGACGCTATACCAAGTATTTACAGGTTGCAGTCTTCCTACCGCCGACCCCACCATCCGCCAAGCAGACTGCCCAGGCCACTTGACTGCGTTGTCGGCTCCGGGGTCTCCGCTCTTGCGACCTCCTCGGCTTTGGCCCTTACAGGCTGCGTCACCGTCTTCTTCTCTTCCCCCTTCGGAGCGGCGGCAACGGCCACGGGCGCAGGTGCCTTGCCAGCGCGCCCCTGGAGACGGTCCATGTCGAGGCTGATGTAGTTCAGCGCGATGTCGAAGAACAACGGCTTCTTGTACCCCGCACTCCCATCGAGCGCGAACCAGTCGTTCTTGAGCCCCGTAGCGTCCTGCGTGCTCTCGGCCTCGAAGCGCGCAATGTCCGCTTCCGCCAGCGGATAGAACGCGGGCATGCCGAGGTTGATCGCGTCCGCGTCCGCCATCGGAACAAAGAGCCCGCGCGCCTCACGCAGATGGATCGCCGCGTGTTGAGCGAGCGCCAGTGCCTCGGCGTACTTCTTCGAAGGGGCATAGCACCAAGCGAGATAATGGCATCGCCGGGCCTTCGTGAACGCGAGGCGCGCGTCGACGGCGGTCGCGAGGTCCGGACTGTCGTCGACGATGGAGAGGGTGCGCATCTGTTCGAGGGACTGGAGGGCGGTGTCGAGCAGCTTGACAATGGCGGGGAATAGCCGTGAGTCGACCTGGACCTTCCGCGAAGAGCTGCCGGCCGAGGCCTTCTGCATCGTGTTGAGCTGGTTCAATAGAGCCGTGGTGAGCAGCAGGTCGCGTTGTACACGGCGGGCGAGCAGTTGGTAGGTGATATATGCGTGGACAAAGTGGATGTCTCGCGTGCCGGCCGCAGGTGTTGTGCCGCTTGACTGCAGATCTCGTCAAGACCATGAATGCGGATATCATGCGGGCGACGTACCTTCTGAACCTCTGAGAGCTTACGGGAGACCTCTTCTGCTTCGCTGAGAGCCAGCAGAATAGCATCGTAGGCAGCGACTCCACGTTTTGATCCCACGCCCTTGCCCTTGCCGTGCTCACCATCCGGCTTGCCCTCCGCCAACCTCTCCTGCGCCTCCTGGACCTTCAGGAGCACATCCACCAGCTCGGGGTTGCGGATCGGCACCGGTTCGTCCTCCCAGATCAGGTCCTTCAGCTTGCCTCTGTCCTGCCCAGCAGCCCCGCTCTCCTCCTTCAGTTTGGTCAGGACGGCGTCGCAGTCTTGCACGAGCGCGTTGCGGTGCTTCGGGGCGACATCCGCGACGATAGCGTCGACATCGTAGACCTTGTCCCTCCGGAGCTCGTGCGCACAATGGCGGACTTCGGGCCCGATCTCGTCCGCGTACGCCACCGCAAGTGCTTGCGCCCGACTGGTCGCTGCGGTCGCCGCGAGCGCGTCGAGGAGGTTGCGCGCGACGCTCAGCTGCACGAGCGCGTCATCAAAGTCGAAGCGCTGGCGGAGGAAGCGGCCGTTGAGGATGAGCGTGTAGGTCGTCACTTGGATGAGGTCCTCGGCAGAGAGGCGACCCTGGGCATAGAGCGTTTGACAGTGGGAGAGTAGTTGTGTCGCCCAGTGGATCGCGCGGCGCATGCGGCGGGTTGCGTGCTTGCGGTTCGCGGACGACTGCTTCTCCGCGGTCTCTGCGGCGGCGCCAGACGAGGTCTTGGCGGTGTTCGCGAGCTGCAGAGACTCCAGGTGCATCTCTTGCGAGTGCGCCCAGGCGCGTTCCGCTTCAAAAAGGAGGAGTTGGAGGCTGGAGGACGTTGGTCCGTAGGGTGTATGCGCAGAAAGTCGAGCATATACTCACTGTCCCTCCTTGATCGTGTCCAGGTTCATCGGAGGCAGCTTCTTGAATTCGCGGCCCTTTCCATAAGTCATCTTGAGGGACGAACGCAAACGATGCGTACGGTTGTAGCAATGCTTCCTGGAAAAGCTTGTTGGTAAGCTTTTAAGGAAACAAAGATGAAGAGCGCACCTGTAGCGTTCATAGTCGTTGTACCGAAGACCGTACACATTCCTCTGCTCGTTTGCGATGAGCAGGGCTGCGAGGACGTCAGATATTCCTTCGACGAGTGATTGGGAGATCCACGCGAACCTTGGAAGTGCAGCTTCTGCTGTTCCGACATCGCGTACGTGTCCGGCGTCGTGGAGGTGCGAGCGGGGTGTGGAAAACGCTAGTAACTGCGCGATGGCGGGAGGGAAGATGCGTATATACGCGGCTATCGCGCAAACGCTCAGATCACCCTTGCCCTCTCCTTCCTCGTCCCTACCCGTTCTCTTCACTTTCAACCTTCTTCTTTTCCCATCTGCATCTACCTCCAGATATCATGGCCGAAGAGATCCTCGAACCCACTCTTCAAAACATCCTCGACCAGAAGTCTTTGAAGTGGATCTTCTGCGGCATGTCTTTCAGCCACTCCTCCCCCACAATGGCTAACATCTATATCGCTCCAGGTGGAAAGGGTGGTGTTGGTAAGTCCGAAACCGATGTAGCGTGGCGAGACCGTGTTTTGACCAAGATGCGCGCCAGGGAAGACCACAACTTCATGCTCTCTCGCCATACAGCTTGCTCAGTGCCGTGAATCTGTGCTCCTCATTGTGAGTTCTCGTTTTCCGAGCCCTCTTGTGCATCCCCAAACCTACCTGGCCAGTCCACGGATCCTGCACACAACCTGTCGGATGCATTTGGCCAGAAGTTCTCCAAAGAGGCCACCAAGGTCAATGGTTTCGATAACCTCTCCGCTATGGAAATCGACCCCACAAGCGCGATCCAGGAGATGGTGGAACAATGTGCGTCGCAGAAGCCATCCCGTGCGTGCCTAACTCACCCAGGTTTCTAGCGGACTCGAACGGCATGATGGGTAGCATGATGCAAGACCTCGCATTCGCAATCCCTGGTGTAGACGAGGCTATGAGCTTCGCGGAGATCATGAAGTGCGTGTCTTCCTCTGTATGCTGCGTCCTCCCCCACCAATCCGCCTTGAAAAAGGCACGTCAAGTCGATGGAGTACTCTGTTATTGTCTTCGACACGGCACCAACAGGCCACACCCTACGCTTCCTCTCCTTCCCCACCGTACTTGAGAAGGCTCTTGGCAAGCTCAGCACGCTGAGTGGACGCATCGGCCCGATGATCAGCCAGATGACGAGCCTCATGGGAGGTCAAGCCGATGCACCGGAGGATATGTTTGCGAAGCTTGAGTCTATGCGCGCAATCATCACCGAGGTTAACACGCAGTTCAAAGATCCAGTACGTGGACTCGTCTCGAGAGCGTGTATCACGTGTTTACATCTCCACGTACGCGTACAGGAAAAGACCACCTTCGTCTGCGTGTGCATTTCCGAGTTCTTGTCGCTCTACGAGACGGAACGGTTGGTGCAGGAGCTTACCGCATACGAGATCGACACGCACAACATCGTCGTCAACCAGCTGCTGTTCCCTAAGCAAAGTATGTCTCCCTGCACCTTGCGTTTTCTTTCAAGTAAATGTCTAACCGCGCCCATTGATAGGCTCGAATTGCGAGCACTGCCAGGTACGGCACAAGATGCAGCAGAAGTACCTCAAGGAGGCGCACGAACTCTACGACGAGTTCTTCCACATAGTCCAGCTACCACTACTTACCGAGGAGGTTCGAGGCCCGCAGAAGCTCCAGGAGTTCAGCAAGATGCTCATTACGCCATATGCGCCGGCCCAGTAGACATTTTACGTCTTGTGGATGCTGTGGATTGATGTAACACTATTGGATCATACATAAACTGCATATCCAGGGCTTTTCCCGTGGATGATTTCTAAGTACCTTAAAGTCGCTTCTGTGCACTTCCTCTGGGCCGGCTTGGGTGTATGCGGGTTTGGCGATGAACTTCATCTAAGACATCGTCTTGAGACTGTAAAATCCTTCCCACTGCTCCAATCATCAGCCTGATCCACAGGAGATATCGATTCAGGACACGCACGGAAACGTCATAATTTCATCCATTCATGAAGACGAAAGAGCGATTGCAAGCTAACCAGTCACCACCGCGCGCCCGCCCAAGGACAGAACGGATCCCGCTGCCGCTCGCTCCCCATCTCGCGCTCCTCGCAGAACGCCGGCAGCTCGGGCACGATCCGCGGCACGTCCGCGCGCTCGACGCGCACGTCCGCGAAGTGCGCGCGCAGCCCAGCGAGGTCCTCCGCGTGCGCCGTGATTTGTGGTGGGAGCGCGACGACGAGGCCCGCCGCGCGCAGGTGCGCGAATGCGCCCGCGCCCGCGCCGTCGTCCGCGAGCCGCTCGAGCATCGCCGTGAAGCGCAGCGTCTGCTGGCGCGCACCAGGCCACGGGAGCGGGCTTGGGCCGGGGAAGGCGGGCTCGTCGAAGAACGCGCCGGACTCGAGCGCGAAGTCTTCGTCCGGCGGGGAGGTGTCCGCCCGGCGCGCGCCGTACGCGAAGACGAGGCGGAGCGTCCGGAAGCGCGTCCACGCGCACGGGGCGGCGGCGTCCCCCAGGCGAGGGCACATCTCGAGCGTCGGGTCGGGGAGGACGGGGTACCCGGAGCAGTCGTACGCGGTGACCAGGGTCTCGATCTGTGCGAGCGACGCGAGCTCGCGCCGGAGCATGTGGTAGTAGTGGTGCCCGGGCTGGCTGTCGGTGGTGATCCAGACTTCGCGCACGGCGCGGAATGCGCCCGTGGTGTGGAAGAGCCGTTCGGACCAGAGGGAGAAGATGGCCTGGTCTTCGGGCCCGAAGCCCTCCTCTTGGAGGACAACAGCATGGAACGCGCTGTTTGGTTGGAGAAGGGTGAGGGAGAGAATGCGGTTGGGGTATTCCATGGAGCTGTAGTCAATGTGGTAGGCCAGAATGGAGGGATCGTTTGTGATTTGCTGCGAGAGGCGGGCCCCAAGAGCACCGCTCTCCCGTTCGTCTTCGACACGACATGGAAGGATCTGGACGGCGATTTGATGTTTCCGCGAGGAGATAAGGGCGAGAAAGAACTCGAGAGCGATGACACTCGAGTGATCCAGGTAATCGGAGACGGCGAATGTAACTCGACGGAGACGTGGGAGCAGATCGGGATAGTCGTCATACGACGGAATGTAAGGGGTCGATAGAAGCGGGAAGTTTCCTCCATCTTTGTCTCGTATTCTGATCAAAGCCAAAGCCTCGAGACTGGGACAATGCCGAAGAACGTCTGGGAGCTTGCGATAGAGACCCGTGGTCTCCACTGCCCATAACGCAAGATGGGTGAGGTTTGGAAGAGGACATGACGGAGTTAGGGGAACCCCTTTGATTGAGAGGACACGAAGACTGTTGGCGCACCCTTCGGGTATCGGCAGTGCGTCCGAAGGCCATTTCATTAGAGACCCAGACCTTCCGTCGACGGAGTAGCGATCAAGTATAGGCATCGAGCTTCCTGAAAAGAGGGTTCTGAAGGAGTTGTAGTGGCGATGTCCGAGATCGCTCAGATGTAGAGCCTGGAATCGATGGCTTTTGGTGGCATAGAAATGATCCAAGCTCTTGAAGTAATTGTGTGAAGTAGGAATGACGACGATCAGAGGAATATCTTCATTTCGAGACATCAACGAGGGGTGGTAGAAGTTCGTGGATGCGATAACAGTACGCCATAACGTCCGGTGTGAAAGCGTGATTGTGCGCAAGCGGCGGCACGTGTGGGAGACGGGGAGGAGGTCACTGCTGGCGGTGGCAAGAGTGCGCCAGTAGGACTGCAGGAGAGATCTTCCGCTGCTCTTGAGGCGACTTCCGTCGAGAGAGACCGCCACGAGCTCTAGCACAAGATGGATGACCTCGACAGGAAGTCGTAGGAAGGAGTTGCGCGCGTTCATTTCGCCATGTATTATAGAGACAGCGTGGAGTAGGGCATCTCGACATTGCATTATCTGAATCGTGGCAATCTCTGAGTGGGAACATGCGGGACCGAGAAGTTTCTGATGACTGACCTGAGAGTCACTGGAACGTGCCAGGAGCGTTGATTAGAAGAGTGCTCGGTAGTCCGAATGCGATAAAACGTACGTCATCTGCGAAACATTCTGCTCGAGGTGAATCACCATGTCCTCCTCCAAAGGGCGGTTCATGGCGCAAGCCGAGATAGTTTGGGACTGTGGGATCGTACTAGTGCGTGGCAGGTGGGAGGACCGTGAGTGCCGCCGTTGGGGCAGGAGACTTGAGAGCCAGGCCACGTGCACGTGTAAAGCAGTGTAAGTAAGCTCTTCTCTAATCAATTTCTATTGCTCGGGCGCTTTCGCTTCAGCCTAGTTGACCGGAACTGGGACCGGGCTTCCGAGGATTGTCTTTGGTCAGCGCAACAAATACTTTTCCCCCGCCGTCCTCCTTGTCCTCACGGTACGTTTCGCGATTAAGACTCTCTGCTCGCTGCAACATGACGAACCTCCGGAGTTTGGCACAAGCCTTACGCATCCCTCCGTACGTTTACTATGTGATCATTGCCTCCTTCGGCGGCTTCATCTTCGGGTCAGTAGTAGTACTACTCAATCCTCCCTTCCATGAATTCTAACATCCGTTCTTTGTCCTCCAAACTAGCTTTGACACCGGTTCAATTGGCTCTATCACCGTGATGGACCAGTTCATCGACGTCGTCGGTCACTTGAACTCCCGTATCGAAGGCTTGCTCGTTTCCATCATCCTCATCCCCGCCGCCATTGTTTCCTCTGGGGCAGGGTCAATCGCCGACCGCATCTCCCGAACCTACGCGACCGCCCTGGGTTGTGTCATCTACGGCGCGGGCTCTCTCATCGCACTCACCGCCGGGCTCGGCCACTCGTCCTCCAAGGCTGCGCTCGCGCAAGTCTTCATGGGTCGAGTCATTTCCGGGGCCGGCGAGGGCGTCTTCCTGAGCGCTGTCTCCGTCTACGGGATCGAGGTCGCGCCCGCACGGTTGCGCGGGCGCATCGGGTCCATTCTCCAGGTCCAGATCACTCTCGGAATCATGCTCGGGTACTTCACCTGCTTCGGCTCCTCGTCCATCGCGGGGTCGCTCGCGTGGCGCACGCCGTGGGTCCTCCAGACCGTGGTCTGCTTCGCGCTCGCTGCCGCGCTGCCGTTCGTCCCGCACTCTCCGCGCTGGCTTGTGCACGAGAAGCGGTTCACGGAGGCGCGCGCGGCGTTGAAGCGCCTAGGGCTCGATGAGACCGAGGTGCCGTTCCACGAGCCTGAGGAGGAGAATGCTGTGGAAGAAGACGCGAACGCGTCGAAGGGCCCGCGGAAGAGCCTCGAACGGATGAAGGCGTCGTTCGCATCGGACGTCCGCGGCCGCATGCTACTCGCGCTCTTCATGTCCGGCGTCCAGCAGCTGAGTGGGATCGACGGCGTCCTGTTCTACGCGCCCACGCTCTTCAGGCAGGCCGGGCTTTCGTCCAAAAGCGCAACATTCCTCGCGAGTGGCATCACCGGAGTTGTCAACTTTGTCTTCACTGTCATAGGGCAGTTCGTGATTTCTGACAAGTGGTGAGCACACGGAATACAGCTCAGTCCAAAGCCGTGTACTCATTCCTTCGCAGGGGACGTCGTCCCGCGCTCATCTTTGGTGGAATGGTGATGGCGACGGCGATGACCGTCATGGGCGCGCTCTACTCGCAGCCGAACCTGTCCGCGGCTGGCAAGTGGGCCGCCATCGCGCTCATCTACGTCTACTTCATCGCCTTCATCCTCACCTGGGCGATCCTCATCCGCGTCTGGGTCTCCGAGTCGCAGCCGGTCAAGACACGCGCGTCGGTGTCGTCCCTGGCGCTGACGACGAACTGGATCTGCAACTTTGTGATCACGTTCTCGACGCCGATCTTCCTGAACGCGTCTCCGAGTGGGCCGTATTGGATGTGGGCGGGGTGGATCTGGGTCGCCGTCGCCATCTTCGCGCTGTGGTTACCGGAGACCCGGGGGAGGAGCATCGACGGGGAGGGCCAGGAGCTCGGCCTGGAGAACAAGCTTGACTGGGTCAAGGCGCAGTATCAGACACTCTCCAAGAGGAAAACTAGCATGACGATGATCGAAATGGAAGGCGGACGGGTGAAGGAAACCAAGAAAGCGTAGTGCGCAAAATGGGTGAAACGAGCTCCCTCTCACTGGGATCCCTGGACTCATACGTAGATTTTACGACTCTGTAGAGTAGGGTCGGGTAGACGCACAACGCACCTGTAGACTTGCTGCAGACGTCTTTGCATACTCCAGTCTTGTATCAATACGTCCGATCACAGTGAGGTACCTGAAAGAGAAGTCGTGGGACACTTCGTAGGCGCCTCGACCACGCGACTTGAACGCGCGGCAAGCACGTCCTTGACCGCGACCTCTGAGTCTATGGCACTCATCCACTCTGAGGTCTGAGGTCTGAGGCTACGACCAACCGCCACCGCACATCTTCTCATCCCACAATGCGCCCCATCATCTCCTATGACGATATTACTCCCGTAGACCCGACGCCAGGGCCCCCACGAACGTACCGCCAACGCAGCCCCCCGCGAAGAAAAGAAAGACCGCACCGAACTATCGCCAAGGCCAGGGCCAGTATGGCGGGAGGCAAGGTCCTCCTCATCAGGCCGTGCAGCATTGGGACGACCCGGGTATTCAAGGGCCACAGATGCCGTATGAGGATGCCCCCTTGATTACCACCACAATGCAGAAGGAAGAAGAGGACGAAGAGGACGAAAGCCGTGAGCTTACGCACGGGGAGATTTGGGACGACTCTGCGCTCATCGACGCGTGGAACAGCGCTGCGGCCGAGTACGAGGTGCGTTTTTCCCCTTCTCACATGCAAAGCAGCTTGTTAATATGGACGGCCGCAGGCGTACCACGGTCCAGGGAAGAAGTGGAAGAACGAGCCGGTGAAGAAGTCCCCGCTGTATGCCCCTGCCTCGCAGAAACGTCGTTCCCGTACGCCCTCTCACCTCTCTTCGTCTTCGCGCAGGTGGTACAACATTCCCCCAGACCTTCCCCCAACGTCCAAAACAAGTTCGGCGGGAGTCTCGACTTCCACCCCCCAAAACGGCGGTGAAGGAGAAGACTCTGCACCGCTCAACTTCGATACATTCGTGCCAACGCACGACCCCTCCTTGGCCACGGCGATGGCACCGGCCGCGGGCATGGACGGAAACCCCCTTGGGACTGGATCAGAGACTGCCATGGTAAGCCAAGACGAGGCCTTCTCCCGCGCGATGGCGGCGATGTACTGGAGCGGGTACTGGACTGCGGTCTACCATGTATGTATGTTCCTTCTTCACGCAGCCCTCCACTGAGATTTCCATCATTTCAGTCTCGGAGGAACGAAACCCGGCAGGCGAACGGATCCATCGAGCAAGACGATGGCGCATTCGGTGAGGACGAAGACGGTCAGGGAGCGGAGGACGAGGAGGACGAGGAGATGTTGCCTGCACAGCGGTGAGATACGGTTGTGCGCGAATGCGTTTGGTCCATTGTAGGTCCTCGTTCATCGAATGGAGTCGGCCATCCATGCTTACACTTTCCGTGGATGCGCCCTTTCCCCTCCCCTACTTGAGCAAGATTGTTCTCGTCGTGATGAGTGATCGTGAGTGCCTTTCAATATTTCTGCGGCGTCAGTATGGTCAGGTAGGTCATTTTTGCTTGAAACTGTCGTGCCCTGTAGCTGTATTCGCCGTGGTCGTGAATATACATTATAATCTTCCCCGTATGCGACGCTTTCGAGTGGCTTTCAAGAGCTGTCTACTCTCCCCGAAGAACATGTTGCGCACCTCCTGAATGCCTCAACACTGCGTGAAACTTTCCTTAGTATCTCTTCGGGCTCAGGAAACGAAGCTAGAGCAGCAGGTCTTCTCAGCAAAGAGTTCTCGACGCGCGTGTGAGTTCTCCCGATGCTCTGTTGCTACTAAGTGGCTCATATTGATACCAGAAATGTGAGTCGGCGAGTCGAATCACCACAGCGAATCCCTTTCCAGACGTCACATCTAGACCGAGTCAAGCCCGCGGCTATGCATTTACACTTGTGAGAGATCTCGTTCTCCATCGTCACGTAGCTGACAGAGAGGCCGTGAACGTTTCAACACTCGCATGCGAAAGACGACTCATGCTAGTCTGGGACTGGCGGCCCCTTCCCAGCCGCTGTGGCCCAGACTGTTAGCCCTACTCGATTTGTCGGGCAGGTCTGAAAGGGCCGGCCTCCGTCCTAGATAACGTCTCCGCCCGCCGAACCGCTTCTCTCCCCAGAACCATCGACGAGACTCTTCCCCTTCCCGTGACCCGCGCCACAGTCACTCATCCTCGCTTTCTTCTACAGTGTGATGGGCGGTCTGGCACGCGATTGTACTAGGGAGAAGCCTCCTCAGAATGTCGGAGGGCAGATGCAGTGGCTTCAGAGCGAAACGGAAAAAGGGATATTGTGAGTTACAACGTGCACCGTTTTGAACTCTCCCAGGCTCCCCAACTCTTATCCGTCTTTTGCGGATGTTGTGACAGCTCTTCGATTCGCGTGTTTGTCGCGGCCGACTCTTCAGCGAGCAGTCTCCCCTGGCTGGTGATGATGCGACGCATCGCGTGCCTACTGATTTGGCCGAGCTTGTAGATTACCACCCCACCATCCCGATGGTGCACAAATCCACCGTCATTGTGCATGCATCACCAACAGCCACCTCAAGCCCCCTCGACGCACACCCTTTCATTCACAACAGGTCTTACTTGGGGTTCGACGCACGTCGCCTCCCTGATTCAAGAAGCCTCTCGAGCAGATTCCCGCCTCCACAGCGCTCGCGGCGAGGGTTGATCCTGGTGCTATACGCCTCATCGTGGCCCTTGTATCGACGCTTCGGTAGGACATCACCCTCATCGCACTATTCCGTCGGACAGTCCAAAGTCAGTAAGGGCTCTATTCAACTGTTTCGACCTGCCACACGCTTATTATCCACAGTATTTCATAAGGGTCTTAGAACTGTGTTTTCAGGAACCGTGCTCCAATCACATCACCCCAAGGCACTGGAGACCGTTCGAGGTCACTCGCGCGCCTGTCAACGAGCTTCCTGTATTGTTTGTGTTCTCCCGCCGCGATTGCATGCGTGCCCCCATTGTCTTTTAAGCCTAACCTTCTGCTTGTTAAAATGCGTGCTCATTCCATTACGTCGCGAGCCACTGGCAGTGTAGTCGACATCTGCGTGATGGGTCAATCGGGTTTGCTATGATATCATACCATAGGCGGAGCAGCATGAGCGCCGGACTGGCGCCTGAGACAATTGTCTGATCGCTGGCACTACCAGTCCGTTCCTCGTCCCATGATTCTCACAACATCGGTTCTAGTGTACCACCCCCGGCGGACATCCGTGCCCAGTGATGAGTTTTCTGATGAGTACTGTTCTTTCCTCTATGGCTGCGGATGCGTACGGACGCATCGATGTTAGAATTCGTGTGCCTCGAATACTTCGGGCGTCTCCGGTCGGACTCCGGACCTTATTTATAGACTCGTCACCCACGCCGAGTCACAGTCGCTGTCGACAATTCGACCGCCATGTATTCTACCCCTTTTCCCTCTAATCGACTGTCTCTTGCCCCTTCTTACCAACAGCCGTCACCGCCATGTCCAAGGTTACGAGTGCATGCACAACTTGGAACTATTCACCACTAGCTCTATGACGAAACTAGAAGCAGTGCAGCACGAAGAATGACTGGCATGACGACGATGACAAGGAAAAGTGTTTGAGAGTATTGTCGCAAGCATGTGTCGCCGTGTCTCGTGGACTGCGCCACTCAAGCCTTACAAGTTACAATCGGCCTAGCAGCGCGTCGCAGCTGCGTGGTGAGTAGAACAGCCGCATGATCGTCATCATTTGAACGCTCGCTTCTGTATATTCCCGCATGGCAGCTTTGTCATGGGCGTTGAAGTGCGGAGGAGTCTACTTATGGACCATGGTTCGTGAAGTGCATAATTTTGCAGGACGTCCACGGTCGGTGCCAAGGGAGTCGGGAGTGCCAAGAGAATGTGGGTTCAGAAAGGTACTGCCCTGGCCGACATGTCTGTGGTGGTGGGTAGGTGAACACCAGAGAGATCGGCGGACTGTTTGGCGTCTTGGGGGGATCAAACACGGGTGTATCGTCGCCACGTGGTTCTCGGACCCGCACAATGAAACGGTTGATGGGAGTCCCCACATCGGCTTGCTCTGCTACCACCACCACCCACATGCTTCAAGTCGCCCTTAGCTTCCTGTGGGCTCCACCACCGCGTGGGACCTTCTCACGGTGCTATGCAGCTAATGACAGCTAAGTATCCTTGATCGAGACACCCCGTTACCACCATCTAGCGCCTTCTCACCACAAGGTCGTGGGGCCGGTCGACGGAGGCGCTGCGCCCGTGCTCCTAGTTTCATCATGCGGTCTCGACGAAAGAAGGCGTACGATGGTCGGAGCGCCGTCTACCGTCGTGTGCTGAGATCGGCTCAACGGTCTCCCGTGGTTACATGCTAGGTATTCAGGCCTGTCTGTACATGTGCAGCCATGCTCACGCTCACCCTGCAGTGATACTTAAGCCATCGCGTTGCTTCGACGACCCTCATCAGGTCCCCTGTTCACCTCTGTGCTCAGTCGGTCCTTCCCCTCGGTCCTCAGCCATCCACTCGTTTCCGGTCCTCAGACATTCACTCCTTTCGTCATCGACCATGTTCTCCAAGGCTGCTATGATCACCGTTACGCTCGCCCTCATGGCGTCCGCCTCTCCCGTCGCGCCAAAGCCCCGCGGGGTCGCTATCCCCATCGCCAAACGCTCCTCGCTGGCCAATGCCGACGGCACTTTTAACGCCGACAAGATTTTGAAGCACACCATGAAGACAGTCAAGTGTGTCGTGTCTCCAACTACATTGTCGTCCGTGCTCACACTGACCTTACTTCGCCCTTAGCAAGCACCGTGCGAACCTAATCAATTTGGAGAAGAACGCTGGCACCCAGGCGTTCCGCAAGGGCGCTTCGATCAAGCCCCTCGCGACGCTTCCCGAGCACCTCCAGAAGCGCCAGAGCGAGTCCCTCACCGACGAGGAGAACGACGCCGAATGGGCGGGCACGGTCTCCATCGGCACCCCTGCTCAGGACTTCCTCATTGACTTCGACACCGGCTCATCCGACCTCTGGGTCCCCTCTTCGTCCTGCACCTCTTCTGTCTGCTCCTCCAAACAGAAGTACGACGCGTCCGCCTCGTCGACGAGCTCCTCCAAGAGCGGCTCGTTTTCAATCCAGTACGGCGATGGGTCCACCGTTTCCGGACCCATCAACACCGACACCGGTACGTTTTATCGCTGTGTCGGCCAGTCGACTGCCACTGACGACCCCCTGAAGTTTCGGTAGCTGGCATCTCCGTCGATAACCAGTACATGTCCGCGGTGACCACGCTCTCGAGCAGCTTTTCCAACGACCCGATCGACGGGTTGCTCGGTCTCGCCTTCCCCGCAATCTCGAACCTCGGCCAGAACCCCTTCTTCAACACCGCGATCGAGCAGAAGGCGGTCAGCGCCGGCGAGTTTGGCTTCAAGCTCGCCTCCTCCGGCTCCGAGCTCTACCTTGGCGGCACCAACAACGCCCTCTACTCCGGCTCGATCGAGTACCACGACGTCGACTCCTCCCAGGGTTTCTGGCAGCTCAGTGGCGCGTCCGCGCTGGTGGGCGGCAACGCGGCGGTCGACAACTTCGAGACGATCATCGACTCTGGCACCACCCTCATGTACGGGCCCCCGTCGGCGGTCCAGACGTTCTACGCCGCGATCAGCGGCTCGGGCGAGTACGACTCCTCGCAGGGCGAATACTACTACCCCTGCGACTCGCCCCCGAACGTTGCGTTCAGTTGGGGTGGCCAGGACTGGACCATCACCGACGCCAAGTGAGTGCTCCCGCGCATCGCCGTCGCTTCCTTGCTAACGGGACGCTCGTCCGCAGCTTCAACCTCGGAGAGACGGAGAGCGGTTCCGGCAAGTGCATCGGCGCGCTCCTCGGCCAGGACATCGGCCTCGGGGACAACGTCTGGCTGCTCGGCGACTCGTTCATGAAGAACGTTTACACCGCATTCTCGTTCGACAAGACCGCCGTCGGCTTCGCCACGCTTTCATGAGCGCCTGGTCGCCGTCGATGGAGCCACACCACCACATTCGAGTGGAGACGCACCTGCCGATACTACCGAAGGGTTTTTCATGCTGTCGCTTTGTTTATTGCCCACGCATGCGCAATGATACTGTCGCTTTCTACAAAATGTGTGCCCAACGATGTTCTGTTCATCATCGATAAGTCGTTCTTGGGTCGGATTCGAATTAACATGGTGGCATCCGTACAAGAGTGCCCGACAGCTTGGAGGGCCCCTTAGGCCACGAGCCGAAGGTCGACGCGCCAGGGCGCGGACGACGAAGGCTCCTCAATCGCAGCTAGGAGCGCAGATGTGCGTCAGAGTGTACGAGGAAGGTTCGTGTGCCGCCTGATGAGAAGTCCGTTGTGTCCCATCTGGGACGGGTGGTGCGTTGGCTCTTTTGGCGGTTGGGGAGAAGAGCGGGGACTTGTAGGGGACAGCCAGGCGGGAAGAAAGCGAGTTCGGCGCACATATGGGGGCATTCTATCGGATGGAGGTTGGAGCTGTCAGATTCTGCCCGACAAACCGAGTAGTTGCTCGGAGCTGAAAAGGGGAATGCTGAGACTTTGAGTGAGCCGGAAAGCCTCCGTAGACTATGGGCCACTCCTTACTGGCATGCAATCGCTGCTGATGGTTCTGCCTGGTCCTGCCACGCACTTTGTCCAAGTAGACCATCGGGAGCCATGGGACGATAACTGGACGAAGCATGAGGTCATTTCTCTCCGGTAGAGTTTGATAATACGCGTCACGACCATGGAACATATTTGCCATCGGGCTGGCAGGGCACGGGCAGGGTGAGTCAAACGGTACTCGGCTAAACACCGATGGAAACCCTGGCGTTCACTGAGAATTGGCATAAAAAGACTGAAGATTTACTGAATAGCACTATCGGTGCATCCAACTTATCAGAGGAGCACTTACCCAAGGGTCGACCGACGACCGGAGGAGGAGGAGCAAGTCCTGGCGTGCAGATCTTCAACGAGCTCGATTGGCGCCAATTGCGTGCACGTGATGTGGAACGCGTTGCAACTTGCCTTGAACGCGGCGCGCGTCTTGTATCCTCCCGCCACTTGCACTCTCGCTCGTCCCTCCACTTTATGCTCCGTTAAGACACAATGGCGGCAAACCTCTCCTCGCTGCTCAACGCGTCCAAGGCGCTCACCTCGCATCTCTCTCGCCCCGACCTACCTTCCGTCAACCTTTCCTTGGAGCAGATTGAGGCGCAGTCAAGAAGGCTCGTGTCACGGCAACCCGGAACCTCTGGAGATGCGAGTCGCGCGTGAGTTCTCACTTTTTGTACTTTGACATTGCATATTGATCGTTTTGTGCGCGCCACTTTACCAGAAACTACCTCCTCGCGCAAGCGCACGTCGACGCGCCAGCCCTCGCGAACTCCATCGCGCACTTGAACACCCAGACGACCTTCTCACCACTCCAGGCGCTACAAGATACCGATGTTGCGGGTTACCTGCGCCATGCGCACGAACAAAACCTCATTTCGACGATCGAGGAGGGCCGGAAAGAAACCCAGGAGGAGTTTTACCGCGTGTTGGAGGATCGCGGGCGGCGAGACTGGGAGGCAAAGAAGAGGCGTGTATTCGAGCAGCTTGGCGCGCGCGTGGTTGGGGAGAACAAGGCGGTGGCTGAGATGAAGAAGAGCTCGCATGGGAAGTCACTGCTTTCTGTGAGTGTTCATCTCATTTGCTCAACTTGTGCGCCCGAAACCCCATGCCAAGGGAAAGGCATCAATATGAACGAAGACACGCGTTTTGTGGAGATGCACACGGCTATGAGTAGTTCGCTGACATCTGTATAGACCAGTGTTGGGCCCGCGCCCAGTCTTCAGATGCAGAGCAAGATGATGGCCTACGACCACGTTGTCTCCGAACTGAACACATCGCGTCTACGCGGCACCTCGTTTCCCATCGTCCACGCCCTCATTCAAGCTTCGCTGTCCGCGAACTCTGACGTGAGTACCTCCATCCATCGTGGCGAGTCCGGGACATCTTGCGGGCTATGTCTGCCCCGTTCTTCACGTTGACAAGTGGTGGGTAGTCCGGCTCTCTTCAAATATCCCAGAACTTCCACGTTCTCTCCAAGATCACCGCCGAACCGCCTTCCTTACCTCCAATTGCACATGCGGGCGCGCACATCCTCAACACGCCACTCATCGAACGCAAATACGCGCGCGCCTACCTCGGTGACCCTGAATCAAGAGAAGCTGTCGAGCTCCGTAGGCAAATCGCCAAGGGCGCACGGGAAGCACTTGAGGAGCAGTACTGGGACGTTGTCGAACGGACGCTGCAGGCCCGCGCGCAAGAGGCACGGCTGGGAGGAGATCCGAGTGTGTCGAACAAGATCAGGGCGTACGTGTCTGTTAGGCATTACCGGATGGGCGAGTGGGAGGACCGCGTCGAGGTATGTCTTTCGCTTCTCCTCTCCCGTGGGTTCTCAACGCAACATTCCTTCTGTGCAGCTCGTCGCGGGCCAGCCATTGTGGGCCAGACTGTTCTACATGATACGAACAGGACACCTGCAGGAGGCGTTGGCGGAAGCAATGCAGCACCAGGTGGCAATTGAGCGTCGCGAGTCGAGCTTCCTCAGCCATTTGCGGGCGTGGATCGAGTCTCCAGATCGGCGGTGCGTACATACGGGTTTGCTTCCCCTGTTGGGATGACTGACGAGTTTATAGGTTGCCAAAACCTCATCGCGACCAGCTTCATGCGGCATATAATGCACACATGCTCCACTCCTCCTCGGCGGATCCCTTCAAACTTGCCCTGTACAAGCTCATGGGCAAGATCGACCCGTCAAGGCGGAGCGTCGCGGGCGTGACGGTCACTACGGAGGATTGGCTATGGTTCCAACTATCGATGGTGAGTCATCTTAGTGCCCCTATCTACTCGTGGTATTCAAGGGCGATACCAGGTGGATGAGGATGAATTCGGCGGTCTCAGGGGTCTCTCGGAGGTCCTTCTTGGATACGGCGAACGTCATTTCGACGGCGCGCCCGGCCAGAAGGGTGCAAAACGCGGAGTATGGGCAGGGGTACTGCTCATGTGTGGTCAGTTCGAAAGAGTAGGTCATTCACCGTCGGCTCACCACGGGTAGCGCTAACGCTTTCCAGGCTGTTGCTGCGCTCTGGGACCATAACGAGATGGAGGTCGAAGCCGTTCACCTGGCCATCGCTCTAGCGTATCATGGTCTCCTCCGTGTGCCATTGAGGGCAGAAACATCTGATATTACGCCTTGTGAGTGCCATTCCGTCTTTGCTGTTTGTTTCTCATGTCTTCTCCTTAGTGACCCTGTCGTCATCGTCACCACCGGCGCTGAGTCTCTCGACGCTGATCTGGCGTTACATCCGCCAATTCGTCCGCATGGATGCCCGCGAGGCTCTTCAATACGTCTACTCTGTCTGCCTCAGCGCCGACCAACCAGGTGGTGCAGGAAAAGAGCAAGTGGAGACTGCCTGGGACCTTGTCCGCCGGATCATCGTCCTGGCGAACACAGGCGCTGCCTGGGAGGAGCTTGTCGGGGGCTTTAGGCCCGATGGCACGCGCTTCGTACGTTCTACTATTCCATCTCATCCACGCGACCGCTGACGCACCTTTCCAGAGCGGCGCGATCGAGCAGAGCGCCTCCCTGCTGAAGCTCGACGATACGCGCGCGTACAACGAGCACATACTCGAGCGCGCTGCGCGCGCGTCCGAGGAGGCGGATCGCGTCCCAGAGGCCATCAAGCTCTACAACCTCGCGGGCGACTACGTGACCGTCGTCGGGGTGCTGGCGCGGGCGCTCGGCGGCACGATCACGCAACCTAGCGTAGACGACAAGGCGCGCGCGGTCGAGCGCACCGCCGCGGACGTGCTCCGCCACTACGAGCGCACGAACCGTGCGGTGGGCAAGGAGCGCGACGCGGTCGTGCGTCTGCTGCGCGTACGCGAGGCGATGGACGCGAAGGCCGCGGGGAGGGTCGAGGCTGCGCTCGAAGTGCGTTGGCGACAAAGGCTCATCGATATGCGATGCTAATCTTGATGCAGCTCATGGAATCGACGGACCTCATCCCGCTCGAGGCGGACGTGGCGAAGATCACGAAGCGCGCGGAGGAGTTCAAGGACCTGCCGGACGCGCTCCAGCGCAACCTGCAGACCTTCCTCCAGCTCACGATGGACGTGCTCGCCGCCGTGCACCAGAAGGTCAAGGCGTCGTCGCTCCCGGAGGCGTCGCGGCAGACGGTACGTTCCCTGCCGTACACCTACCCCTCCCCTTGTGCGCGGGTCGCTGACAGCATGCGGGCAGACAATCGCGATGCTGCGCAAAAAGTCGAGGGCGCTCCTCATCTTCGCGGGGAACCTGAAGTACAGGATGTCGCCCGACGTGTATTCGTACCTCGCCCGGTTGGACGTGGAGATCGCGCTGTAGTTGGCGCCCTGCGGTGGTGTTTGTATCATGAACCTCGCGATCGCTGTCGAATGTACTGGTCGGGTTCAGCTTAGGCGGATCTGACGTGGAGGCTAGAAGTCGAGTCGTTCTTGATGTTCAATGCCGTAACGGAGAGGCTTCCCCCGTCAGCTATCGCTGCGTCACCACGGGGCTTATCGTGTTCTTCCTCTTGTCATGTGTAGCGGCACAGGCCAAGCAGTGCGAGAATCGCTGGAGCCTTTCTGAAGCCGACGAACATACAATCACGTTTTCGCAATGTTCTGAAGGTCTTCCTGGCTTCGCTTCGAACGCCTACGCTTCCGCTGCATTTGCGGGAGGCTACACTCAAGTCGACCTACTTGTATTTCTACACCGCGGTGTCCAGGCCTTTCTGTGAGCATTTCTTCGTCATCGCGAGGGCTGTAGTCTTTTCTCCTCAGTTCTCCTGCGACGGTTGTGCAGACCGAGAGAGGCTCTCTAAAGCCGATAAGGATTAAACAACTCCGAAGCTTCGATCTCTACCTCGTGATGAAACATTGCGCCCGAACCTTCTCCACTGCCTCCCCTTCGATTCACCAGTCAAGAACATCACTGGCTGGTCACTCGTACCCGCTGCAGCGCTCCGCTCATCGGATCGCCGTTCTACGAGCGCGCCCGGTATTGTTATAAACGGGTCCTCGGGGCGCGATACTGCCATTTCTCCCTCGGTGAGACCCTGGCATGGACTCCGACGCAATCATCGTGGATGAGATCATCCAGTCCTACGCGGACGGGTACGTCGCTCGCAGCTAAGATCCACTTATCCCTGTTGGTTACCCCCACAACGCAGGAAGATAGCGGAGAGCAGCATAATCGCGGGTTTAGGTTCGTCTCTTCGCTGTCCCTCGCAGCGCGAGCCTCCCCTTCTTACGGATGCTATCCACAGCTCTGGTCGTTTACGACGGCTTGCTGCTGCTTGACGATGAGGTCAACTTGTTTTGGGGACGTCCCCTCTCGGGCGCCCAAGTGCTCTACCTTGCGAACAAATACGTCTTTCTCCTGTCGGTGATCGTCAATAGCGTATCATTTGTGACCACTTTCTCCGACCAGGTGAGTCCCGTCCTACTCATATCCACACTCTCGGACTGACTTCCGGCAGGTGTAAGCAGCCCTGTGACCACTTTTTGTCCGCCTAGGATACTGACAGTCATCTAGCTGCGGTGGGGTTGAGGGCGCTGCAGTAGTGTTATCCACATTCCCTTATTTCGTCTGGGCCGGTATGCCGTTATGGTTTCCCATCTGCCTCTTGATATTCACCTGACGCGATTATGCTAGCGTTCTCCGCTCTACGAGCTTACGCCTTGAGCCGCAGCCCATATTTAGCCGTCGCTGTTGGTACATTCTCCATGGTACCCGTGGGAGTGGATCTTGTCAGTATCTCTATCCGCTGTTCACACGTACTCACGCTGACTGATGGTGCAGACCCATCTAGGCTTCAATTATGTTGGATCGAGTGACCCCATCTTTGGGTGCGGATACTTCCAAGACCTACCCACCCAGCTTCCATTAACGTGAGCAATTTCCGTGGTGCAACACGACTCCATTTCACTAAAACCTCTGTCATGCAGATGTAGGTGTCTCCAAACGACTTGGGCATCTCGTCGTTGATCCGCTTCCCCTTCAGTCACCATCCTTTCCAGATCCTCGCTCATCGTGGCGGACCTGTTGCTGATCGGTATCACCTGGTACAAACTCTACGGTGCTGTGGGCTGGTCTCTACTCTTCCAGCGACATAGCGTCACCGTCACAAGCATTCTCTTGTGCGATGGTGTGTGAATCATCGTTGTCTCGTTGAGCTTCCCTGGCTGATCGAAGTTCCCTAGGTACAATCTACTTCATGTATGTGCACGTTGATGGTCGCCACCAATCCACATTGAATGCGCTACCGACAGCGTTCTTCTCGCGCTGAATGTGTTGCAAATGGCATTCACACTCGCATCCGTACGAACACCATTTCCTTGTTGAGCCACTCTGAACGCTGACTTCGACGATGGGCAGATCTTCCAAGAAGCCGGGGCCCAGATCAGCAACGTCACGGCTCTGATCGAACCGTACGCGAGCTTCCGTCCGTCCGGATACTCCGCCCTCTGTACTGAAGCCGGTGCTCGTAAACCAGGGTCACCGCCGTGTTGATCGCCCGCTTCCTGCTGCGCCTGCAGAGGGCCAACCAGAAGGACCTGAAACTGGGCGTCGCATCCTCGAACGGAATCACTACCACCGACGCCGACGGCGCTGCATGGCGGACTATAACGTTTGCCCAGGTCGCCACGTCCGTCGGCGCGACACTCAATCCTGAAGACTTCTGGCGCGACGGTTCTGCCAGTGAAATGGATAGCGTTGTCGAGGATGGGACCTCCGTTACGGGCGGTTCTGCCCATGGATACGAGGGAGAGCGTAGTGGCAATGCGACGTATTCCTGTCGATGAGAAGCGGGTTATCGTCGCGTTGAGGGACGATGCAGCGGCGGTCAGCAGGTTGACTACAACGCCAAAGCGTAAAATATCGCACCGTAGGCTCCTGCACGATAGGAGGGGTTTTATGGATCTTGAGTTCCGGGCCGACAGGGGTGTCGGTTTCTCTGTCGCTGTCACTGCTACCGATATCGGCGTCGATACCATCCTCCTCGTGTCCGCATATGACGGCATCTGTGTGCGGGGGCTGAAACTGCATTAAGGATTGAACGGCACCATGAGCGAAAGGGGACTGACAATATACGAGTGATGGTATCCCCTTTCCTCTTCTTTCCTGAGCCAATCCGCTTGCAACCGGGTAATGGAGAAGGCCCGTCCCCGCATGCTCGAGAGCTCTCCCATACGAACGTCGCAGCTATCAGGTTGATCGGCATACTCAGACGGCTGCAGCATGAATGAGATGAGGGAAAGTGTCGAATGCAAGGCGGCAGCCCAAAAGCCATACTTTTGCACAGTGACAGTTATGGGACCATAGGGTACGAAGCCTGGGCCGTGGATGTTCAGATGGCGACTGAGCCAATAGTTTGTGTTGGTCATCAGACTGCTTTTGGAATTGGGGTCGTCCATTCCATAGGCCCTGGTGCTTGATGGCTTTGATAAAGCCAGTTTGGTCGATTTGAAACCAGTCGTTACGTGTCAGCCGAGCTCTGCAAATCGTTGAGAGAACGGTAACATTTCGGACGAATCCTCGCATCGCAGACCTATGACTATCCCGCAAAAGGTTTATCTGATAAAAGGAGTACTTGGATGTGATATAAGTATATGGACGAAAGCCGCAGGGATAGACTCTTGCGAACCCAGGCCTCACTCTCCCGCTCAGTCATGAAAGCTCCAAGAAGCGGGAAAGCAACTTCTGAAAGTCAGGTGTGCCCAAGCCAGACACCGGATCCCATCCCGCCACCGCCGCAAACCCAGTGGTGTTGCACCCCGGATTATTCCCGACGGTGACATCGTTGAACGCGTCCGCGAATGTGTAGAGCTATTGCGTGATGAGAACTGTCAGAACCAGACACCAGTCAGAGCGCAGATGGAACTCTACGCACAGCAGGGTTGATCCACCCAACGGGAGCCTTGCCCGCGGCGAGCCGCGCATCGTTGATCGCGGACACCAAGGATGCGAACGTCGGCGTTGACGGAGACGTGGCCGCCACAAGCGTCAGCGCACTGTTGAGCGCGACGGAGTAGTTGAGGCCGTTGGCGGCGATGTCGGGGTATGCCCTCCCGGTGGCGTTGAACATCCCCGCGGAGTACGGTGGCGCGTGGCTGGCGAGATAGCCCGCGACAGCAGGCTGCTGGAACGCGGGCCGCGGGAAGACGTTCGAGAAGCCGCCCCCCGAGGCGAATTCGGACACCGCGACTTCGGGGTCGGCGACTGTGTTCCCCGGCACAACCTGGGTCGCACCGACGGTTGTGACGTAGGGGCAGGTCGCGGGAAAGGTGGGGTTGAACCGCGTCCCGTTAACGGTGTTCTCCCGGTTGTTCTCGTCGAGACAGTCCGAGTCGCCAAAGAAACCCGCGACGCCAGTGTCGCCCGCTCCGAAAACGAAGGTGATCCCGGTGAGCGAGAGTTTGCCGTACTCGGCGCGTTGGCGTCGCGCGTACGCTGGAGTGAGCATCGCCTCCTGGTCGACGTACGACGTGGAGACCACGAGGGTTCGTGGGACGCCGTCGCACTGCAGCGGACCGGTGAACCCACCGGGAAGTGTGTCCGGATACACTGGATCGACAACAGGATCGTCCCCGCCGTCGAATGTGCAATAGTCCACGTCGAAGGCATCGAGGAATGTGTTGAAGGAGCCGCCCTTGACGTTGTCGCAGACTTGGTAGAGCGTGAGGGGCTGCTTTGGACCGACGAGACCCATGACGTACTGCATGTCGAGACTGGACTCTAGGTAAATGTTGTTCTGGACGAGCTCGGCGCCATCTATGCTCACAAACACAGGCCGCTGACCGACCTGGTCCTGAGAGTAGTTGCCGAAGAAGACGTCGAAGTCAGACTCGAGATGGTACTCCGGAGAGTATTGCACTGAGGGAAGCTGAGTAAACACGAGGGTTAGGACGGTCACTGAAACGACTTACCGGTACTGATGCTATTGGTGACCGTCGAAACAGGGTCGTAGTCGAAGTTGTAGAGGGCGCGCAGACAGGCGAGCGTCATAACTTCATCGCAGTGGTCAAGGTCGGAGGAAATTATCTGTCAATGGCGGCACTGTCAAAACATGTCCGCATGTAAACTGATAAACGAACTTACATGAACTGACCCTCTGACCATGGCGGTTGTTGTTATCCCCGAACTCGTCATTATGCGTCGCGCAAGAGTGTCGAAATGCAGGGTTGGAGCGATGATGTCGACATGCGGGGAGATGTGGGCAGGGAGACTGTACGTGCCGTTGTATGTGATGGTTGTCCGCCCGCTCCCCTCCAGCGCGTATTCGTGGTACTCCGTCCCAAGAAGCAGATCCACCTCCTTGATGGTAACGTTGACCCGCATCCATCCACCACATCTGCTCAAAGAGATCCGGTCCTCCGAAATCGAGCCGTCGGCGACGAGCCACGTGCGAACAGCTTCTGTAGCGTCCTCGGGTGGTCGAAATGCCTCCACTACTTGCGCAGTAGTCCAATGATGACCATATGTCGAGGAACTCGAAGGAGAAACGTTCATAAGAAACTGGTCCAGGTGGTCCAGGTTGCGCTGAGCGAGACCGATGTGGAGGACGAGGACATCTGCTGCGATTGCACGACGAGCTAAGACCCATCTAGAGGAAATGAATGAGCGTGTTTCATGCACGATGCGGGAGCCATGGGCGATGATTGCGAAAACCAGAGGAAATACGGGGCGGAGAAGCATCCTTGTAAAATGGAAGAGCGTGGAGGAGCACATGGAAGAAGGCATCGTGAAGCTTACCTTCGTGGGTCGTTTCTGACTCTGACGATCATCATCTCCTCCCTCTCGATACCGTATGTCTGCGGCTACCATTCGCCGAGCTGGAAAGGGTCATTGTCCGCCATTGACTGGAGTGTGTTGACGTGAGAGCGAGAGACTGTGAAGGCCGACGGGAGGCTGGGCGACAGAAAGAAAGAATCGACAGTTGGAAGCCAAGAAAATTCGAGCGTCGTTCAACGGCCGAGATGCAAGCCACGGGTGGAGGGGAAGAGACAAGTACACGACAATTCATCATGCGGCACTCTGCGGCAGGGACGCTATGGATGGTGCCTGGGGGCGCGGGAGTTGCTCACGGCGGGGAGTTCGATTCCGATCCCACCGATATTGTCCACTAGAAATCATACGTGCGAGTCCGCCACCACTCTCGCGAAACAATACTCGTGGCCACGCACACGACGAATGAACGAGTTGGTGGAGTCGCAGAGTTGAACAAAGAAATAAAGATACTAAGATAAGTTACAACAAATCTCGGATTTAGTACGCAGTGGCAGCCCGTAGTTCCGTCATGGTGGTGAACACGTTAGATAGAATATTCAACGTGGAGCCTAAGAGCTGCCCAGATCGTCTGCGACGTTTAATATGCTGTTCAAGAATGCAAGTCAGATGGTCTGCGGCACTATGCGGGAACAGACCACATACCTGAGGGGCTCGTGACTTGAAGGTAGAAGCACCCTCGATGATCGATTCCGTCTCGCTTTCGCTTTCCGAAGGCTCCTCTTCGTAGAGAGTAGAAGGAAGGGGTGGGGACTGAAGGACGTTCAGAAGCATATAACGCAGTGCACGACAAGGGGGACTCACAATGCACGGATAGAGTTGTCCTCGCTGCTCCTGTTCCCTGAGCCACTTCGCACGCCTTCTGGGGCATACGTAATTCATCTGCCCGGCGCACTCCTTCGCTTTACACCAAAGGGACCCGTAGCTGAAAAGCATACCATCTCGATAATCAGTAAAAGGTGAAGATGGCGAGCGCGCTTGACGTACGATAGGCAGTTCTTCTATAGCGGAACTGCACGTAATGAACGTCTTTGAACTCCGCGAGGCCTCGTAGATGTGCGGGAAACCAGTAGTCGGCGTACGCTTGCGCCTTGCGGTCCAAGGAGACGTCCAGTGGAGATGACCCGTGGTGGATGAACGCAAGCCTGCACCCCAAGACCCAACCCTGAGCGCAGTCATGGTTTCTGTCCAGAGGGCCATACGGGACGAAGTTGGGGGACTCGAGATCCATACGCAGAGAGAACACTCTCAGTGCCGTCTCGAGGGTGGCGACATCCTCATCCACCCCATAAGCCATCATGAGGAGATGCTTGACAGCTTCGAGGGAGAAAAGATAGCCTCCAACGTAGGCGGAATCAATGTTCGACATAGTGACGGGGAAGACGATGAGTGGCGGTCGAGAGCGGGGTAGGGAGATGCGGGGGTGATGGTGGGCAGAGTTGGGTCAGAGAGAGCAAACACAAGTTGCGCTCCATTCGGCCTTTGTTCGAATTCGCGAGTGGTCCAGTCACGTGGTCGTGTGTCGCGGGCCGTCAGCCGCAGTTAGCGCTCAATCCCAACCATCCTCGAACTCCGCACTTTCTGAACAGTCCCGTGAGGCGTGGCCTCGACCACAAGCAGACAATAATGTGTCTGCGCGAGATCCCATTGTTCCACTGGGTATAAAACATCTCAGCCGGCGCTCTTCCTATGTTTCTCCACCACCTCCACGATCCACCGCCTCCCCGGCCCACCGCCGCCAACCACTTTCAACCACTCTGCACCCCCTCTCCTCCCCTCTTACTACTTCCCCCCTCTGGTATAACACAATTTCTGCTAGCTATTTTGCTACCTCCTCGCCTCTCGTATAGCTTTCATCATGTCCAAAGCCAAGAAATTGTACGCTTCCAGGCTCGTTCACTTGTTATCACACTCACACTCACCTTTGCATAGCGGCGCAAGGAAGCAGAAAGCCACGGCTGAGAAAGAGAAGGCTTTAAATTCACAAGCGGAACAGAAGGAGCAAGAAAGGGAAGCGCGAGCGGCCAAGAAGGAGTGGCAAGATGCAGCACGAGCGGCCAAGAAGGAGCAGGAAAACGCAGCGCGAGCAGCCAAGAAAGAGCAGGACAAAGCTGCGCGCGATGAGCGTCAAGCTCGGCGAGAACAGTGAGTACTTCCATCGTCGACACCCAACCACTCTCTGTTCATATATACACGTGCTAGACGACAGGATGGGCAGCCTTCTCTTGAGGAAGAAGAGCGCACTATGCGGCGGATCAATTTGCCTCCGACCAACTGGAACGATCTCCTCAATCATTGCGCAAGGGTCGTCCACAGCATGTCGTTGGCCAGTCCGAGTGACAACGTTACCGTATGTCTTGCTACTCTCAGTACAACCTTCACTCACCTTTCTTGTGATCGACGCAGGCGCGGACGGTAAAAGCTTTCGGCAAGGCTGTGGCTGCCAGGTGGTCAGGCTATGTTTCGGTGAGTTATGTCTAATTTTCTACTCCACAATAGTTTCAACTGCTTTTCAGGGGCTTCGAAGAAGCCACCAGGAAGGGTTCAGTTCAGCTGATGCGGAAACTGGGTGAGTGCTCGCGTTTTCGTTGCCATTCTACATGTGAACGTTTACCATGTGTTCCGCTTCTCAGTCCGTCGACGGGAAATTCCGCATCGCCGATCAACCGGGAAGAGACGGATACTCCGATTTCAGCCCCCAAACTGGAGTCCAACGTGGAGTTTACGTTTGATGAACTCGAGGGCATGCTTTTCGCGTACGCAGGCAGTATGGTACGTCCCCCACACGGCGTTATGAAAACACCTTGAATTCACTATCTATGTCGTCCAGGAAACTTACGAGTACGATTCAACTCTACTCGTCACCATATTGGAATCGTTGGTTGTTGATGCAATTAACAGCCCCAAATGTAAGAAGGTCAGGGACATGGTGCTCAGAACAATTCAACAGATCAAAGAAGTCAAGAGTGGTGTCAAGGTACGAGTGTTATGCCTACATTCCCGATATTAGCACCCACTAAACACACTTCGTTGATTCACCAGAAAGAGGAAGATCCGGAAGAGCCATGCCTTTCTTCCCCCGATCCGCGGATGACTCGCGCCATGAGTCGCGAACCAAAGACCGAGGAGCCCGAAGAGATAGGTCTCACGCATATTGATCGCCTTGTCGATGGCGATATTCTTGCAGATATCACCCTGCTCTTGGCGGAATACAAGAAGACTCTCGTGCGCATCCTTGCTCTCACTACATCGCTTAGTACTAACTCGTTTTCTGGCACTCGGACACAGAGCAATGACGGGTATGTTTTGAACTCCGTATTACACGCATTCTTACTCACGCTCGTATTAGTAAGGACTTCGCGAAGCTTGACGCAGTGATGAATAGCCTCTGGATGTGTCCGCCGGCCCCAAGCTTCGATCCGAAGCAGCCTCCTGTACGTCGTCTCACATGCATTGTCTATATTTCTCATTGATTTTTCTCGCAGCGCGATCTGGAGGAGTTCAAGGCACGCATCGCACCTTGGATTCTGAAGGCGATTGAGCGCCTCTCTCGGGCAACCACTCGCTATGAGGCGAGCCTTGACGCTGTGGTTGGCTCGCTTCTGGCGTGCAATTTTACCGCCGACGGGGGGTTCTCTCTCCGCGCGCAATGGAAGCTCAACGAGCCGTTGTATGCATGTGCTGATACTAACACTGTCTCCATCGGCCGCGACTCTTTGGAGCGAGAAGTTACCGACAACTTCATCATTCCGGAGTTCGTCATCATGTGCGTTGATGACGGCGGCAGGATCATCAACGTCATCCTTGTTGTCGAGGACAAGCGTACCGACAATCCGGTTCCCCAGCTTCGGAACTACGCCTTGAGGCTCAAAGAATATCACGATCTCGTCGGTCTTGGCTGTCGTCTGGCGCCTGCGACTCAGGGCGACGGCGTTCAAGCTCTCATCTGCCGTTACGATATCAAAGATGAATTTGGTCCTCAATACAAGACGAATGATGACGCAAGCTTCTGGTATTCGATCACCAACGATTTCATCCTCGAGACTCTCTTCGACCTCTGCGTCGCGAACTGGCGCTTGGCCGATAATAAAGTGAAGGCCACCTAGTTCCTCTGGGTGAGTACGAATATGTTCTCCCCTATGTAAGCCTCCTTCAACCCGATGACATGCTAACACCGAGTTGTCGTAGCCCTATCGCTCCATTTCGTTGCTCAGACACATTACACTCTCGGTGCTCTCTCCAGCGTGCACGCCTGGAGCGAAGTTAGCCCAGCTCTCTCGACTCTCGATCCACGCCATCATGTTCCCGCACTCATTCTAATGACACAATTTTATGTCCTATGTGCCCCTTTTTATGCAATCTCATTATATGCTTGCTCGACGTAGCGATACGTTGTGTTTTTGCCTCGCTCTCGCCTATGGCATGCGCACACCTTCATACCGTACAGAGGTTGTAGACAGCGGTCACCTGCCCATGCGTGCGGTACCGGCACCGGCGTGTTGAACCTCGAGGTTTAGAATGCACCTACTATTCGTTGAAATCACCCGCGCGGAGCAGTTCCCGCATCGTAAAATTGGTTGTACGGTTTCACAAGGCGCACTCGCAAGGCTGTGAAGAAAACAGGTCGGATGTGCGTACTAGCAGTACTAACTACAAGAGGCTCAACACAGCGCGAACAGTAGTACCACAAGACTTTGTCGTAACTGCCACCAGTGAGCTAACTAATGGGGGATATACTAACGTAGTTTGGTTGGGTATGGCCACATAGATACTGTGGCTACACAATCGGGGGCATGCGTTCCGTCGAGCATGCTGTGAGCATACTAGTAGGCGCTCGGTTGGCTATTGCCGATGAGGCCGAGCGCTCCTCGAAACACTTGAGGTTTACGTACGTAGCAGTCTATTCGCCCGGACCAGGACAACAACAGCTGCCATGAACGGCGGAATGGAGCCTCTTGGATCCACTAGTAGCCATTAGGAGCCACCAGCCTTGATCGCAGCAGCGAGGCTGGCACTAGTAGCCACTCCAATGAATTGATAAGTATCATCAATTGAAACAGTGGGCGCGTGTCGTGTGCCTGAGCCATGACAGTGAGTTCAACGACGCGACCATCTGTCGAGGCCCGAGGGCCACGCCGCCGGGTCCCGGTAAAGCGCGCGGTGCCGATATGAAGTGCAAAAACCATAGCGGAGACGGCGAATGGCAAGCTTTCGTATCACATGGAACGTCTGAGACGCGTGATTTTCAGAGTTTCCTCCCACGACCGCGTGAATGCAGATAGATAATGTGTGAACGACGCACTGTTTTGTGGCAGCGGGCGAGTGAACCCAGAGCTTCTCTCGGCACAGTCATAAGTGGGAATCTGCTGCGACTGCTATCATGCGCCGAGGAGATGCACTGGAACGACTTCGGCGTAGTTCAACGGCATCTACTGATCATACAATCACGTTATTGCTGCTACATCGTCCGCAGCTCTCAAGAGACCCTAAATGTGAAATTATACCTAACACGCAACGTACGACCGCAATCCCTCAAGAAAACTCTCCGACCCCAGGACCGAAGAAGCCCTTCTCGGGGATCTCGAGAAACGGGCACCCGTTCGAGTCGCAGCCCTCGAAGGGGATGTTGTTCGGGACCCAGTCGATCGCGATGTCCGAGAACTGGAGCGCAAAGAACTGGATGATGCCCGAGATGGCAATCGCGCTGGGAGCAGCCCATTCAGTGCTTAGCGAGAGTGGAAGAGGGCGGGAGGACGAGGGACGTACCAGGCGAGTGCGGAGGCCATAACGTAGTTGTACTTGGACCACCACGCGAGCGCGCGGCTCTTGATGTAGACCATGAAAAACCACGCGAGCGGCACTGCGGGCCAGACGTTGGACAAGTTGTAAGGAGCCCTGGGAGACTACGTCAACAACGAAGTCCTCTTGAGACGGGGAGCGCGACGCACCAGGTGAGGGCTCCCGCGAAGAACACGGGAAGGTGGAAGTAGCGCAGCATAGGGATGCGCTCCTTGAGATAGTAGACGGGGAAGGGGAGGATGAAGCCGATGAGGAAGCACCAGATCAGCGGGTTGTAGATCTGACCGGTCCCGAACATGCGCGCGGGCCCGAGCGTGCCCCACAGGACGGACGCGGTGAAGAACGTGTTCTCGCCCGGGCACGTGAAGCGGTCCCTCTGGTGCGGGTCGCAGACGTTTTCGATGCCGGTCATCTGGAAGTTGAGAATCCCGAGCGAGACGAAGGTGGAGGCGACGGTCGCGACCATCTGGCACCAGAAGGTGATGCGCGGCGGGATGTGGGTGTAGTGCGCGAGCTTGAGGTCGGACGAGAAGGCGAGCGCGTGCGCGGTCGTTACGTAGCCGTACGACTTGAAGAAGTTTAGGGCGGTCGCGTTGCCGGGGAACCAGAGACCGCCGAAAAACTCAGCGATGACGTTGAGCGTGACTTCGACGTTGGTGACCGCGAGGATGATGCCGGCGGGGATCATAAAGATCAACGCGAGGAAGATACCGTAGAGGACGACAGCTGGGCTCGTGTTGGTCGGGTAAGCACCAACACCAGCAGCGCCGAGGGCAACGGAGACCAGGACCACACTATAGACGCTAAGTATCTTCAGGGGTTCGAAGAGAAAGGAACATACATCGCGTAGTGCCACTCTGGGACCTCCTTGTATGAGGACATGAGACGAGCATGCACGTCATACTTGGCATCCTTATCGAACTTCTTCCTCCTGATGAGATCCTTGAAGCCGGAGATAATTGCATCTCGATGGTACAAGTACGCGTGAGATAGCGTGGCGGAGTAGATTGCGACTAGTAAATGATGAGGATCCGAGACAAGGAGGTTACGCAGCCGGGTACGCACAGAAGAAACCGTAAATGAGGATGTTCCCTGCGGCGAGGTAAGCAGGAGAGTACGATTCATACTTCGCGGCATCAAACAATGCCTCATCATTGATGGCCAGCGAGACGTTGTATCTAGCCCCGGTGTTGTCGAAGACCCCGTTCGAGTTGATCGGGAGGTAGCCAGTGAACCAGACGTTTGACACCCAGATAGCGAGGACCTGTGCGAATGAGTCAGCGTGATAAACATAACGCCCTGAAGAAACCTTACGATCGGCATCGTTACGAGGGCACCAAGGAAAATGTTGACCGTGGTGAAGTAGGGGCTGATAAGGGGATTCCCAATAACCGTAAGTTGGTTGTAGTCGAACGTCGGGATCGGGTTCAGCCCAAGTCCGCCGACGCTGCCGGCGACCGCCCCAAGGAGGACGTTGTTCGGCGCAATCCAAGTCATCCAGTTGAAGTAAGATAGGAAGGCCATAATGTAACTACAAGGTTGTTAGTCGTGCGAGCATCCTGACCTGCATCGAGATACGCACTTCGGGAACCAGAAGTACACGAACATGCCGGCGAAGACGTAGAGGAAGAAGCGCATGCGCGAGATCCTCCAGCCGTTCGCTACCGCGTTCACCTCCGTGTGGAACGCTTTCTGCTCTAGAGCGTTAGTAACGTGTTCAACGAAACTTCAGAGTGCACGCGCTCACATTCAACGCGATGATGGCGAGGTTCCTGGGCCAGATCGCATACACGGGATACACGAGGAAACGACGCGTTAATCCGGCAATACCATAGCCGATGAAGTTTGTGGAAAGCGCGGCTGGAAGGCATTTCAGTTCACCGCGAGCATTCGAGAAATTTCACACACTAAGAGCCTGGTACCCGAAGTTCACCGCCCAGTGCTGGTTGAAGAAGCGCGGAATGAACTGGACCCAAACGATCGATGTCGTGTACGGAGTATTGAAACCGACGTTGGCCATGATCGTGATCACCATGTGCTCCTTCATATTGAACGGTCCACTGTACGCGATACTATAAGCAAGCGTGCTCTGCAGTTGGTTCGACACTCACGGGTTAAGAGAAAGCCTCTCGCCGAAGAACGGGACGACGAAGCCCCAGTCGGGGAGAACTCTCTCCAGGAACTTTCCAGCGGGGTATGCAAGCAGCTGCGCGACGTTGGAGTCCACAGTGATGCTCGGTTGCCGGATCCCAAAGAACTGGTTGATGAACGCCCCGATGCAGACGTATACCATCCCGATGATAAAGGCGCGAATGGTGAATGACGGCATCTCCGGGTCGTCCTCTGCGGAGACCACGGCGCGGACCTCGGCGTAGGGCGAGTCCTGGCGGGCTCGCGCAGGAAAAGCGAGCAACAATCAGGGAATGTCCGCAGGCGACCGTTATCCATGACGATGGGACGTACGATGATTACGAGAGCGGCTTCGACCTTGAGCTCCTCGTACAGCCTGGCCTGCTCCACGGGGTCCGTGGCAGCAGCTTCACCGTCGAAGTACTTCTCGATGAGCTGAATGGTGTGCGTTGGGAAGTTCTGCGCATGTGTTTCAGCGGGTGGAGCAGTTTCAAGACATGAACTATGCACGCACGGGGTCTTTCCCGAAAGTATCATAGATGTACCGCAGGGCGTCGTCCACCTCTTCGCGCGACATTCCCTTCGCGTGCTGGATCGCATCCTCGATGTCAGCCGCGACTGCCTGGACCTCCTTAGCAACGACGTCCTGACAAAATGAGTGAGCGAGCTCGCACGTCCGATATGTCCTTGGTGACAAGACATACCACCGCGACGTCACCAGCGATGTACTTCTCGTCGTCCAGAGACTGGCACGATCCGGGTCCGAGGAACGCTTCTCTTCGACAGACATATTGCAGTCCGAAGGAGGGGCGCAGAGGGGCAGGGAAGGAAGAGAGAGGACCGAGGCGACCTAGCTGGTGAAGGCTCGGTGGAAACATTCTTATAGTGTGTCTCCCAGAACCCATTAGCAAATTGAGGTTCCGCAGGCATTGAAGAAGACGCCAGCTGGGCTGCTGGAAGGGCCGATAAGTAAGGGCGCAATCGGGCTGCGGCGAGATTCTTGGTCCGTGTGCAGGGTATAGCGTGGGCGAAGCTGGCGTTCAGTACGTCCACATGGTGTGGTATGGAAGCTGAAGCTGTTGTGCCTTTGCGGGACTTGCTTCCAATATCATTCTTTCAATCGTGGAACCAAGGGGCGGATAGAGAGGTCCGCGGTGGTGTAGCGTCCAATGATAAG